CCAAAGTGGAGGAACCAACAGAGTGGGTGAACTCCATGGTGTGTGTGGACAAGAAGAACCAAAACAAAGAACTGAGAATATGCATGGATCCTGGTGATCTAAACCAAAACATCAAACGTGAGCATTACCAGATTCCAAAACGTGAGGAGATTGCAAGTGAGATGGCAGGAGCTAGATATTTCTCCAAGCTTGATGCGGCTCAGGGTTTCTGGCAAATAAAGTTGGATGAGAAAAGCTCCAAGTACTGCACCTTCAATACTCCCTATGGCAGGTACAGATTTTTGAGAATGCCATTTGGAATCATCTCAGCGTCAGAGATTTTTCATCGTGCAATGGACAATCTTCTGGAGGGACTTCAGGGTGTTCGCTGCTATGTCGATGATGTAGTCATCTGGGGATCTACTCAACAAGAACACAATGAGAGGCTAAAGAGAGTACTCCAACGTGTGCGTGAAAATGGACTAAAACTAAATCGAGTGAAATGCCAATTTGGTGTGCAAGAAATCACGTTCTTAGGAGACAAAATGTCTGTACATGGTATTGAGCCAGATGAGAAGAAAATAAAAGCCATTCTTAACATGCCACGCCCTGCAGATAAAAAATGTGTACTCAGAGTCATGGGAATGATTAATTTCATTGGGAAGTTTGTACCCAATCTCTCAGTGAAAACATCAGCTTTGCGGGAGCTTCTTCATGACTCAACAATGTTTAAGTGGACCACAAGACATGAGCGTGAGTGGAACGTGCTCAAAACCACTCTAACTACTGCACCTGTGCTTGCTTACTATGATTCCACGAAAAGACAGAAAGTTTCCACTGATGCATCAAAGGATGGACTTGGTGCTGTCTTGCTCCAAGCAGAAGGTGAGAGCTGGAGACCAATAGCATATGCATCTAGATCCATGACAAAAACAGAGATGAAGTATGCTCAAATTGAGAAGGAATGTCTTGGGTTGGCTTTTGAACTTGAAAAGTTTCATTGTTATGTGTATGGCCTTACTACTTTTACAGTTGAGACAGACCACCGTCCGCTTGTGTCCATAATTAAGAAGAGCCTGAATGAAATGTCACCCAGAATTCAACGTCTTATCATGAAACTACAGAGGTATGACTTTGAATTAATCTATACACCAGGCAAAACATTTGGTGTTGGCAGACGCGCTGTCACGAGCGACAGAACTGAATCAGACAAGTTCCACAGAGAAAGAGGTAGAGGAACACGTGAACATGGTAGTTGGGTCCCTACCAGTGTCTGATTCAAAATCAAAACAAATATGTGAAGAAACAATGAGAGACACAGAACTGCAAACAGTTGTTTCTCACATTCAAAGTGGTTGGCCCAGAGGGTCTTGTCCAAAATATTACAACTTTAGATCAGAGCTCAGTGTGGCAAATGGACTATTGCTAAGGGGAAAAAGGATAGTGGTTCCTCAGAGTTTAAGAAATGAAATTCTACAGAGAATACATGAGGGGCACTTGGGAGTCGAAAAATGTAAGAGACGAGCCAGAGATACAGTCTATTGGCCTGGCATTAATAAAAACATTGAAGATATGATTGGAAAATGTGAAACTTGTCAGAAGTACCAGAGCAAACAGGCAAGGGAGCCTATGTTGATTCCAAATCTTCCCGCAGCTCCATGGGAGAAAGTAGGAACTGATCTATTTCACCATAATGGGAAAGACTATCTGTTAGTTATTGACTTTTACTCCAACTATCCTGAAATTGCCTTGCTCACAAGTACAACAGCATCAAGTGTCATTACACATGTTAAATCTTTTTTTGCCCGACACGGAATCCCAGAGACTGTAGTAAGTGACAATGGACCATGTTACAACTGCAAGGAATGGCAGCAGTTTTCTAGACTGTATGGATTTAATCATGTGACCTCCAGTCCTCAGCATCCCCAAGCAAACGGAAAAGCTGAGAAAGGGGTGCATATCGTCAAACAGCTTTTGAGAAAGGCCACGGACAGCAAATCAGATCCCTATCTTGCTCTCTTGAGTTACAGATCCTCTTCTCTTGAGTGTGGTTTATCTCCTGCTGAGCTGTTGATGAATCGGAAGTTGCGCACAACTCTACCCAGCTACACAGAGATGAGAGAACGTACTGAGGTACACTCAAAAATGGACAAGCTCAAATTAAAACAAAAACATTACTTTGACAGATCGACCAAACCTCTCTCGACTCTTGCAAAGGAGGATGTTGTGAGAATTCGAGACCAAGATGCCTGGAATCGAAAAGCAACAGTTCTTCAGGAAGTTGGTCTAAGGTCGTATGAAGTGAGGACTGAGGATGGAAGCGTTCTCAGAAGGAATCGTCGTCACCTACTGAAGACCAAGGAACACTTCCAAGAGTCCAGTTGTGATGTTGAAGATGAACATGCTGTGTCTATTCCAACTGACACAATACCTGTAAAGGAATCTACTGAAGAAGAGGCATCTTCAGCACCAGTTCTGAGAAGGTCTGGACGTCAGACTAAGAAGCCTGATAGACTGATGTTGTGAATGTGTTAACCACATTCTGTTGTTTTTATTGTTTTTCCGTGTTATCACTGGTCATCACTTAAAAAGAAAAAAAAAATCTTAAAAAAAAAAAAAAATCTGTTTTTGCACTTGGTGATATAAAAAAAAAAGTAACAGTGAGCTAAGCTAAATAACATGTTTACAATGTTTTATTATTTGCATTGTGTAAGGATTCTGACTTTAAAGAAAGGGAGATGTCTTGATATGCATTCAGTGTCATGCATTTTACCAGCCTGGTGGTGTCCCTAGTGAGTCAAGTCAGTGGATGTCAGTCAGAGAGCACTAAGTAAGAGAGCACTTCCTGTGATAACAGATGTTTGTTGGACATGCAATAAAAGCTGAGCACAAGCTCATCTGTTCATTTGAAATAACTTGTTTGAGAGTTTGTTTTGATGAACAACACATATTGTAGCGTTTTATTAGATGTTAAATAGTAGTAAAAAAGTAGAATTTGATTTCCTTTGTTTTTCAGAAACACATTTCCACATAAGAGTGAAAAGCATACAATGTTATCTCTGATAGAGCAGCTAAAATATTAGAATCAGAATTATGTTACAGCCATTAAAAGTGACAGAAACTAGAAATATGCCTTTGCTCAAGCTGCAACCAAACTTTGGAGTCACAATAGAGAAAAAATAGGATTAGATAAATGCATCAACCATAGATGCTTTCAAAAATAGAGAATATTTGTAGACATTGCTAATATCAAATGGTAAAGGGACCATTCCACAAGCATTTACTTCAGAAGTAGATAGTTCATTACAGTTTTATGTACAGTTTTATTAGATACTGCCAAATTCACTTGTGTTCAAACATGAGTGAATGTTGACAATGCAAAAAGTTCATATGAGTGTATCCTAAATTAATGCCTAGATTAATGAGATAGATTAGAACCAACAGAGATTCAAAAGCATTTAAAAGCATTTTGATGTATTTGTGTATAGCACAAAAACAGTATAGTAGATATTTTTGAGAAGTTTAAAAGCTGTCGCTTCACCAGCACAGATTAGAGAATCAAACACCATTGTAGAATAACTGACCCCAAACCTGCTAAAATAGATTAGCTCTTGTAAGGATAATAATAATTTGATTAATGATGTACATTCATCCCAAACTGCCTGAGAGGAGGAAGTGACAGCACTTCCTGGTTCAACAAATGTATTTGGAAAACTGACCGCCATAATAATGTTCATATTAACCATTTGTCTTACTGTGTTCACAGTTTTATTCCTGAGAATGTAGAATAGACATAGAGCAAAATCCCACTGACACAAAGCCACTGATAATGAAAGTAAACCACAGAGAGATTTATTAGATTAAAATATATGTTTAAGAACATGGCTCAAAATAAGCAAATATGCAAAAATATTTGTAGATGAAAGTAAAGTACACAGTCTAAGATTGAAAAGTGAAAATAATATAGTGAACTAAGTGAAGTGTAAACAATTAGCATTAGAATAAAAGTATAGAGTAAGAAAAGTTAAATTAGCTTCTAAATTGAGACTCAGCTCATTTTTGTCTGTGTTTTGACTGAATCTGCTGAGTTCTTGTGTGTCTAATAGTGTTTGTTTGTTTTTATTTTTGATTTGTTTTTGTTTATTTTATTTTTTTTTTTTTCCCAGGATAGAGGACAAAATCCACTGATATTGATTTGGATGATTATGAGTTTAATGCATACATTTTCTTTGTTTTTTAATAATTTTGTAAAGTTTTTGTTTAGAATTTTATTTTATTTTTTTCACTTTATTGATTGATTAAATTGAGTGATCACATGTGATTATGTGATCAAAGGGGTGAGTGTTAGTATTAGATAGCAATATGGCCTACGTGCAGGACTGTACAAGGACTTTTTTGACTATTTTGACTATGATGTGCACTGTCTCTGTGTGACACGTACGTCTTTCCATGTGTGACGTGACAATGACTATATAAACTGTGTACTGACTCCATTCTGTCTGAGAGAAAGAAACAATTGAAACAACTGGAACTTGAGAGAAACTTAAACTTCCAGAGTTTGGCGCACCTCGATCCGTCTCTGTCTGCTTCATCCCTGACAGATTCATACAGCTGTGAGACTGACCCAAAAGTGTCGATGTGCTTTCTCTTTGAGGAATAGCTTTGACTGTGGCCACTCAGAGAGATTACTTAACTTTATAAAAGCACAATGACAGCACAATCAGAGGGCAATGCTGTGTCCCAAAAATGCCCAGTATCCTCAGTTTAATTCCTGTTTGAGCATTATTTAGGAAACGTGTGTAAACATCTAGTGAACTCCAGTGAAACTCAAGCCATCCCTGCGCGGTTATAACTAAAAAGCAGAAGTGGTGCGTGCATATAGCCCATTGCTTTGAAGCGTCTCTGTCTAAATGGGCCTGAGGGTGGTCCTCTCTTTGATCTAATCAGCTCTCAGATTCACAGACTCACATTCATAAAATAGAAAAAGATTTATTTCAATACAAGAAACAAAGGGGGGTGATCTAAGTGAGGGTGTTCAGTGCAGGGAAAGGATTCTGCTTGGACACAACAAGCTTCTGATGTTGGTGAGAAATGTAGCCTTTGATGTGGCCCTGAGGGGGAGAGAACAGACAGTCAGATCTGGTACCATCAGACACGATAGTTTTAATCATGTGACATCACTACCATGTAGATTAGGTTGGCCAGGATGCACTGCACTTCATCCAGATCCACTCCCTCCACCTTCATCATTCTCAGAGACACCAGGAAGGCCTCCAGGGGGAGCTGGTGAGTCTGTAGCAGCAGGTATCTATAATATACAGTGGGGCAAAAAAGTATTTAGTCAGCCACCGATTGTGTAAGTTCTCCCACTTAAAATAATGACAGAGGTCTGTAGTTTTCATCATAGGTTCACTTCAACTGTGAAAGACAGAATGTGAAAAAAAAAAACGAATTCACATTGTAGGATTTTTAATGAATTTCGTAAATTATGGTAAAACACATTCAACTCAACAATTTGTAATATAACCTTTGTTGGCAATAACAGAGGTCAAAAGATTACTATAGGTCTTTACCAGGTTTTCATACACAGTAGCTGGTATTTTGGCCCATTCCTCCATGCAGATCTTCTCGAGAGCAGTGATGTTTTGGGGCTGTCGCCGAGCAACACAGACTTTCAACTCCCTCCACAGATTTTCTATGGGGTTGAGGTCTGTTTGGGATTATTGTCAAGCTGGAAGACCCAGCCATGTTTCATCTTCAAAGCTCTCACTGATGGAAGGAGGTTCTGGCTCAAAATCTCACGATACATGGACCCATTCATTCTTTCCTTAACACGGATCAGTCGTCGTGTCCCCTTAGCAGAAAAACAGCCCCAAAGCATGACGTTTCCACCCCCATGCTTCACAGTAGGTATGCTGTTCTTTGGATGTAACTCAGTATTCTTCTTCCTCCAAACACGACGAGTCGAGTTTATACCAAACAGCTCTACTTTGGTTTCATCTGACCACATGACATTCTCCCAATCCTCTGCTGTATCATCCATGTGCTCTCTGGCAAACTTCAGACGGGCCTGGACATGCATTGGCTTCAGCAGGGGGACACGTCTGGCACTGCAGGATTTGATTCCCTGTTGTCGTAGTGTGTTACTGATGGTAGTAACCTTTGATACTTTGGTCCCAGCTCTCTGCAGGTCATTCACCAGGTCCCCCCGTGTGGTTCTGGGATTTTTGATCACCGTTCTCATCATTTTGACCCCACGGGATGAGATCTTGTGTGGAGCCCCAGATCGAGGGAGATTTTCAGTGGTCTTGTATGTCTTCCATTTTCTGATAATTGCTCCCACAGTTGATTTGTTCACACCAAGATGCTTGCCTATTGTAGATTCACTCTTCCCAGTCTGGTGCAGGTCTACAATTCTTTTCCTGGTGTTCTACGACAGCTCTTTGGTCTTGGCCATAGTGGAGTTTGGAGTCTGACAGTTTGAGGCTGTGGACAGGTGTCTTTTATACAGATGAGTTCAAACAGGTGCCATTAATACAGGTAACAAGTGGAGGACATACGAGCTTCTTAAAGAAGAAGTTACAGGTCTGTGAGAGCCAGAGATCTTCCTTGTTTGAAGTGACCAAATACTTATTTTCCACCATCATATACAAATAAATTCTTAAAATCCTACAATGTGAATTCCTGGATTTTTTTTCACATTCTGTCTCTCACTGTTGAAGTGTACCTATGATGAAAATTACAGACCTCTGTCATTATTTTAAGTGGGAGAACTTGTGTCTGACTAAATACTTTTTTGCCCTACTGTATATATATAACAAGTATATACACAGAGGCCTCCAGGGGTAGCTGGTGAGTCTGTAGCAGCAGGCATCTTAGGCCCAGTTTACACGGAGACAATGCAGCAGTAAAACGCTATAGTTGGATGTCGGTTGCTACCCCCCGTTCATACGAAGACTGTGTTCCAGGGGGGTGAAAACGTAAGTGTTCAGATCCAGCCTGCAGAGTGGGATAGCTCCGATACCCTGCTCAGCGGGGGCTCTCTTTCACACCCGCGTAAGGAAAAGGGTGTGAATTCCCTGCCTGATCTGAACCCCACCTCCCCACTGCTCCCCGCACGTTCATTTGGACATGCGCAGTAGCAGAGAACAAATGTAAACAACAATGGCGGCGGGTAAACTAACTAGCTACAGTACTTGAGCTTCGAGCGCTACACAGAGGATAATTCTACTCCTTCGTTCGTCCAAACGAGACCACGCAAAGCTATAGTTTCAGTTTCCATTTTCGCAGCTGCTGTTCAATGCAGAATGATGTTGGTGCATCTTTCACGTCTTCCAGAGGAAGTGAGTATACTGCTGGGGGGATGCTGGGGCTTATGGTGTCATGTTGTAAAGTTCCTCTGCCCACTACTGTCCGGGTGCTAGAACTACATTGTTTTTGATCCTCGTATGAACGCTGTGAAATTTGCATAAGGAGCCTGGCCGTTTCTGTTAATAGCCTGGAAACATCTGCGCAGCGCCTCTGTATAAACTCAGCCTAATATATATAAAACAAGCATATACAGTACACAGAGGCCTGCAGGGGGAGCTGGTGAGTCTGCACTGAACAAAACATACAAACACTTATTTATGTAACTGTCTCTGACTGACATTAAATATAGTATTCTGTCTGTGTCTCTCAGTGTCTGTGTCCTCTGTCTCTTTGTCCTCTCGGTCTGTGACCAGAAAAAGACCAGAGAGAGACCAGAAGGTGAACCATGTGAGGGAGAGGGACCAGTCTCTAAGGACTTACACTTTCTTGAACAGGTTTCTGTAGGTGATGATCTTGAGTTTCTCCAGAATGAGGAAGATCCCACAGCGGATGAAGAACGTCTCGTGTTTGGACAGAGCATCAGTAAGCAGTAGCAGGTTCCCCTCTCTGTGGAAACAGACCAGACCTCAGCAGCAGTAGCAGTAGCAGTAGTAGCAGCAGCAGTAGTACCTGACTCCTTTGGTAACGTCAGAGAACTGCATGAGGTCGTACTTTCGGAGCAGCTGCAGAGTCGGCATGTGGCCCTGAAACATGACATCATTGTGTGACATCACCAGTGTGTGACATCACCAGTGTGTGACATCACCAGTGTGTGACAACACCAGTGTGTGACAACACCAGTGTGTGACAACACCAGTGTGTGACAACATAAGTGTGTGACAACATAAGTGTGTGACAACATAAGTGTGTGACATCACCAGCAGCATCTTGACAGGCAGCAGGTAGATCAGGATCATCCTCTTGTTCTTCTGACTTGAACGATGGCAGTGATCAAAGGAGTAGGAAAGACACTCCTCCGCTGCATAGAGAGAACATGCAAATACAGGTCAAAGGGAGAACAAGAAAATACAGGTCAGATACACTGGTGTGTAGTCAGAGTCGAACATGGCCTTGCGTCCTACATAGTCCTCACCTGGTGTGTAGTCAGAATCGAACATGGCCTTGCGTCCCACATAGTACTTGTAGGTCACGGTCTGCGCAGTGCTGAACTCGCTCCTGAGGTTGGAGCTGTCGATGGCTCTGATCAGAGGTTTACACAAGTGCAGCTTGTTGATCTGTCAGAGGTCAGAGGACGGGGTCAGAGGTCAGAGGACGGGGTCAGAGATTAGAGGACAGAGGTCACAGTCCGGAGTCTCACCTTGAAGTAGATCTTGAACAGCTGGTTGCTCAGAAACATCATTCCCCATTTTTTAGAATCGTCGATCCCAGCGCGACTGCAACAGAGACTTGTTTCAGACCTGGTCCTGGTCTCAGTCCTGGTCCCGGTCCTGGTCTCGGCCCCGGTCCGGTCCTGGTCTCGGCCCCGGTCTCGGCCCCGGTCCGGTCCTGGTCTCGGCCCAGGTCCGGTCCTGGTCTCGGCCCAGGTCCGGTCCTGGTCTCGGCCCAGGTCCGGTCCTGGTCTCGGCCCCGGTCCTGGTCTCAGTCCCGGTCCTGGTCTCACTCCTGGTCCTGGTCTCACTTGTCGCTCCCACAGACTCTGAAGCAGCTCATCAGTTGTTCTGCTGCTTTCTCCAACATTTCACCAGGATGAACTTTGCCCTGAGATTGTAACTGCTGCTCTGCCTGAGGACAACAACAAGTAAACAACAACAACAACAGTAAGTAAGTAAGAAAGTAATCTTTATTTTTATACCGCCTTTCACAGACCAGAGTCACAAAGCGGTTTACAATTGTTATTATTTTTGGGCATTTGTCTCTCACTCCACACAGAGATGGCAGCGGGGTCGCCAGTACAGGAGGCGCATGCCAGACCTATTGTGCCAACAGGTAAACAAAGAAACACCAGATGGAGGCACTCACGTTGTTGGCGAAGATGCGCAGGTCCAGGGTGACAGCAAACATGAGCGGCAGAGCCCTGTAAACAACAACAGTAAACAACATTTGACTTTGATAAAAACCCTCAGACCAAACACTCACCAGTTTTCCTCTTTATGCGACTGGAATGCTCTGAGGAACGCCGTGAGGAATCGGAAAAGAAGAGTGAGAGCGTTTGAGTGTGCGTGTGTGTGTCTGTGTGTGTCTGTGTAAAGGATATTGTACGACCAGAGTCTGGAACTTGTATGCTTCTACGAAGTCATGATTGGCCACGGCCAAACAGCACCTAAAACCGCCAATTAGAGAAAAGTCAGACCTCAGGCCCGCCCCCATGACTGTGCGAACCAATCAGACCAAACCCGCCCCCTGACCTCAGATGTGCCGCCACCATCTCGTCGTACGGAGGCTCCAGGACCTGCTGGCACTTGTCCTCAGGAGACTGGAGCTGAGACAAATAGACTGTTACATATACTGTCATTCATACTGTTACATATACTTTAATATACTGTACCTGTAGTCTGGGGTTGGCCACATGTGGATGCTTGAACGACATCAGCTCAGCGCAGAAAGAACCATCACGGTTCTCTATGGACTCCACCATCTACAACCATCATAGATCAGAGACCAGTCAGAGACCAGTCAGAGACCAGTCAGAGACCAGTCAGAGACCAGAGAGAGACCAGAGAGAGACCAGAGAGAGACCAGAGAGAGACCAGAGAGAGCCCAGAGAGATCCCAGTCAGAGACCAGAGAGAGACCAGAGAGAGACCAGAGAGAGACCAGAGAGAGACCAGAGAGAGACCAGTCAGAGACCAGTCAGAGACAAGGGACCGTGATAGACCAAAGAGGGACCAGGTACAGACACAAACACAAACAGGCAACCATGTTTTAACGCTTGTTCGATACTGCCGCCACCGCACCGGCCATCTGTCAATCACACCCATACATCACACCACAACAGGAACAACAAGAGTGTGAGAACGCCACCTGCTGGAGGTATTGGTTTATGGTGATGTGTGCCATGGTCCAAGCTGTGAAACACACAAAAAATAATCAATGTTGGGGTCTGTAACATTAAAGCTGGAGTAGAGAGACCAGAGAGAGACCAGAGAGAGACCAGAGGGAGAGACCAGAGAGAGAGAGCAGACACATTCTCTCTCCTCCTGTGTTCTCTCTCTGACGCACAGGGCACGTACCTGAATCAGGATCAGACTGTTTCTCTTTTAATGAAGCTCACACCGGGTTCTGTTTACGCCGCCATTACGCGGTCACTTCTTCTTCTTCTTTTAATTTCCGGCAGACTTGGCGCCTCATCGCGCATTGCTGCCTTTCCCGGTCATCTTGTGCACTACAACAACTTCCATAAAGAATAGGCTCAAGCCTATCCTCTATAACCAGATATGCAGCTCAGCTGCTCGTACAAAGTCCAAGACCGCTCTCACAACCAGATTCTGCTCTCTAACTGGACTCAGAAGAGACTTCAGATTGCAGTCCATAGATACCTTTGACATAATCTCCTTCAGCACGGCTCGCTGATGAGAATATACTGGACAATCCATGAATACATGACTCACAGTCTGATTCTTGTTACAGTGTGCACATAACCCACTTTGATGTTTCCCCACTATAAATCTGTCCCACGCTAGCCCACAATGCCCTAATCTCAGCCTGGTAAGGATGACCTCACTCCTTCTATCCTTAACACACATTATAGGCTTACGTTTAACAGAGGGATTGATAGCGTATAAGTGTCGCCCCCTGCTGTCCCCATCCCAAATTGCTTGCCAAGCAGCTGTACTATGGATTTTAATCTTAGCTTTCCACTCAAGCACCCCTGGCACTGAACTACACTCTAAAGGTTTTTTCAATGCCTGCTTTGCCGTATTGTCTGCAACTTCATTGCCCCATACACCAACATGAGCCGGGACCCAGAGGAACCCCACAGACCCCTTTGCTTTCTCAATCTCAGAAATTTCAGTCAGCAACTCGATCACTAGATCAGGCCTGGCATTGCCTTTGTCGAAACCTATAGAGCAGCCATTCCCAAACTCAGTAACACCGAGGCCCCCTTAAAAATCTGACGGGTCTGCGTGGCCCCCCAAAATAATAACCAAGAAGACAACATTAAGAATAGGCTCTTCTGGTTATTTTATTTTGGGGAAATAGCCTCTGCTACAAACATTGTAATACAAAAATGATTACAGTGGATTATTCAAGTCAAATAATGAACACAAATATTTTAATATTACAAACAAAACATTATAAATTTAACATTAAATAATTATATTATTTTTTTATTTTTTTTATGACCTCCCGCGGCCCCCCTGCAGTACCCTCGCGGCCCACCAGGGGGCCGCGGACCCCACTTTGGGAGACACTGCTATAGAGCTTAACACAGCCGCTGAGTCTATTACGCGGTCACTTCCGGGTCAGTGACCTCATATCCGCCATTACTTTTCCCCTATATTTTATTAAACGACGTTTTACTTTTATTCAGAAACAGATTTAACGCGATTCTGAAACAGGAAGCAACTTAGTGTTTTAGCAAATAAAATTTCGAGACGCGAAAATCGCAGTGTTCGTGACTGTCCAGCAGAGGCCGTTCTTCCTGCGGCTCACGATGGGCTCACGGAGAAAACATACATTTAAAGCTGGGGTCTGTAACTTTAGTCTAATAAATAACACATGATTAAAGCTGGGGTCTGTAACTCGTCTCATAAATAACACATGATTAAACCACAACATGCTGTTATCACCTAACCCTACATGTATATATCAGTAGCGGCGGGTCCCGGCTCAAAAGTGGCCAAAATGACGTGCGCTGACATGCTTGCAATACCACCCCGGGCCGATGGGGGTGGACCCAGAAGTAGAATTAGCCAATGCTAACATATAGCATTGGCAGACCTCTCAAAAACGTCTTTACAGGATGGTCCAAAAGTTGGCTCTGGCCCAAAGCTCCGTTCCACATGTGTGTCAATGCTGAGGGGAGTGATTTTTTTTGGACCACTCTAGTTTACTCGCTGTGAATTTTTGAAGTCTCTCGTTCAAATGAATGGAGCTCTCACCAGCTGACGCATGCGCAGATGCGTTTTTTCACAGTTTTCTTGTGGGCGGGACCACTCGCTGCCATTTTGGATAGCTCCAGTAGAGCACATTTTTTGGCCCATTAGTTTGAACGGCGGAGATAGGCGTGACTCTGTCCGTTAATATATACAGTCTATGGTTTAAATACCCATAGAAAATCGAAAGTCTGTGCAGCGACAGCCTCAAAACATCACTGCTATAGAGGAGATCTGCATGGAGGAATGGGCAAAAATACCAGCAACAGTGTGTGAAAAACTTGTGAAGACTTAAACGTTTGAGCTCTGTCATTGCCAACAAAGGGCAAAAAACAAAGTATTGAGATGAACTTTTGTTATTGACCAAATACTTATTTTCCCCCATAATTTGCAAATAAATTCTTACAAAATGTGATTTTCACTTCCCCAACAACATCCTCCTCACACCAACATCATTCTGCATTTAACAGCAGCTGGGGAGATTGGAAACTGAAACTAGAGCTTTGCGTAGTTTTGTTTGGACGAACAAAGGAGAAGAATTCTCCTCCTTGTTATGCTCGAAGTACACGTAGCTAGATGTTAGTAGTACACCCATTTTTACAATGACGGAGGGATCATTGCAGCACCTTTTTCTTCACACTGCTGTCAAACAGCCCCCTCTGAGCAGCATATCTGTTCTGTTCCACTCTAGAGGTTGTTTCTCAACGCCTGAGCTTTCACCTGATGCTCCGTCTCCATGTAAACAAGAGGCCAAACTGGTACCAACTCGTTGTACAGTCGCAGCGTAAACACCACCAGAATTATCCTTGAGTGATCACTATCTGCCTCTTTGGGCTGAGAGCTGATTGGCTGAGTGAGGGTGGTCCTCTCTTTGATAAGATAAGATAGACTTTATTGATCTCACACTGGAGAAATGTACATGTCACATTTGGCATGGATAGAATCACTCAGAAAAATGTTAAAGGCAAAAAATATAGTCTGTTCCGGATATATTTTGTACAATAAAAAAGCAATTAAAGAAACAGTGGCAATAGTAGTGCAGCTTTGATCTAAAGATGTGACATCACAAATACATGATGTGAAACTAGTGACAGAAGCAACTGTCTTCTTTCACTAAAGGGAAAAAAAGAAGGTCCAAGGGACAACTGACTTTAAAATAAAAAGTTACAGACCTAGCTTTAAAGTGACAGATCCCAGCTTTAAAGTTACATACCTCAGCTTTAAAGATAAGACCCCAGCTTTAACCTATGCTTTAACCACAAGAAAGACTATTCAAAACTATGAAGCACAAATAAATAATTGTGAAAAGAATAAAGTCTTTGTTCGTTAATGATTTCCTTCCTCACACAAACACACACACACACAGACACACACACACACACACACAGACACACACACAAACACGCTCACACAGACTTTCTCTCCTCATGAATCAGTCTGTGTCTGTGTCTGAATTGGACCAAAGCTCTTTTCAGCAGAAATCACATGATCAACAGAGAGAACATCACCATCACTAAGGAAGTAAGTACATTTATTTACATAGCACCAGAGAGAGACCAGAGAGAGAGACCAGAGGGAGACCAGGGAGAGAGACCAGAGAGAGAGACCAGAGGGAGACCAGAGAGAGACCAGGGAGAGAGACCAGAGAGAGAGACCAGAGAAAAACCAGAGAGAGACCAGAGAGAGACTGGAGAGAGACCGGAAAGAGATACGTGCAACAGTCCAAACTCTGGGGACTATTGTCCCTATGTTTGAAGCTCTAGAACCTTCTTCACTACTTCTCAGGATCTCTGAGGCTGGTTCTCGGTGCTTTGTGCAGGTCCTAAGTCAACCTGATGCCCCTCCCTCATGCCGCTCCTGAAGCCCCTGATGCCCTGCTCGCCCCCTGTGGAGGGGCTCGGCATCAGCTCTACTCCCTCATCGGGCTCCTCGTCGCCTGGGCCCTGTGCCTCAGCTGCTGCCTGAGCCCGTGGGCAGAGATGCGGTCAGAGCTGGTCGAGGTTAGCGTGTTAGCGTGTTAGCATGTTAGATTAACTACTATAACATGGACAGAGGCGCTAACATGTGATGCTGTTTACAGGTGGAGCGTGTTAGCGTGAGCTTATGGTCTGTGTGTGTGGTCCAGGACTCCGCCTTCACCTGTAAACCTCACGGCTCACTTCTCAACATGCCCCGCCCCCTCATTATGGGGCGTGGCCTTCTGCTGGGGGCGCTACTGAGCGGAGCGGCGACCTTTGCGGTTCTGGTGCCAGGACTCAGCCTGGTGCACACAGAGAAGGTGAAACGACATGATAACCACAACATGCTAACAGCAGGCTAACTACAGACTAACTACGCAGCTACATGACTCCTGTTTTTTAATCCTAATTATAACAATAATAAAGGCCTGTGGACACTCGCGCGGTGCTGGTTACGTTGGACCTACGAAGCTACAGTTGGTGGTACACTTGCGCGTTCCCCTTGCAGAGTTTTGAAGAGAATGTTGTAATCCCACACCCAACCACATGATGGCGAACTCACAGGAGTTGTCTGAGAAACCAAAGCGGTCCCATTTACGCAGCTACTTTCTGCTCTTCAGAACAAAAACAATAGCAAAATTAAAGCCGCAAGCGGCGTCAAACGGCCCTCGCCGCACCGCGCAACCCCCGCACCGCGCGCACTCCCCGCACTGAGTGCACTCCCCGCACAGCGCGCACCATCCCGTGCCACGCCGCCCCGCACCAAGCCACCCCGCACCAAGCCACCCCGCACCACGTCGCCCTGCACCACGCCATCCCACATCACGCCGTAACGCGCCGCTCCACAACGCCCCGCACTACGTCGCACCACACCGTAACGTGCAGCACCGCGCAAAGGAGGTGGCGCCGCCGTGTGATGATTTGCTCCCGTAGCCATAGAAGAATGTTAGTCAAATCGTAATGAATATGATAAGTAGAGCTGGTTTGGCTCCCCATGTAAACTTTGACTCAATCTGTAGGGGGCGCTAATGGGCCAATTTCAAATATTTCACTTTCACCTGACCTAAACCCCCGAGTTGAAAAATTGAATCATGTTTAATGCAAATCAGACTTTGTATGTGCAAACGGGAAAAAAATTAATGTTGTCAAAAACGGCCAAAAAAAACCTTACATTTTGCCGCTCCGCTGCTCAAACAACGTTTCACTGATCAAAAATCCTTGAAGTCATTTTGAAGGTACATGTGTTTAGACAATGTGGAGCGATTTTGACGCAAATCGGTGAAACGGCCAAGGAGGAGTCGCTTTCCAACCGACACGTGTGAAAAGGATCATGTTTCATTTGTCCAGGGCTGGACTGGCCATCGGGCGTACCGGGCAATGCCCGAAGGGCCAATGCCCATATTTGGGCCGGTCTGTCTGCCTCATACAAAAAACATGTTTGTGAAAAGTGTAAATCCGTTGAGAAATGTTTGAGGGGAGCGCGCGTGTCCGCGGGGCACCTGCTGTATGTACTCGAACGGGATTCCGCCACCTCAGCGGCCGCAGTATTCTCCTCTAAATTAAAGCTCGGGTACCTAAATTTTCCATTGCATTAAAAGTTCATGTTTGAGCCCAAAAGTAAAATGTTGTGAACAGATTAAACAGATTTAGAGCCAGCTAATGGCTGACAATATGCATTTCAGAAATTTTACGAATTCTCATCCCTGTAACAAACAATAGTATTGTCTGTGTCCACCTCCCTCACTCTGGGACATGTTTATTACTCTGTTTAATGTAGACTATTGTACTTTATTTTATTGTTGAAACTGCAGACATCCTGATCCTCTACAGTATTTGCTTCCACATACTGTATAAACCAGGGGTCGGCAACCTTTAGTGCCCCTAAAGTGGCTTCTGGAGCCTTTTCAAAAATGTCTGAAAATGGAGTGTGAGGGCTATATTTTATTTCTAGTTTCAATGTGGTTTCTGTAGGAGGAAAAACATTCTTAACGTTTTTCAATGCTGCAAAAACTTGAATTAGTAATATTCAATTTTAGCATTTCTGTCAACGTAGTGCGTCATATCCTGTGACGCGGCCCGTGCCAGGACTAAGAATGAGAATAAACATTTGCTTTCAGTCAATGAGGAAGGACTGCTTCATGTTTGCGATGTAATGAAAAGTTTTGTTGCAACAGGAGGAACAATGAATTTTTAAACACCGTTCACTGAAAGATTCATTCATCATAAAGTCAGAGCACCTATTTTCAGACTTCAAAAACCTCCGCAAAGACGATGAAAGAAAGAGCCATTAAGGACATTCAGCTCCAGCAAACTTCAGCCTGTGATGTGATCGATATGAACAGACAGTGATGCAGGTATGTGGACTCTGAGCCAAAAAGCAGATTTATTCCGTCATTCTCTCCAGGACACGCTGCAATGAAAATACACATTTGATAATCATGAATGGTTTTTATGTGTTTAGCCTTTACTTTGTCATTTGGATATTAGGCTAATATAGCTAATATAGCTAATATAGCTAATGTAGCTAAGGTAGCTTATGTAGCTAATGTAGCTAATACAGCTTCAGCCCCTGTTACCTTCATATAAGCCTTATACAACGCTGTTTTTTTTTTGCGGCTCCAGACAGATGTTGTTTTTAGTTTTTTTGTCAAATATGGCTTCTTGAACCTTTTGAGTTGCCTGGGCCGCTAAAAAGGAAAAAATGCCCGGGCCGTTTTTTTGTCCCAGTCCAGCCCTGCATTTGTCCATTTTGAAGTGAAATTTATGGGCTTCCTGTTTATCAGGGGGCGGGGCCATAATAACTTTTATTTCAGGTCTTGAGATGAGGAACATGTGTACCAAATTTCATGCCTATACAGCAAACTTGACCTCGAAACGCTCCCATACCTAAAACTTTGACCCCATCTGTAGGGGGCGCTATTGAGCCAAGTTAATTTATTTCACTTTCAAATGACCTAGACCCTAGAGCTGAACAATGTATTAAAGTTTTGTGCAAATCCGACTTTGTATGTGCAAACGGGAAAAAAATTAATGTTGTCAAAAACGGCCAAAATAAACTCACATTTTGCTGCTCCGCTGCTCAAACAACGTGTCACTGATCAAAAATCGCCGAAGTCAGTTTGAAGGTACATGTGTTGAGATGATGTGGAGCGATTTTGAGGCAAATCGGTGAAACGGCCGAGGAGGAGTCGCTTTCCAACCGACATGTATGAAAACTTTTGCTGTTAATTTTTCCATTTTGCAGTGAAATTTATGGGAATATGAACAGCAATCATTTTCATACATGTTGGTTGGAAAGCGACTCCTCCTCGGCCGTTTCACCGATTCGCCTCAAAATCGCTCCACATCATCTCAACACATAGTAAGTAAGTAAGTAAGTATTTATTTATATACCGCCTTTTCACTGCAGATCTGAGTCTCAAAGCGGTTTACAATTGTTAATTTTTGGGCATTTGTCTCTCACTCCACACAGAGATGGGAGCGCGGTCGCCATCACAGGAGGCGCATGCTAGAACTATTGGACATATTTTTAGTGGTAGGGGAAACCGGAGTACCCGGAGGAAACCTACGCAGACACGGGGAGAACATGCAAACTCCACTCAGAAAGGCCCTGGTCCGACCGGGATTCGAACCCAGGACCTTCTTGCTGAGAGGCGAGAGTGCTATCCACTCAGCCACCGTGCCGCCACATGTACCTTGAAAATGACTTTTGATGATTTTTCATCAGTGAAATGTTGTTCGAACAGGGGAGCTGCAAAATGTGACTTTTTTTTAATACATTGTTCAACTCTGGGGTCTAGGTCAATTGAAAGTGAAATAAAAGAATTTGGCTCATTAGTGCCCCTACAGATGGAGTTAAGTCTGTAGGGGGCGTTAATGAGCCGAGTTCAATTATTTCACTTTTAAATGACCTAGACCTTAGAGTTGAACCATGGATTCAAGTTTTGTGCAAATTGGAATTTGTATGTGTAACCGGGAGCAAATAGAATGTTGTGAAAAATGGCCAATAAACACTCACATTTTGCCGCTCCGCTGCTCAAACAACGTTTCGCTGATCAAAAATCCCTGAGGTCATTTTGATGGTACATGTGTTTAGACAATGTGGAGTGATATGGAGGCCAATCGGTGAAACGGCCGAGGAGGAGTCGCTTTCCAACCGACATGTATGAAAATGATTGCGGATCATTTTTCCATTTTGCAGTGAAATTTATGGGCCTCCTGTTTGTCAGAGGGCGGACCAAATTTCATGGCTCTACGACAAACTTGACCTCTGAAACTCCCATTGGCTGTTGTAGGTGGCGCTGTTCTGGCATTTTTTGAGTCCCATAAAAATAAACACCCAAATATCAAATATTTCACCAGGTCTGATGTTTGGGCACTTTTCATGCATGTTCAGGGGGTGAAATTAAGGCTCAAAGTGCAGAATTTGACATCTCTCGAGCAAAAACAATATAGGTTTCAATGGCACGTGATACATCATTTTAAAGCGTTTGAGTTTACGCACGCAACCGTCACGTCGGGGTGAGTGACGGGCGCTGATGCGTCCGTCACGCACCGCCACCATTTGCATTCACCATTGTGAAAGCAATAGGCCCTTACCCCGTTCGGGGCTCGGGCCTAAACAAGCTGTTTGAGATCATTACATGTGTTTCTACTGTAGGTTTAAGTGACAGTTTCACATCGTTTCAACTCATTTAACTGTGATGTTGTGAATAAAGACACAGTTCTTATTGAAAACATAGTTATTATTAAAGTGTATTCAGCACAAACAGAAAAACAATAAGTGGTAAATCTCTGAGATAAACATGAACTATTTACAAGTGCAGGAGGAATGCAACAGACGCGATAAGCTACGAGTGTTCAAACAAAGACAGGAACAGTGCAAAAGAAACGACTGTGCAGTTTATAAGTTATATATATGTTAAGTAGATATGCAACAGAACTCTCGTCCACAGTCTCTGCGTATATCAGACTCTGAGCCATGAGCCCGAACTGCTTTTCCTCCGGTTCCTTCGAAGCACGAAACAGTCTGCTTTTAAGTGCCTCGTCCATGCTCCCTGCAACCGCTCCATGCTTCCCAGAAAGTAATCACACAAGGACCAATCACAGTGGAGCTTGTCTGCGGCGGCGGCTGCGTAGTCAGAAATTAAGGCTACGTAAGGGCCTTGCGGTGCATTGCGCAAGTGACGTCACGTCACCACGCGACTATACACTAGGCTTGACATTAGCTTTACATAACCTTACTTTAACTTCAGTTGTAGCAAAACTATGTCATATAATTAGCATAGTATTAGTAATACGTGGGATCGCACTCCTCAGCCTCCCCGGTGAGGTTTACTCCAAGGTACTGGAGAGGAGACTATGACCGATGGTCGAATCTCGGATCCAGGAGGAGCAGTGTGGTTTTCGTCCCGGCCGCGGAACACTGGACCAGCTCTATACTCTCCATCGGATACTCGAGGGTTCATGGGAGTTCGCCCAACCTGTCCACATGTGCTTTGTGGATTTTGAGAAGGCGTTCGACCGTGTCCCTGTATGACCGGAGTCAGCGCTGCGTTCACATTGCCGGCAGTAAGTCAGACCTGTTCCCGGTGCATGTTGGCCTCCGCCAGGGCTGCCCTTTGTCACCGGTTCTGTTCACTGTGTTTATGGACAGAATTTCTAAGCGTAGCCAGGGGTCGGAGGGGGTCAGGTTTGGGGACCACAGGATTTCATCTCTGCTGTTTGTGGACGATGTTGTCCTGTTGGCTCCAATGAACCAGGACCTGCAACATGCACTGGGACGGTTTGCAGCCGAGTGTGAAGCAGCTGGGATGAGAATCAGCACCTCCAAATCCGAAGCCATGGTGCTCGACCGGAAAAAGGTGCCTTGCCCTCTACAGGTGGGTGGAGAGGCCCTTCCTCAAGTGGAGGAGTTCAAGTATCTCGGGGTCTTGTTCACGAGAGAAGGAAGGATGGAGCGTGAGATTGACAGACGGATTGGTGCAGCGTGTGCAGTGATGCGGTCACTGTATCGGACCGTCGTGGTAAAGAGAGACCTGAGCCGAAAGGCAAAGCTCTTGATTTACCGGTCAATCTTCGTTCCCTCCCTTGAGGGAACTTTGGGTAATGACCGAAAAAAACGAGATTGCAGAAGCGGTCGAAATGAGCTTCCTTCGCAGAGTGGCTGGGCGCTCCCTAGAGATAGTGTGAGGAGCTCAGTCACACGGGAGGAGCTCGGAGTAGAGCCTCTGCTTCATGTTGAGAGGAACCAGTTGAGGTGGCTCGGGCATCTGTTCCGGATGCCTCCTGGACGCCTCCCTGGGGAGGTGTTCCGGGCACGTCCCACCTGGAGGAGGCCCCTGGGAAGACCCAGGACATGCTGGAGGGACTATGTCTCTCAGCTGGCCTTGGAATGCCTTGGGGTCTCCCTGGACGAGCTGGAGGAAGTGTGTGTGGATGGGGAAGTCCGGGCGTCTCTGCTTAGACTGCTGCCCCCGCGACCCGACAACGGATGAAGCGGAAGAAGATGGAATGGAAAAATGGAATGGAATTAGTAATACAGGTGGTATAGGATTGTAGCGCCCTCCTCCTGTGGTAGCGTGTGGTACTGCATGTCTCTGTGTTCACAGTGCGAGTCCAGAGTGGCACCCTCCTGTGGCCTGAAGCGCAGACTGCGCGCTGTGGGAGCGTGGCTGTGTGTGGTGACATCACTGTTGGAGGCGTGTCCTGTGACATGGGCGGGGATGGAGACGGCGCGGCGCCACGCAGAGGATGCCATGTTGGCGGGGCCTCGCTGGGATCTGGGGGCGGGGCTCTTCATGGGCTGGGCCTCTGCTGCAATCTATGTGGGGACTGCAGGGGCGCTGTGGAGCTCTGTGAGGGGGGGCGGGGCCAGAGGGGGGAGGGGAGAAGCAAGCGGGCAGAGGAACGGGGCCAGGCAGGAGTACGTCTGACACACAGACTGTATATTAGTTGTGGGCTGACCGAGTGTGACATCACCATACTGTATGCCTTGGCATTAGCTTTATGCTGTAACAGAGGCAGACGAGTTCTCTAAGACTCTGAATGAAGGCCTCTGATTGGTCAGTCCTTATATGGCTCATATATGGACAAATACAATATCACATGTAAACACAGGATCACAGAGAGCACTAAACCACGGATTTAAGCCCAAAATGGTGAGTGTGACACAAACGTTACTGAGCGAGAAGAGTATACTTTTAAACGGAAGTCAGTAGGAGCCAGAGAGAGAGGACAAAACTTCAACATGAGCACTTCCCTAATGGAATTCATTAAGCTAAGAGGTTAGCATTGAGCTAACAGGTTAACATCGAGCTAGCAGGTTAGCATTGTCCGTGTCTATTCTTGGGATCCATATGACATCAGAGCAGTGGCGCAAATAACAAACGTAGGACAGGACGTGACGTATCCATGCGGTGCAGTCTGCCGGGTTTATACACGGACATATAGTTGAAGAAGCGCTGTCAAAATGCCATCTTTTTATGCGGTGTACGCTTGTAGCAACCACGCAACTAGAGAGAAAGATAAGAGTTTCTTCCTTGTTTCTTCCGTGTCTCATATAAAGGAGTACACTTTGAAAAAATCACTCGAATGAGGCGGGGGCGAGGTGGATCAAGGCTTTCCCCTGCAGGCCACCCGAATGAAAAGCAGCAATTTCTTCTGTTTTTCTTTCCAAAAAGGCCAGAAATCAAGACTCTTTTGAGAAATATTTTTTAGTACTCCATGCGATTTACATGGTTTTCAATGGGAGCAAAACTGAGTTGTCTCACCTCTGCTCATACGCCCCCTACTGGCCAGTTTAATGAAATCCAAGAATACAGTCTGTGGTCTGACATCACTGCTGCTTCGCACACACCGCCTCTCTACTGTATCAGAGGCTCTGATTGGCTGCTGCTGTATTGAATGTAAATCCTGATGATTGTAAATAAACTTCACCAAATACATAACAAATATTTTGTTCCTTTTTCCTTCAGTTTGAAGATGTCAGACTCAGACATGGTCCAGACTTGGTCTCTGAGGTCAGACTCATTAAGGATGTTCTCATTGTTTTCACTCCAGTTCAGATCTTGTTCCAGTTCACAGCGGGGTCCAGGTCTCGGTTTTGGTCCGGTCTCTCTGAAGTCTAGGTCTGGTCTCTCTGAAGTCTCGGCCTGGTCCTTATATGTCTAGCACGTGGTGTTAATGCTGGATAATGAGTTTAACAGAGAGGCTTTGTGTGAGAACAAAGAGGGACTGAACTTGGTCTGGGCCCGGACTGGACTGGATCTGGCCCGGGACAGGACCGGGTTGGACCGGGTCTGGTGTGTTCAAATAAAACCACTTGTGGACAATATGTTAGTTTTTATTGAGACCAAAATAGTAAAATATTGACATAATAATATTATCATGAAACATGAACACATTGAACAAACTGAACTGAGAGAAACAGATCCAAGATGTCTGCCGCCATTTTGGCTCAAGCTGTACTGTTCTTCTGCTAGAATACCACTCAAGCCCCCTGGTGGTCTGAACTGGTACCACCACATAGAGCTGTGGAACATAGAGCTGTGGGACATAGAGCTGTGGGACATAGAGCTGTTGGACATAGAGCTGTAGGACATAGAGCTGTGGGACATAGAGCTGTAGGACATAGAGCTGTAGGACATAGAGCTGTAGGACATAGAGCTGTGGGACAAAGAGCTGTAGGACATAGAGCTGTAGGACATAGAGCTGTGGGACATAGAGCTGTGGGACATAGAGCTGTAGGACATAGAGCTGTAGGACATAGAGCTGTAGGACATAGAGCTGTAGGACATAGAGCTGTAGGACATAGAGCTGTAGGACATAGAGCTGTGGGACATAGAGCTGTGGGACATAGAGCTGTGGGACATAGAGCTGTAGGACATAGAGCTGTAGGACATAGAGCTGTGGGCCACGGGGTTCAGGTTTGGGTCAGGGTTTGTTCAATTGAGTCGAATCTGATATGAGCAGACATACTGGCTCAAATTGGCCTCCATCTTGGCTCCTGCTGTCCTCCATCTTGGCTCTAGTTGGTGTCCATGCCGCGGTAGATCCAGGGTAGGAAGTTGGCGACCCTGGTGTAGACGCCGTACTGGCCCTTGTCGGCGCAGCCTCGGCCCCAGGACACGATCCCAGTCAAAAAGGAGGTCTTCCTGTAGCGCGTCACCAGAGGCCCCCCAGAGTCCCCCTCACAGGAGTCCTGGCCCCCGGACAGGAAGCCGAAACACAACATGTTCTTAGAAATGTTCAGGCCAGTGTGGGTTCTGCAATCCAGGGTCCGAACCCGAGGGACCTGCAGACGACAAGTACAAGTACGGCAAAGGACAAGTACAAGTACTGCAAAGTACTGCAAAGGCCAAATACAAGTATGTGTAGTACCTACTTGAACTTGCACCAAGATACTTACTTGTAGTACAGGTACTACAAGTAAGTACTTGTAGTACCTGTAGCACTTACGTTCAGCCTCTGTAGTACTTCTGATGCCTGTCCCTGTTGAACCACTCGGCCCCATCCGGACACTGTGGAGACACGGACTGAGGCTAGAGTCCGGACCAGACCTGAGAGCTGGTCTCTGGGACCCGGGAGACAGACCGGGATCACGAACCGGTTCATCTTCAGATCCCAGACCAGTCTGAGCAGAGCCAAATCCGAGTCCGCTGTAGTCTGGTTATAATCTGGGTGGACCAGGACTCGGACCACACGTCTCTTCTGCTCTGTATTCTCTAGTATCGAGCGATCGTGTTCCCCTGAGGAGACCAAGACCAGGTCAGGACCGGGACAGAACCAGGACCAGGTGAGGACCAAGACGACGATTAGACTGTAATTAGACCTGGATTAGACTGGATTACCATGGATTAGACCTGGATTCTTCCTGAATTAGACTTGATTAGAATAGATTAAATTGTATTAGACCTGGATTCTACCTGGATTAGACTTGATTAGAATAGATTAGACTGTATTAGACCTGGATTAGACTATGTTAGACCTGGACTAGACTGTATTAGACCTGTATTAGACTGGATTACCTGCAATCACATGGAAGACACTCTGAGGTTTGGGAAACACACAGTGAGCCGCAGTCAGGACCCAACGAGGACTGAGGATCACAGCTCCACACGAGAAGACATGGTTCTCCATCAGAAGAGCCTGAGGGGGGAGGGAGGGTGAGAGAAGAGAGAAGAGGGGGGGGGGGGGGGGTGAGAGTAGTAGCAGTAGTATAAGCAGTAGTAGTAATAGTAGTAGCAGCAGCAGCAGTAGTAGTGGTAGTAGTACCTGCCAGGGACAGTGTCCTTTTGGACAAACTTGTCCGTTCACAACTCTGGGAGCAAAAAACATCTGCAGACGACCACACGGAACATCCACTAGAGGAAGACACACACACACAGACGCACGCACAGACACACAGTTAACGTTAAATTAGCATAGCACCCAGGCTCATAGTGGCCCGTAGACTGACCAATAGGAGAGCAGCTGGCATTGTCGTGGTTGCGCTTGTAGCCGTCTGCACAGGAGCACATCTGAGCACGCTCAGTAGCGTTGTGAACACAGAAGTGTTCACAACCGCCATTACGGTGTCTACAGCTGGAGGACGAGGACAGGCGGGCTGTAAACAACAAGTAAACAACAGGAAAACAAGTAAACAACAACGAGTAAACAACAACAGGTAAACAATAGGAAAACAGCAAGTAAAGAACAACCGGTAAACAACAACATACAACAACAGGTAAACAATAACAACAAGTAACCAACAACAGGTAAACAACAACAGTACTTGTCTGTGTGTGTGTGTGAATCTGTTTGTGCGTGTGTCGGTGTGTGTGTGTATGTCTCTGTGCGTCTGTGTGTCTCTGTTTGTTTGTGCGTCTGTGTATCTGACTCGTACCTTTATCACACAGGTTGCCATGGTAACCAGGTGCACATTTACAGGTGAAACTGTTCACGTGTCTTGTGCAGGTGGCGCCGTTCTGACAGGGGGCGGAGTCACACGGGTCTCCAGCTGATGACATCACACAGACAATGGCATCACACAGAGAAGATGACATCACAGAGAGGTTGCAGTAGTAGTAATAGTAGTTAATAGTAATAGTAGTAGTGGTAGTATCAGTAGTAATAGCAGTAGTAGTAGTAGTAATAGTAGTTGTATCAGTAATAATAGTAGAATTAGCAGTAGTATCAGTAGTAATAGTAGTAGTTGTAATAATAGTATAAGTAGTAATAGTAATAGTAGTAGTATCAGTAGTAATAGTAGTAGAAGTACCTTTGTATTTTGTGTAGAAGTTCTCCTGAAATACATAGTAATATTAGCTGGATTAACCACAGAGGTCCAAGGGTCTGAATTCTGTTGTGTGGCAACCAGAGGACTACTCGAGTACAGTATTGGGGAATAGACTAGAGTACAGCTGCAGAGTACTGGAGTAGATTAGAGTACAGCAGTAGAGAACAGGAGTAGAGTAGAGTACTGGAGCAGAGTACTGAAATAGTGTAGACTACAGGAGTATAGTACTGAAGTAGAGTACTGCAGTAGAGTGGAGGGGTAGAGTACTGGAGTAGAGTAGAGTGCAGGAGTGGAGTACTGAAGGACTGAGTAGTGAAGTACTGAAGTACCAGCTGCTGTCTCAGGGGGAAGATCTCCCTGGCCTCCTCGTATGAGCACTTCTCCTCCACACACTCGCGCTCCAGGTTCCCCGTCCGCAGCTCCTCCAAGAAACCATTAGCTCTACGGGTCCGGACCAAGACCGGATCTGAACCAGGTCTGGACCCGCCCAGGATCGAGTGAGCACACTGTGGATCCACAAAGACTGAAACAACAGAAGAAAATAACCAAATTACAAATCACACACTGGGAAAGGTCAGTGAGTTGTTTAGACCCGTGTTGACTTCTCACCCCAGACCAGGGAGAGAGACCAGAGAAAGAGACCGGAGAGAAAGGCCAGAGAGAGAGAGAGAGACTAGAGAAAGAGAGACCAAAGAGAGAGAGAGACCAGAGAAAGAGAGAGCAGAGAGAGAGATCCGAGAGAGACCTGAGAGAGAGAGCAGAGAGAGAGATCTTTCTTTGGTTGGAGTGTTCTCACTGAACACTACTCAGCAGAATAACTTTGTCGCAAGGCGGGTTAGAGGCCCGGCTGGAAAAGAAGACTCTAATTTCACTCTGAGGCTGAAGTTTTGTGAGTGCACAGAACCAACGAGAACAACAAACAAGAGACTAAACCAGGACTGGACCAGGTTTGGACCAGGACTCCCCGCAGACTCACCTGAGGCCCAGGTGTATGCTGGGAGCAAGAGGACGACGCTGAACAAGACCGCAACCATTTTATTTCTGACCAAAGTCTGAGTTCAGAGCAAACAGCCCAAATACTGCTTGCCCAAATAAGGACAACAGGAAGAGAGAGACCAGAGAGAGACCAGATAGAGAGACCAGAGAGAGATCAGAGAGAGAGCGAGAGACCAGCGATTAAGATGAAGAGATCCTTCATTCATCCCACAGTAGGGAACTGTCAGTGTTGCATCACCAGTTACAGAGCAGTAGGAATGAGGAGCACACAGCACAAGATGAACAATTACTCTATACTAAAATAATAAAGAAGCAAGTATAAAATCTCTAACTTTATAAGAAGCTAGAGATAAAGAAGTAAGTATAAATAGTGTACAATCTAGTGCAGACACAGTTGTATGTTTGCAGCATGAGGCTCTGGGATATAGACATGTGGTTATTGCATATTCTGACATTAGTTCAGTTCATTGCACAGGTGCACCACATGTGAGGTCAGTGTTTCTTAGTCCTCATTGTTCGTTGTACAGTCTGACAGCAGCAGGAGAATCTGGTCTTGATCCCGGTCCTGGTCATAAACACACATATTGAACCAGGCTGTTGTTGTGACAGGTCTGTCCTCCTGCTGCTGCCAGACTGTACAACGAGAACTACTGATTGTACACATGCATTCATCTGTCTCCTCCTCGGGTGCTTTTTCCCAGTAGTTTGACTTAAAAGAAATGTACTTTACTTCACGATGTTAAACGTATTCAACACTAACCAAGTGAATGACACCGTTTCTTTCATGTAGCAAATCTGTAATATGCTTTTAAAAATGTATTATATATTTATTACCCCGAGAAAAGTCTATTATTTTCCCCGCAATTTGACTCGCAGGCATTTACTTCGATATCAACCGTATTGTGCCGTTCCCCGTGTTATAGAGAGCACACAGTGCTACAGGAGGTTAAATTACTGATTAAAAACTTTATAATACAACTATAAAAACAGAAAATGTAACAAAATACGGGCTCTGTGAAATTTCAACACTGCTGTTCGTTTGTTAAGAGTACGGAAGCCTTCGCGGGGCATATCTGTGAATGAGCTCCCGCGCGTTTCCTCCCTGTTGTGTTTCCTGATGATTCCGTAGTGTACAACAGTCTAATCCAGTTTAATCTCGTGTTTACGGTTCCGTTCTGTAGATACTCACATGTATTCCGCGAAGAGACGCGGGAGAATCTCTAATTCTCTGTAAAAAGTGTTTTTGTGGCGTTTCGCGACTGCAGAGACAAGATGGAAGACACAGAGACAGAGCTGCCACAGAGTGGTCAGGACTTTTCATCTACATTAGAACGATAATACTGCATACTATCATAATTATTATTATTATAATTATAGGACTCTATAGGCTGACTTTTCCCCTGCTGCTGTATTAAAGACAAACCTGTGTTATTTACTGTTTAAATGTTGATTCAAACAGTAAATAACAGTGTTAATGTGAAAGTTACAGACCTCTGTCATTATTTTAAGTGGGAGAACTTGCACAATCGGTGGCTGACTAAATACTTTTTTTCCCCACTGTATATATGATACTAATCTTATTTCAGTATCTGCCTCTCGGTCAGCGACAGGCTTCTGCTGATCACACCCTGACCTCTGATCTCTGATGCTGTTCCAGACCGTGCCAGACTGTTCTGGGCCACTCAGGACCTGGACTCGGTCTTCTCTGAGATCCAGCTACAGGTGAGGGAGCTGCAGGGCCGGCTGAAGGAGGAGCCCTGTGATAAAGGTATGATGTTATGATGCTACGATGTCTTTGTTAAAGGTACACCAGGCTACACAGACACACAAGCCAACACACACATGTACATAGACACACCCACACAAACAAACAGACAGACACACACACTTCTTCCACCACTAGAGTGGGCTCCTGTATGTTGCAGACCTGGTGCAGAGCCTGAAGCTGCTCGAGGCGTTTGATTGGCCCACAGTGAGCCCACCCTCTGTGGTGCAGGTGGTGATTGGCTCAGGTATGCTGCAATTCATTTTGATTTGTACCAGAAGGTGATGTCACTGCTCTTCTCCCCAGATGCCGCTCCCCCCTCCGCTCCTGCAGCACTCCCAGTGTACGAGGAGCACTACTGCAGCCAGGTCAGTGCCAACATTACCCATGATGCTCTGTTGTAGTGCTGTGTTACTCATGATTAGGGCTGGGACAACGCACCGACGTAATCGATGACATCGACGCAAAAAATACATCGATCCAAAATATGCACGTCGATGCGTCAAACTCAAAACAAAAAAGATGGCAGCGAGTAGTAGCAGTAGTACGCGAGTGCCGTTTTATGGGGCTTTCAGACCACCTAAGACCGCCACTGGAACGCAGTTTCCACGTACAGTAGACGCACATTCTCTAAATTACAGAGGCTAGGGGTGTTCAGACCATAGATAAATTAACGGACAGAGTCACGCCTATCTCCGCCGTTCTAACTAATGGGCCAAAAAATGTGCTCTACTGGAGCTATCCAAAATGGCCGCGAGTGGTCCCGCCCACAAGAAAATTGTGAATAAACGCATCTGCGCATGCGTCAGCCGGCGAGAGCTCCATTCATTTGAACGAGAGACTTCACAGCGAGTAAACTAGAGTGGTCCAAAAAAAATTCATCCCCCTCAGCATTGACACACATGTGGAACGGAGCTTTGGGCCAAGAGCCAACTTTTGGTCCGTCCTGTAAAGACGTTTTCGAGAGGTCTGCCAATGCTATATGTTAGCATTGGCTAATTTTTCTTCTGGGTCCACCCCCATCGGCCCGGGGTGGTATTGCAAGCATGTCAGCGCACGTCATTTTGGCCACTTTTGAGCTGGGACCCGCCCCCACTGGTTCAGACCAGAAGTCCTGGGCTAACAGAGTTAAACTAGCGGAGTTAGGCTAGCGGAGTTAGGCTAGCAGACCTAGCGGTGTTTTGCTGGCGGCTTTTTGTGTAAAGTTCTTATCCAAAAGGCAGCTCTGAAGCGTCTCTGTGTTCAGAGACCTTCCAGAGACTTTATATAACAGTAGTATGTGTTCACGGCGGTGCATCATCAGTTTGTTTTATTATTAGACGGTACTTCCGCATCGGCGAACATGCTAGCTGTGCTATATGCTACTTTAGTCACTGAAGATGGACAACTCGGGCTGTCGGTGCATGTTCACAAGCACACACAAAGAGACAGACAATATTCTTAAGGGGAAAGGAAAGTTTCAGAGTCTTAATTGTTATTTGTGAATGAAGATGATTATTTCAGTCAGCTAGGCCTGTGTTTAACTTAACTGTTGAATTCTAAATGTTTATTTTCATTATTTTTTGCTAGAAAAGCACTCTCTCTTTAGCTTAAATCGGTTTTATTTTTTATTTTATTGAATGCTAAACATCAAGTGTTATTTTCATCTGAAAGAAGAATAATAAGATTTATTTTGTTGTTGTTTTCAAGGCTTCAAGGTTTTCTGCTACCTCTGACTAAGAATTTTTTATTTTTGAATTTTAAGAGCAATAAATATATTTTAGGAAATCATGTTTTTTCTTTCAGATATGTAAATCAACATGTATACATTGATATTAGTCAATTAATGGGGAGATAATCGAATCAAACTGAAAGAATTAATCGTTAGATTAATCGATGCATCGAAAAAATAATCGCTAGATTAATCGTTTATCCCAGTCCTACTCATGATGCTCTGTGTTATAATCCTGTGTTACCCATGATGCTCTGTGTTATAATCCTAAGTGTCTATATTACTCATGATGCTGTCTGATGTAGTTCTGTTACAATACCCATGATTCTCTATGTTGTAGTCCTGTGTGCCTCCGTTACCCTTGGTGCCTCAGTCTCAGCTTTGGACGTCCAATCCTCTGAAGATTCCTTTGATCTACGGTTTTACCCGCTGCGACCAATCAGAGAAGGAGCAAAGGGACCAAACACAAAGCAGCGTGGTTTACAGGGCGCCGTGTGGGCTCCGCCTCCTCGACCCTGAGGCCGTCATGGACTTCCTGTTACAGACGCAGAGCTTCCATCTGATACAGGTGAGCTAGCCCCGCCCCCTCGGATACGACTGTTTCTCATTTGGATTCTGTTGTTTTTCAGGTGGATATGTTCTCCTTCAGTTCCAGTGTGTTTGTGGAGTCCCTGAGTCCTGGTCTGGTCTCTGGTCTGGTCACTGATCCGGTCTCAGATCCGGTCTCTGGTCCGGTCTCTGGTCCGGTCTCTGGTTCGGTCTCTGGTTCGGTCTCTGGTCCGGTCTCTGGTTCGGTCTCCGGTCCGGTCTCCGGTCCGGTCTCCGGTCCGGTCTCCGGTCCGGTCTCTGGTCCGGTCTCTGGTCCGGTCTCTGGTCCAGACCTCAGTCGGGGGTTGGAGATGACCCCTGTGGAGCTGTGTCTGTGGCAGGGACAGCGCCCCCCTGTGTTCAGATATCGGCATGAGCGCTGGCCGCGTGGCTGCTTTCTTACACGCTCTCCTCAGCTGTTCCACACATACTGCACCTGCAGGGGGCGCTGTGGGGCATCTGTAGAGGACTGCCCCTGTGGTCAGCTCACTGTGGGCTCCTCCTACACACACCAGCGTCTGTTAGAGCCCAACCCCAGCGGGTTAGTGCTTATTCATGATTCACACACAATACATTAGTCACACTCAACAGAGCCCTGGTCTGGGTCTAGTCCGGTTCTAAAGTCTCTGTTTCTCCTCAGGATCTTTGAGTGTGGTCCTTGGTGCGGCTGTGATCCGGGTCTGTGTCAGAACCGTGTGGTCCAACGAGGTCTGCGGGTCCGACTGCAGGTCTACAGGACTGAACCAGGTCCAGAGTCTGGTCTAGATCCGAAAGCAGACCCAAATCCCGAGAAGGGACCAGAACAGGGTCTAGACCAGAAGCTCGCCCAAAGTCCAGAGCTGAGTCAAGACCTGAGTGGAGACCAGAAACCAGACTCAGCCCCAGACCCAGACCAGGGACCCAGACCAGAGCGAGGCTGGGGGGTCCGCTGTAAGGACGACCTGGACCAGGGAACCTTCATCTGTGTGTATGCTGGTGAGTCTATGTTTAGACCTTGTTTAGTCCTGCTTTAGTCCTGCTTTAAACTTTTAGTCCTGCTTTAGACCTGCTTTAGTCGTGCTTTAGACCGGCTCGTCCTGCTTTAGACCGGGTTTAGACCTGCTTTAGTCCTGCTTTAGACCTGCTTTAGACCTGCCTTAGACCTGCTTTAGACCAGACCTCTCTTGTGCTGAAGGTGTGGTTCTACAGAAGAGTGACAGACTGGTCGAAGCTCCGCCCCTGAAGCATGATGGACAGCTGGAGGCCCCGCCCCTGAAGCAGAGGAGGGCAGAACTTGCATCAGATGACGAAGTGCAGCTTGTCACTGAGTGGCTGCCTTCAACCACGCCCACTTCTGACACCGCGCATGTGCCAGTGATCCAGAGAGGAAGTGATGTCACAGCTCAGGTGAGGAAGTGATGTCACACTACGGCGTTTCCCTGCAGGTTCCACTCAGACCACGACCATGTTAGATCTGCCTTTATTATTTCTGTCATCGTTAGCAAAATAAAGGAGAATATAAGGCCATGTTAGCAGTCAGAGGCTGTTTATCCTTTGATAAATGACTGAATGTGTCTGATGTTTGAGGAGCAGACGGCGCTCCCACATGGACACACAGAATCACAGCAGGTCTCAGTGAACGGGACAAAACGCAGTCTGCACCAGGACATGAACAGGACTAAGGACCTTTACCTCATCGATGCCAGTAAGGAAGGAAACGTGAGCCGCTTCTTCAATGTAAGGACACGCTGCATGCTAGCAATACTACTAAAACTGCATACTAATGCTACATGCTCACTTTACATGCATAAGCCACACACAAACCCACACGCTAACGCAACTATAAATGCTGCTACTTGCTAATGTAACCTGTTAACACTACATGCTAATGCCACAGGCTTACTTCATGTTTATGGGTCAGCACTAGATCATATACGGAAGCGGAAGTAAAAATAACAAACTAGCTATTCATGCCTAAACTTAACCAGCCATTCCCATAAAATAACCCCAACCCAGCCTCAACCCTAAACTTAACCATCTTACTTAAACACCTAAAACTTAACCAGTCACCATTTAAGGACGAATTAGTCTAAAATTAATTTGAAAGTAGGATTGTTACTTCCGGTTTCGTCCCGATTCCGTATATGATCTAGTGCCGACCCATGTTTATGCCGCCTACTATCGCCACATGCTAGCTAATGCCACATGCTAACCCTGTGTTCTCAGCACTCCTGTGACCCAACGCTCTTCGTACAAAACGTGTTCACGGATTCACATGATAAGAAGTTTCCAAACATTGCCTTCTTCACCAAGAGGTAAGACCCTGGACCAGGTTTAGGACCAGGACCGGACCTGGATTAGGACCAGGACTGTGCTGGTCTGGTCCTGGGCTTTATCTGTAATTTCCTCCACAGATGCCTCAAAGCAGGAACAGAACTCACCTGGGACTATAATGCCGCCCCCTCACAGGAAGAGACTGCTACAAAAAAGGAAGTGGAGTCTGGGATCCAGGAAGTGCTGTGTGTTTGCAACAGCGCTGCGTGTCGGCAGAAGTTCTACATCAGGAGCGCTGAAATATAACAGAGTATAACATTACCAGTGTGTGACATCACCAGTGTGTGACCTCACCACAGTGTGACCTCTCCACAGTGTGACATCACCACAGTGTTAGCATTAACGCAGGAGAAGCTGATTTGAACATAAACTGGAGCCTTAGATTGGCATTTGTTTGAGGCTTTTAGCTTAATAACATAAACAGAGAGCGGTAAACCTCAGATTTTCAAACCAAAATGGTGAGTGTGACACAAACGGTTACTGAGCTAAAGGAGTTTACTTTTACATGTGAGTCAATAGGAGCCAGAGAGAGGAGCCACACTTAACCATGAGTACTTCTCTTTTGGGCTTCAGTGAGCTAGCGGGTTAGCATTGTCCATCTTTATACAGTCTGGAAAAAAACTATGTATGAGAATCCGACATGATAGAACCCCAAGCTTGTTCCGGTTATTTCATGTTTTGTTTTAGTTTAATAAAAACAATAAAAACAATTGTGCTGTGTCTTCCTCTGTGTCCTCCTACATGTTCTTCTCTGTGACTTCCTCCACTATATCCTTCTCTGTTTGTCCACCTCTGTGTCCTCTGTTCTCCTCTCTGTCCTCTTCACTCTTTTCTTAAATGCATGTATTTCTTTGTTCGGTTACATGTTAAACGCCCATGAATAATACTACATGTATTACGGTTCTTCTGAAGGCTCCTGTGCAGTACACCTGTATAACTAATATTTACTGTCTATGGTAGAACTCCAGCACGTGGCTCCCTCTGGCGGCCGCGCTGCAAATAGCGCGTTTCATAACAGACTTTTATTGTGAAAGCGCTTGTCCTTATCTACATCCGGTCTGTTATCAGCTGCACGCACGCGGGGTTTGTTTACGTCCGGCAACACTAATATCAGCTGACAGTGGTATCAGTGGTAGAGTATCGTAGTACTCGCAGTAGTAAGTCTCTCCTCCGCCATGCTGCTGTCCCTTGGCGTCACTCTCTGGACGCTGTCGGTCTCTCTGTCCTCCGTGTCCTCTGTCCCACGCGTGTCTTCCGTGTCCCAGTGCAATCTCCAGATCCCTCCTCACGAAGAGGTAAGTGACTTTAAAAATGAGGGGACGTATCTTTAGAGCTATTAAAGCTGCTATGTAACATTAAAGCTGGGGTACGTAACTCAAACTACTGCTTCCATCACTAGTTCTTACATCATGTATATTTGGCCTCTGTCACATCTTTGAATCAGATTTCTGGTCGTACATTTCCCCACTGTGGGACCAATAAAGGATCTCTTAATTTTTGGTCTCTTTCCGGTCTCTTTCTCTTGTTTCTCTCTGGTCTTTTTCAGACAGAAAACTGAAAAAGAGAGGACCACCCTCACTCAGCCAATCAACTCTCAGCTTAACGATTCAAATAGTGACTCACAGGGCTCTTTCTTGCACAGACGATACATGCTCCATAAGCCCCGCGCTCCTCTGTGATTGGTCCTTTCTTGATTGGCAGGTGGCCCGTGTGGCCCGCTTCATTGTGCACGTCTGTGATTGGGCGTCGTTGGCCACAGTCTCGAGCCGGGAGCCTGTGATTGGTCAGCCCTTCTCCAACGTCTTCTCCATCAGTGACGGACCTGTCAAACACAGCTCTGGAGTGCCCTACCTCTATCTGACGGACATGGAGCTGTCCGTCAAAGACCTGAGGGTGAGTGTTCTTCCTACGGTCTTTTGCCCTATAGGACTCCTGGCTGCGGGACTAAAGGAAACTACATCAATAACAGCTGTGAAGCATCTTAGCAGTTTATACAAACTACAGCACTTGACAGCAGAGTTGAACAGACTATCTTTGTGACATCACCTCATCAATTTTACAGTGATTTTACTGTGCCTGTTTTTAAACCAATGTTCCGTAATGGGACAACTTTGAACTGATTGGTCCTCTCTCTCTTTGATTGGCAGGTGTAGCCCTGCCTCCCTCTCTGATTGGTCCTCTCTCTCTGATTATTAGTCTTCTCTCTGTGATTGGCAGGTGGACCCGGTGTCCTCTCTCTCTGTGTCTTTGGCTCAGACTGACTACTGCAGAGAGTCTGGTTACGATCCTCAGAGTCCTCTGTGCGCACACGTCATCCTGTCGGGGAGAGTAATACAGGTACTGTACTGATACTACAGGCACTGTACTGGTACTACAGGTACTGTACTGGTACTACAGGTTCTGTACTGGTACTACAGGTACTGTACTGGTATTACAGTTACTACTACTATTACAGGTACTACAATGATAGTACCTAGTAAAGTACTGCTAGTTCTAAGTCTGTTTCTGTGTCAGTAAAAGTGACGACATATTATTTTCTTTACAGTTAGTGATGTGTCAGAGTGAACATTGACCCTTGTTAGCTTCGCAGCATCACAATCTGATGACCGAGCAGAGCCATAGAAGCTCTTCATTGTTTTGATCTGTTGTGACCAGTGATGGGAATAACGGCGTTACTAGTAACGGCGTTACTAACGCCGTTACTTTTTTCAGTAACGAGTAATCTAACTAATTACTTTGACAGTAACTATAACGCCGTTATCATTTCCGACATCCCGTTACTGCGCGTTACTCAAGACGCACAATGAACGTGTTGTCATGAGAGAAGGGAGGATGAGAAAACCTCTCAGCAATTATTGACTGATGTAAATCATATTTCCTTTACAATCCACATGTCTACAGTTGAGAGGATGGCTCATAAATTGTGTTTTTGAAACAAATATGGGTCTTAATCGCGCTCAACCACGGCTTGTATCACCGTGAGGTCAGCCACAGAGGAGCGCATGTGAGCGTAGAAGTCGGCTGCATACAATTCCATCGATAAGCTCCTTGCTCTTCCTGGTTTATCTGCTAAGGACAGCAACAGGTTTGGCTAACATACATATAACACATTTTTACATAATCTAAAATGCACATAGGGTAATTTTTCAATTACTATAGGAATGATAAGAAAGAGAGGTGAAGTGTAAGACGGTTGATTTTAGAAATTGGATGCAGCCGGCTGCAGCAAAACAGAGTAGTTTACGGAGGACACACGCGTTTTGTTTTACTTTTTAAAACTCATTGGACTCATTTCCAAACGGAGGATTACATATCTACGCTCAAACCATTCACTGGATTTAAACAAGGAACTGGTCTGAACCGAAGTGGACTGTGCAGGTCATTTATAAGGTATAGCTATAAGGTAAGACCCATAACTCATAGTTTTGCGTTTTGTATGAACAAACAATGCGGGCATAAAACATATTTTGCTGTAGCCAAACAAATTGTCCACTTGATTTATATGATGTATATGTTCATCTGATTGGACTGAAGTCAGTGCTTCACCGGTGTTTCCACATTCACAGTGGAGACTTCAGCAGCAAAACAGCCTTTTCTAGATGGAAATATTGGCACTGTTAAAGGTAAAAATGCGCACGTCGGGTGCACATTATGTTCCAGAACAAAACGAAAAAGTAACGCAATAGTTACTTTTACTGGTAACTAGTTACTTTTATGGTGGAGTAACTCCGTTAGTAACTCAGTTACTTTTTGGGAGAAGTAACTAGTAACTATAACTAATTACTTTTTCAAAGTAACGTGCCCAACACTGGTTGTGACTTGCGGTAACGCTGAGTCATGTGACCTGTGGTAACGCTGAGTCATGTGACCTGTGGTAACGCTGAGTCATGTGACTTGTGGTAACGCTGAGTCATGTGACTTGTGGTAACGCTGAGTCATGTGACCTGTGGTAACGCTGAGTCATGTGACTTGTGGTAACGCTGAGTCATGTGACTTGTGGTAACGCTGAGTCATGTGACTTGTGGTAACGCTGAGTCATGTGACCTGTGGTAACGCTGAGTCATGTGACCTGTGGTAACGCTGAGTCATGTGACCTGCAGGTGAACGGCTCAGAGGCGGAGTTTGCCAAGGCGTCTCTGTTCAGTCGACACCCGGAGATGATGGATTGGCCCCACGACCACGACTGGTTCTTTGCCAAGTTTAACATCAGCCTGGTAAGAGCAAGATGGCCTCCAACATCCGTATGGTAAGAGTAAGATGGCCTCTAACATCAGCCTGGCAAGAGCAAGATGTTCATGTCATGTTCATTTGAGGATAACACAGTCTGTGCGGCGTTGGTATTTATGTGATGCAATCTGATGCGACACCCGTCAGATGTCGCGCTGGCACGTTTCGAGTAAATAGTAAAAATAGGTCGATTGTCATTTATTTGGCAAAATTGTGTTTTCATTATATAATTATTATATAACATCTTGTCTTTAATTTCTGAAAATATCTAGGTGAAATTCACTAGTTTTATACATAAAAAATTATGATATGTTTTGATAAACCGAACGTTAACGTTACATCCTTCGCTCTGACCCTGGGAGCAGCTGCGGCCGCTTTTGACAGCTCAGTGAACGCACTGCCGTAACGTGGCTCCGAGCACGGACCATAGACAGGACCATAGACAGGACCATAGACACACGTGGACAGCACCATAGACACACGTGGACAGAACCATCCCAAGCTTGTTGCAAGTGCAGGTCTCCCCCGTGTCTCCTACCTATGCGCAACCAAAACTCACTAAATTAAAGCTCGGGTACCTAATTTTCCCTTTGCATTCAAAATTCATGTTGGGGGTGCGTGGGTATTTATACTGCGTGATTTGATAATATACTGCATAATGATAGAATGATACTGGCATATTCTTATACATATATAATGTTCAGTAACTTATAAAGAGAAAGACATAAAAAAAGAAGAGGATAAGTTATCTTCATCTTATTAATGAGTGTGTGTTTACTTGGTGCCAAAATAATTTATTTTTTATTTTTTACAACATAGTGACTAAAATAAGTGTGTGCCATAACCAGGGCTGGACTGGCCATCGGGCGTACCGGGCAATGCCCGAAGGGCCGATGCCCATATTTGGGCCGGTCTGTTTGCCTCATACAAAAAACATGTTTGTGAAAAGTGTAAATCCGTTGAGAACTGTTCGAGGGGGGCACGCGTGTCCGCGGGGCACCTGCTGTATGTACTTGAACGGGATTCCGCCACCTCAGCGGCCGCAGTGTTCCCGCATCCAGCGGCTCTGAGCTGGACGCAGGAGCCGCTCACCGGGAGCCGCTCACAACACAACACGGTGAGCGCGTAGCCGCAACGTGACCATGTACCCAAGACCATAAACGTGCACAGGACCATGCATGTCTTTTCGTAATTTGTGCACCCAATAAATACACCCCTGCAGAAAACAGTCCACGTCTCCCCTCTCCTCTAAATTAAAGCTCGGGTACCTACATTTTCCATTGCATTAAAAGTTCATGTTTGAGCCCAAAAGTAAAATGTTGTGAACAGATTAAACAGATTTAGAGCCAGCTAATGGCTGACAATATGCATTTCAGAAATGTTTACCAATTCTCATCCCTGTAACAAACAATAGTATTGTCTGTGTCCACCTCCCTCACTCTGAGACATGTTTATTACTCTGTTTAATGTAGACTATTGTACTGTATTTTATTGTTGAAACTGCAGACATCCTGATCCTCTACAGCAGTGTCTCCCAGTGTCTCCCAAAGTGGGGTCCGCGGCCCCCTGGTGGGCCGCGAGGGTACTGCAGGGGGGCCGCGGGAGGTCATAAAAAAAAAAAAAAAAATAATATAATTATTTAATGTTAAATTTATAATGTTTTGTTTGTAATATTAAAATATTTGTGTTCATTATTTGACTTGAATAATCCACTGTAATCATTTTTGTATTACAATGTTTGTAGCAGAGGCTATTTCCCCAAAATAAAATAACCAGAAGAGCCTATTCTTAATGTTGTCTTCTTGGTTATTATTTTGGGGGGCCACGCAGACCCGTCAGATTTTTAAGGGGGCCTCGGTGTTACTGAGTTTGGGAATGGCTGCTCTACAGTATTTGCTTCCACATACTGTATAAACCAGGGGTCGGCAACCTTTAGTGCCCCTAAAGTGGCTCCTGGAGCCTTTTCAAAAATGTCTGAAAATGGAGTGTGAGGGCTATATTTTATTTCTAGTTTCAATGTGGTTTCTGTAGGAGGAAAAACATTCTTAACGTTTTTCAATGCTGCAAAAACTTGTATAAGTAATAAGACGGTGAAAGAAAAGGCCATTAAGGACATTCAGCTCCAGCAAACTTCAGCCTGTGACGTGATGGATATGAACAGACAGTGATGCAGGTGAACTCGGAGCCAAAAAGCAGATTTATTTACTGTATTTGTACAATTGCATGAAGGCAAAAAAATGGAAGTTAAAGTTAAAGCAGAGTGTCACGTGGTGCGTCATTCTCTCCAGGACACGCTGCAATGAAAATACACATTTGATAATCATGAATGGTTTTTATGTGTTTAGCCTTTACTTTGTCATTTAGATATTAGTCTAATATAGCTAATATAGCTAATGTAGCTAAGGTAGCTAATGTAGCTAATACAGCTTCAGCCCCTGTTACCTTCATATAAGCCTTATACAACGCTGTTTTTTGTTGTTGTTGTCAAATATGGCTCCTTGAACCTTTTGAGTTGCCTGGGCCGCTAAAAAGGAAAAAATGCCCGGGCCGTTTTTTTGTCCCAGTCCAGCCCTGGCCATAACAGAGTAATTCAAATTTAACATGTTGTATTTGACTGTGGTGATTCTATTTGGAATGTCTATCTATAAACCTGTTTTTCTCAAAATTCTGTTTCATAAAATCATGTTTATAACCTGACTTTAGATAATGATAACATTTGTTTCAGACATGCTATGAAAAAAAGGAAAACCGATTTGAAAAGAGATTGAAAGCAGCTTTAAGATGGCATCAGAATCTTAAGTTGGTCAAACTTCATGGTGAAATTTGACCATGTGATGGGTTTTCCCAGATCGCATATGGATTATACCTGGTTCAGACACGGTTTAAACCTAGCCTGGCCTTAGACATCCGTAAACTCCGCTCAAGCATTATTTCCCTACATATATAAAATGATATGAGTACGATGGTATGGTAAGCTTCCCCCCTTGGACTGCCACCTTAACGTGGTGGGGGAGTTTGAGCACTCGGATGATCCTGGGAGCTATGCTGTCTGGGGCTTCATGCCCCTGGTAGGGTCTCCCATGGCAGACAGGTCTCAAGTGACGAGTCAGACGAAGCGCAGTCCGAAGCCAACCATGGACAGCACGACAATGAGAACCGTGACGTCGCCCGGCATGGCGCAGCCGGGGCCCCACCCTGGAGCCAGGCCTGGGGTCGGGGCTCGCAAGCTGAGCGCCTGGTGGCCGGGCCTTAGCCCACGGGGCCCGGCCGGGCTCAGCCCGAAGGGATGGACGTGGGCAGTCCCTCCTGTGGGCCCACCACCTGCAGAGGGGTCCGTGGCTCTGGCTCTTGGGACGCTCTTGGGCAACGTCACCTCACTGGGGGGGAAGGAGCCCGAGCTTGTGGGGGAGGTTGAGCGATACCGACTAGAGATAGTCGGCCTCACCTCCACACACAGCTTGGGCTCTGGAACCCAACTCCTTGAGAGGGGTTGGACGCTCCACTTTTCTGGTGTTTCCCGCGGGGAGAGGCGGCGAGCTGGGGTGGCCATATCCTCATTGCCCCCCATCTCAGCCGCCACGTGTTGGAGTTCTCCCCGGTGAATGAGAGGGTCGCGTCCCTCCGCCTCCGGGTGGGGGACAAGTCTCTCACTGTTGTGACGGCCTACGGGGCCTAACGGTAGTGCAGAGTACCCGGCCTTCTTGGAGTCCTTGGGAGGGGTACTGGACAGTGCACCGCCCGGGGACTCCGTTATTCTCCTGGGGGACTTCAACGCCCATGTGGGAGATGCCAGTGACACGTTGGAGAGGGGTGATCGGGAAGAACGGCCCCCCTGATCTGAACCCGAGCGGTGTTCAGTTGTTGGACTTCAGTGCCAGTCACGGCCTGTCCATCACGAACACCATGTTCGAGCACAAGGGTGTCCATCAGTGCACGTGGCACCAGGACACCCTAGGCCGGAGGTCGATGATCGACTTTGTTGTCGTATCATCTGACCTTCGACCGCGTGTCTCGGACACTCGGGTGAAGAGAGGGGCAGAGCTGTCAACCGATTTCATCACCTGGTCGTGAGTTGGATCCGCTGGCTAGGGCAGGAGGCCGGTCAGACCTGGCAGGCCCAAGCGTGTAGTGAGGGTTTGCTGGGAACGTCTTGCTGAGCCCCCTGTCAGACGGACTTTCACACTCACACCTCCGGGAGAGTTTCTCCCAGGTCCCGGCAGGAGGAGGGGGACATCGAGTCCGAGTGGACCATGTTCTCTTCCTCTATCGCCAATGCGGCGGCTCGTAGCTGTGGTCGCAAGGTCTCTGGTGCTGGTCCCGGCGGCAATCCCCGAACCCGGTGGTTGGACACCGGCAGTAAGGGATGCCGTCAGGCTGAAGAAGGAGTCCTATCGAGCAATGATGGTTCGTGGGACTCTGAGGCAGCTGTCCACTACCGGCAGGCCAACGTTTTCTGCCACGGTGCCGCGGCCCGGGCCGTTGCAGAGGCAAAAACCCGGGGGACTGGGAGGAGTTCGGAGAGTCCATGGAGCATGACTATCGGTCGGCCTCGAAGAGGTTCTGGCAAACCGTGTTGGCGCCTCAGGAGGGGGAAGCAGTTCTTTGCCCAACTCCGTGTATGGTGCGGGTGGAGGGCTGCTGACCTCGACTGGGGATATTGTCGGGCGGTGGAAGGAATACTTCGAGGTTCTCCTCAATCCCCCCGTCACGTCCTCCGTCCAGGAGGCAGAGGATGAGGATGTTGGGGCGGATACTTCCATCTCCCTGGCCGAGGTCACCAAGGTGGTTGGCAGCCTCCATGGTGGCAAGGCGCCGGGAGTGGATGAGATCCGTCCTGACTATCTAAAGTCTCTGGATGTTGTAGGACTGTCTTGGCTGACACGTCTCTGCAGCATCGCGTGGCGATCGGGGGCGGTGCCAATGGAGTGGCAGACCGGGGTGGAGCAGTGTGGTTTTCGTCCCGGTCGCGGAACACTGGACCAGCTCTATACTCTCCATCGGATACTCGAGGGTTCATGGGAGTTCGCCCAACCTGTCCACATGTGCTTTGTGGATTTGGAGAAGGCGTTCGACCGTGTTCCCCGGGGTGTCCTTTGGGGAGTCCTCCGGGAGTACGGGGTCCGGGGTCCTCTGCTGAGGGCCGTCCGGTCCCTGTATGACCGGAGTCAGAGCTGTGTTCGCATTGCCGGCAGTAAGTCAGACCTGTTCCCGGTGCATGTTGGCCTCCGCCAAGGCTGCCCTTTGTCACCGGTTCTGTTCACTGTATTTATGGACAGAATTTCTAGGCGCAGCCAGGGGCCGGAGGGGGTCTGGTTCGGGGACCACAGGATTTCATCTCTACTTTTTGCGGATGATGTCGTCCTGCTGGCTCCAACGAACCAGGACCTGCAGCATGCACTGGGACGGTTTGCAGCCGAGTGCGAAGCGGCTGGGATGAGAATCAGCACCTCCAAATCCGAGGCCATGGTGCTCGACCGGAAAAAGGTGCCTTGCCCTCTGCAGGTGGGTGGAGAGGTCCTTCCTCAAGTGGAGGAGTTCAAGTATCTCGGGGTCTTGTTCACGAGTGAGGGGAGGATGGAGCGTGAGATTGACAGGCGGATCGATGCAGCGTGCGCAGTGATGCGGTCGCTGTATTGGACCGTTGTGGTAAAGAGGGAGCTGAGCCGAAAGGCGAAGCTCTCGATTTACCGGTCAATCTTCGTTCCCTCCCTCACCTATGGTCATGAGCTGTGGGTAATGACCGAAAGAACGAGATCGCGGATACAAGCGGTCGAAATGAGCTTCCTCCGCAGAGTGGCTGGGCGCTCCCTTAGAGATAGGGTGAGGAGCTCGGTCACACGGGAGGAGCTCGGAGTAGAGCCGCTGCTACTCTACGTCGAGAGGAACCAGTTGAGGTGGCTCGGGCATCTGTTCAGGATGCCTCCTGGACGCCTCCCTGGGGAGGTGTTCCGGGCATGTCCCACCGGGAGGAGGCCCCGGGGAAGACCCAGGACACGCTGGAGGGACTATGTCTCTCAGCTGGCCTGGGAACGCCTTGGGGTCCCCCCGGACGAGCTGGAGGAGGTGTGTGTGGATAGGGAAGTCTGGGCGTCTCTGCTTAGACTGCTGCCCCCGCGACCCGACAACGGATAAAGCGGAAGAAAATGGATGGATGGTATGGTAAGACCAGGCTAGCTTAAAGAGCGACTAAACACCTGTGCCCAGCCTTACTCCGCCCACATGAAGATTTGAAAATTTTCTCTAAAAAGGGCGTTGCCTGGAGGACTAAGGGACAAGAAGGGGGGCTTAGAGTTGGGCGTGGTCTGGGCTGTGATTGACAGCTCACTTGTCACACACAAAAAAAACAGACAGTTGTCATTGCTGCTTAAAGCAATAGTTTACAGACCAGAAAGTCTCATTCCACCCTTGTTTACACACTAAGATAATTGTAAAGCTACACATCTGAACCTAATCACACTCAATAATCTCAGAATGACTTATGTAATTTAATTTTAATCCACTAGATGGCGCCAGAATACTCCAAACTGCAGCTGGGGCGTGTGTGAGAATTGAATGGGTTCACATCACTGGCTCTGACAGACTGACGTCACACAAAACAACTGATGTCATAGAGAACTTCAGAGTCAATGGAGAGGCCAGGACCAAATTCAAATGTAGTACCACCAAAAAGGTTGAGAGGGCGCCACACAGCGTTTTTTGGCTCAAAAGTGATATTTTATCTAATTTGAACTAAAATGTCAAAAAAATGACCAGGATATGTAGACAGCACTACAATAAACATACTTATGCAGTTTATGAGTTAAAAAAAGTTGATTTGGTGTTTAGTCGCTCTTTAAACCTGGTTTAGACCTGGTTTAGACCTGGTCCAGACCTGGTTCAGACCTGGCTTGGACCTGGTTTAGACCTGGTTCTGTTCTTTTGTAGGTCTGGGTCCTGGATTACTTTGGGGGGGTGAAGACCGTGAGTCCAGAGGAATATTTCAAAGCGTCTCCAGACAGAAAGACCCGCCTCTAAGCAGGAAGTCTCGCCCCTGAGCAGGAAGTCCCACCCATGAGCCCTCCTGAGGCATGATGGGAGCTAAAGTCTTGGATGACATCACAGCATGGACTTGTGTGAAAAACCTGACCTGGTTTTGGTTTTAGGATGAAGTTGTGAAATATTATATAATAAATGTAAAGAATCAGAAACAGACAATAATAAATAATAAAGTGCTAAAACTGAAGGATGCTAATGGGCCCTTTCCCTGGGCTTGGTGGTTTCTAACATTCTAATGAAACCAGGAATTGTTAGCTTAACATTAACACCACATTAGCATAGCATTAGCATCATACAGCCCCTCCTTCCTCTTTTCTAAATCCTGTTCAAATTGTTTTGTTTGATCTGTTTTTTACACTTTGTTTAACTTGTTTGTACCATTTACCAAAGGAATGTTTTAGTTTGTGACTTCCTGTTTCTCAGGGAAATAAAAGATTCTAATTTATCTAATTGAGTGTTTTGTGAGAAAAGAAGCAATCATCATCCAGGCAACTCCAGCCCCACCTAATGTGAATCATTACTTTCAGGTGTATTTTACTTTAAACTGTGTTAGTGACATGGGTTCCCTGCTCCTTATATTGTGCCTGCAGTGAACTTTGTTTTTGTTTTTGCGTTTTAGTTGGTATTGTTTCTAAAGTTGCAGCGCATAAAGACTAGAGGATGGAGAGGGGGCCAGGGACCTCCACTCAATGTAAACTAAAACAGCTCGACCTCAACCGACAGAGAACCTACAGCTTTCATAAAGGTTGGATTCTGCGGGGATAAGTTTTCTATAAATCCACACTTTAGTGCAACAAACTCTGCTGTTTTTTCCCGCTCTTGCTCCGCTCTCTAACAAGTCTGTACATGATATACAACTTAAAATGATATAGTAAAATAATAAAACAGAGATGCAAACATAGAGCAGCCTGTATTCCTCACTTTATTAAGACTCTACTATCTGCCCCCAAGATTATCCATGTCATCATTTATTCTATGCTTCCTTTTTCTTTTCTTCTTTCTTTTCTATTCGTTTTCTTTCCACTTTCTGATATTAGGGGGAGAGATCCTTCCTCCTTTTTTACAAACTACATTGTTGAATTAAATCCTCAAAAGTAATCACCCCATCGGTATAGAGATCCCCAAGAACATGTATTTCTTTGTCAATCCACCCAATTGAACTGTGGTGTCACCACCAGCGCAGAGCATAAAGACCCCTGAAAGGCTCACAGGTCGATCCTTTCTGAGGATTAAAGATATCAGTGCCTCATTGAATGAACTCTGTAAAGAGCCAAATTCCAATGCTTCCTCATAGAGCAGCTTCAGTGACAGGCTCGGTCATCCTCGATGTGTGAAGGAGAGCTTTCGCAGGTCCTTCCTCCCTGCTGCTGTCAGACTGTACAACGAGAATGTGTAACAAGAACTGCTGAGTCACTGATAATATCACTAGTCACTTCACCTGGTATTATATTACTGCATTATTACTTACATCTGATACTTCTGTCATTCACTACAGTCAATTTGACCTGTTGATATTATTACTGATGTTTATTCTGCTCACATTCTCCGCTGCTTAAGAACAATATATAAATCTGTAACTACTCCTGAACCAAGGGCAATTATAGCTCCAGAGTTTATTTTATTATATTTTATTCTTTATCTTATTTTTTATTATGAAATGTCTTTATTATGAAATGACGAATAAAGGAGTATCTTATCTTTCTTTTGAGATCTTCCGATAGCTCTTCACAAAAAGATGAATTCTGTAAAAGCATTATTTTGAGCTGCCAACGTCCTTTCCTTACTTTATCAGTTTTCAAGTCAATAAACAATTCCACTGTAGCATGATCACTGATCACTATAGACCCAATTTCACAACCTACAACTGATTCTACTGAAGTTTTAGATATCAAAAAGAAATCTATTCTCGAATATGGAAGAGGCCCCTGGACTCTGGAGGAGGTGAAGGGCAGGAGGAGGCCCCTGGACTCTGTGGAGGAGGTGAAGGACAGGAGGAAGCCCCTGGACTCTGTGGAGGAGGTGAAAGACAGGAAGAGGCCCCTGGACTCTGGAGGATGTGAAGGACAGGAGGAGGCCCCTGGACTCTGGAGGAGGTGACGGACAGGAGGAGGCCCCTGGACTCTGGAGGAGGTGAAGGACAGGAGGAGGCCCCTGGACTCTGGAGGAGGTGAGGGACAGGAGGAAGCCCCTGGACTCTGTGGAGGAGCTGAAGGACAGGAGGAGGCCCCTGGACTCTGTGGAGGAGGTGAGGGACAGGAGGTGCTAGTCAAAGTCACCTCCATCAAGGACAACACCTCCCACTGCACAGGACTGTAGAGGAGCTGAGGAGCTCCTTCAGTGGAAGACTGAGGCACCCTCAGTGCAAGAAGGAGCACTACCACATGCAGGGCCTTTATCCCCACCGCAGTCAGACTGTACAACAAGTCACTTTTAGTCACTTTATGACCTGCACTAGGACTGAAAAACCAGCACTGCTATTGCCTCTTTTTTTCTTGCCACTTTTTTCTTTATTGTACATAATATCCTGCACAGTCTGTATTTTTAACTTTAATATGCTGCACATTTCTGTCTTTTGCACAATCTGATTCTATCCATGCCAAATGTTACATACTATAAACATTTGTCCATCGTAAGATCAATAAAGTTTCTTATCTTATCTTATCTAAACTCACCTGCCCTTCTCTGTTCCCTATTACACTGTTGACCATGTGAAAGAAATGTGGATCTCTACAGGTGTATTTTACACCTTACATATTTAAAACAAAATATACAGTATATGACATGGCATTATTTGAATTCCATTAATAAGGACTTGCACACATATAATGGAGCTTTCTTTGTCATTGTATTTGTTTTTTTTAATATAAAGCTTAATTTCTATGGATTAGGATCATAACACCATTTTGTTTGCTTGAATACAAACTATGGAATACTGTTCCAACTCTTTCTTTACCTCTTCTTCTTCTGTAATACGTGATTCCTGAATGAATGCTATATCCGTATCTTGGGATTTCAAATATGACAGAAGCGTCCCTCTGTTTAACTGGATCACCACACCCCTTTATGATCCATGATGTATTATATATCTTGACACTGTATAAAAACAGACATTATTAAATGACAGATCCTTCGATGTCGGCTCTTCCTATCATTGTGAAGCAGAATTCACCAAACGTTTTGTTGTCTGTTTTTAATGAATCACTTTGGGTTCCACTGTATAAATTCAGATTTATACACACAGCACAGACCAAAAGTTTGGACAAACTTTCTCATTCAATGAGTTTCCTTTCTTTTCATGACTATTGACTGTAGATTCACACCAGGCTGTGTAAGGGCTGTTTGACCAATAAGGAGAGTGATGGGTGCTGGGCCAGATGACCTGGCCTCCACAGTCACCGGACCTGAACCCAGTCCAGATGGTTTTGGGGTGAGCTGGACCACAGAGTGAAGGCGAAAGGGCCAACAAGTGCTAAGCATCTCTGGGAACTCCTTCAAGACTGATGGAGACCATTTCAGGTCACTGCTTCTTGAAGCTCATCAAGAGAATGCCAAGAGTGTGTGAAGAAGTAATCAGAGCAAAAGGTGCTACTTTAAAGAACCGAGAATATAAAACATATTTTCTGTTGTTTCATACTTTTATTAGTACGTACATAATTACACATGAGTTATTTCATAGTTTTGATGCCTTCAGCGTGAATCTACAATTTTCATAATCATACAAATAAAAAACCGCTATATATATATATATATAGATATACATAGATATATATCTATATATCTATGTATATCTATATATATATGTATATGTATGTATGTATATGCATGTATATATATGTATATATATATATATATATATATATATATATATATATAATTATATTATATTAGTTATATGTAGTTGCTAAAGTGGAACATTTTAACTTCACTTCAGTTTCAGTGAACGACACTGTGGTTTCGACACCTGCTTCAGTTTTACCACTTCCTCTGACAGACTGCACTCTCACAGCTGCTGAACCAGGTCTGAACCAGGTCTGAACCAGGACTGAACCAGGACTGAACCAGGACTTTCAGAGCTCCACACAATGTAAGTAATTTCCATGAAGAGGTTTGGTCAAAACATATTCCCCTGAGGAACACCTTTGGACTGTGCTCTTAAAGCTGGGGTCTGTAACTCTCAGACCAAGAGAACTCTGTATTAATCCCATGTCTCTAGTTCTGGCTCTAAAACAGTTGCTTCTGTCAATAGTTTCACATCATGTATTTGTGATGTCACATCTTTGGATCAAAGAGAGGATCCTCACTCAGACAATCAGACCAGAGAGGCTGAAGAGGAGTGAATTTATTTGAACACTACTTTTGTTCTTCCATTAGAGAGGATGAGGAGGCTGGCTCTTCTGCTGCTGCTGCCTCTGTCTGCAGGTCAGTGAACATGAGAACCATATGGACACAACATGAGAACTATGTTGTCTTTTGTCTCTGGTACTCTCTGGTCTCTCTCTCTGGTCTCCCTCTCTCTGGTCTCTCTCTCTCTCTGGTCTCTCTCTCTGGTCTCTCTCTTCACTGGTCTCCCTCTCTCTGGTCTCTCTCTCTCTCTCTGGTCTCCCTCTCTCTGGTCTCTATCTCTCCGGTCTCTCTCTCTGGTCTCTCTCTCTGGTCTCCCTCTCTCTGGTCTCTCTCTCTGATCTCCCTCTCTCCGCTCTCTCTCTCTGGTCTCTCTCTCTGGTCTCCCTCTCTCCGGTCTCTCTCTCTGGACTCCCTCTCTCCGGTCTCTCTCTCTGGTCTCTCTCTCTGTACTCCCTCTCTCTGGTCTCTCTCTCTGGTCTCTCTCTCTGGTCTCCCTCTCTCCGGTCTCTCTCTCTGGTCTCCCTCTCTGGTCTCCCTCTCTCTGGTCTCTCTCTCTGGTCTCCCTCTCTCCGGTCTCTCTCTCTGGTCTCTCTCTCTGGTCTCCCTCTCTCCGGTCTCTCTCTCTGGTCTCTCTCTCTGGTCTCCCTCTCTCTGGTCTCTCTCTCTGGTCCTTTTGTCTCTGGTCCTCTTGTCTCTGGTCCTCTTCTCACTTGTGTCCACATTGTCTCTGCAGATGGTCTCAGTCTGTATGACCCGAGGCTGTGTTTTCTCCTGGACGGTCTCCTGGGTCTGTACGGACTCTTCATCACCGCCATGTTCCTCAGGGAGAAGGTATGTGTGTTTATATACATGCACTGTTATCTTTCTGGTCTCTCTCTGGTCTCTCTCTCTCTGGTCTCTCATAAACACTTTCTTTCTTTTTCTGTTTCAGTTTTTTGGAGTAAAAGTAAAGTCTGACAACAAACAGCACACGTCGGTGTTGGTGGGTTCATTAACATGTGACATCATTAACATGTGGCATCATTAACATGTGACATCATTAACATGTGACATCATTAACATGTGACATCATTAACATGTGACACATGTTGTTTCAGGCTCAAGGCCAAGACTCTCTCTACACGGTGAATATTTATAAGTTTAAAGTTTGAAGAACTTTGTTTCTGTCACTATTTTTAATTGTCTGTAAATATGACTTAATAACGTTATAATATAAATATTATAATGATATAATTATTACAAATATTGTTATTATGATAAACATTGTAAATAATGTAATAACCTGTGACCTCAGGGTTTGACTCGACGAGAGGAGAGTGAGTACAGAGAGCTGCCACGACGAGAGGTGTGTATTATGTGTGTTATTTGTGTCACGTGTGTCTTACGTGTATCACTTGTGTGTTATATGTATTATGTGTGTATTACAGTGGGGCAAAAAAGTATTTTGTCAATACAATGCAATACAATACAAGTTATACTTATATTGCCCTAAATCACAAAAACATCTCAGAGGACTTAACAAAACCATTGAAATCACCAACACAGATCAGAGAATCAACAGTTAAGACACAAAAAAAACGCATATGAATTCGGGCGTTCTGCTCTCCCAAAATTCCATCCACTGAGCGGCGCTGTGATCAAAAAATGACACCGTTTGTTGCCCAGTTCACTGGTCCATATGGAGAGACCAATGTCCATGAATGTTGAAAATGTCCATACATGTTGTAGAATGTTAAAGTGTCCTGGATCGTCCCTACAGTCCTTCTAGTTAGACACAAACTCTCCAACAGAGCCTCCTGCATCAGAGGAAAAACTCTAAAACACAGTGGGAGAAAGTGAGAAACCTCGGGGAGAGAGGGATCCGCTAAACACAGACAGACGGGCAGTAGATCCAAGACCTGAACGAGGACCAAGACCACGCTGCAGCAGCAGAACATGGGCAGGTCCGGTGCAGGACTGAAGCAGCTCCCAGGCGGGTCGGGCAGGGCAGTCCGCAGGTGTAGATGGAGAGGGCCGGGTTCAGAGGTCTTGTTACCGCGTCATGAAACAGACTACAGTCAAGATCCAAAAAAATGCAGACAGATAAAGTAGGAAGGAGGAGAGGATAGTGCTCAAGTTATCATACTTCTCCCAACAAACTGACTCCAGACGCAGCTTGACTGACAGTCAAAATGTTAGCCTTCCCTGAGTCTTAACTTCCTAACTATATGCTAGACTAAAGAGGACTGTTTTAAGCCCAGCCTAGAATGTAGAGACCGTGTCCGACCGAAGGAGAGACAGCAGCAGCCACAGCTAGGTTTGCCCCGGCTACAGCACCAAAGATTCATGGATTACACACCAAGTGTGTAAACCGAACCAGACAACAACCTAACCATATGCTCAAATGAAGAAGAGTGTTTTAAGCCTGGCCTTGAACATAGAGACCGTGTCTTCTGCGTTAACGTGGATGAAGCTGATTCCACAGTAAAGGAGCTTGGAGCTAAACGCTCTGCCGCCAACAGTGCTTTTTGAGACTTTAGGAAACACTAGACGTCTGCCGTTTTGTGGGCACAGTGCTCGGTTTGGTTGATATGACACTACCGTGTTTTGAAGATAAGAAGGAGCCAAGCCATTTATGGCTTTGTATGATAAAAGAAGGATTTTAAACTTTATTCTATACTCCACCGGAAGTGGAGTTTTAGTTGCTTGGTTTATATAAGCCTTGAAGGAGAGTTCTTCATTGAAAACGACTCCAAGGTTTCTCACAGTGTTGCTGGGTACAATACTGACATTATCGAGAGAGATTATCTGGTCAGTAAGGGGGTCACGCAGGCGCTTTGGACCGAGTAGTATCACTTCTGTCTTCTCCGGGTTGAGAAGTAGGAAGTTAAGAGTCATCCACGTTTTAAGGTCCTTTATGCAGGCACTAAGCCTTTTCAACTGATCTGTCAGGTTGGCTTTCATCGACAGGTAAAGCGGTGTATCATCTGCATAGCAGTGGAAGTTCATTCCACGCTTTTTAATGATTTTGCCTAACGGCAGCATGTAGAGTGTGAAAAGAATCGGTCTGCGTACCGATCCCTGCGGGACACCAGATTCCACTCCAGAACCAAACTATAAGCTTTTCCAGGATTTTAAATATGAAAGTAAGGTTTGAGATTGGTCCGTAGCTTGTAAGTAGTTTGATTACCGCGGTTTTAAAAGCTTGTGGGACATAGCCACATTGTATAGATGTGTTTATTATATTAAAGATAGGCTTATCTAGAGATATTAAAGATATTAAATTAAAGATAGGCTCTATAATCAAAGGAAGTATTTATTTGAAGAACCAAGCCAGGATTGCATCTAAAATGCAAGTTGCGGCTTTAGAAGATGCAACCACGGAGATCACTTCCGCTTGGCTCACAGCAATGAACTTGTCGAAGCACACTGAAGAGTCTAGGTGGGAAATCAAGTGCAACGCTTCAGCCTGTTCATCATTAATATTAGGAGTGGTTTCCTCCAGTATATCACGGATGGATGTAATTTTAATATGAAAGTCGACACTGCTCAGTGACTCAGTGAGCTTGGTATTTTAGGCTCAATTGCGCTATGGCAGTTTGTGAGTTTAGCGATGGTGTTACTACGAATGGCATTCTTGTAGTTTTGGAGACCTGCTCTCCACTCCCTGTGGACAGGCTCCGGATGGGAGTGGCCTCTCCAGTTTTCTAACCTTCTGTTTTAAAGTATGTAGTTGGATATTGTACCATGGCAACAATGATCTAAACCTAAGTCCCACCGATGACCGAGGGACTGCAGCAGCTGTGAGCAGGTTCACTTGCAGCGGTATTCAACATTTGCTGAATCTTTTGACAGATTTATAATTTAAGATTCTTTTAATTATGGTTTTATCTTGCAGCGCAGGAAACTCCTCCAGTCAGCCACCAATTGTGCAAGTTCTCCCACTTAAAAATATGAGGGAGGCCTGTAATTTCCATCATAGGTAAACCTCAACTATGGGAGACAGAATGAGAAAAAAAATCCAGAAAATCCCATTATGATGGAAAAATTACAGTGGAAAAAAGTATTTGGTCACCTACAAACAAGCAAGATTTTGTGGCTCTCACAGACCTGTAACTCCTTCTTTAAGAAGCTCCACTGTCCTCTGCTTGTTATCTGTATTAATGGCACCTGTTTGAACTGGTTATCAGTCTGAAAGACACCTGTCCACAGCCTCAAACAATCACACTACAAACTCCACTATGGCCAAGACCAAAGAGCTGTCAAAGGACACCAGAAACAAAATTGTAGACCTGCAACAGGCTGGGAAGACTGAATCTGCAATAGGTAAGCATCTTGGTGTGAACAAATCAACTGTGGGAGCAATTAGAAAGAAAAAAATAAATAAATAAAATAAATAAATAGAAGACATACACCACCACTGATACCCTCCCTCGAACTGGGGCTCCACGCAAGAACTTACCCCGTGGGGTCAAAATTGTCACAGAATGGTGGGCAAAAATCCCAGAACCACACAGGGGAACCTAGTGAATGACCTGCAGAGAGCTGGGACCAGACGTGTCCCCTGCTTAAGCCACATGTCCAGGCCCGTTTGAAGTTTGCTAGAGAGCATTTGGATGATCCAGAAGAGGATTGGGAGAAAGTCAGATGGTCAGATGAAATCAAAATTGAACTTTTTGGTAAAAACTCCACTCGTCGTGTTTGGAGGAGTAAGAATGCTGAGTTGCATCCAAAGAACACCCTACCTACTGTGGCGTATGGGGGTGGAAACATCATGCTTTGGGGCTTTTTCTTCTGCAAAGGGACCAGGACGACTGATCCATGTTAAGGAAAGAAGGAAAAGGGCTATGCATTATGAGATTTTGAATGAAAACCTCCTTCCATCAGCAAGGGCATTGAAGATGAAACGTGGCTGGGTCTCCAGATCTCACCCCATAGAAAATCTTTGGAGCGACAGCCTCAAAACATCACTGCATGGAGGAATGGACCAAAATACCAGCAACAGTGTGTGAAAACCTTGTGAAGACTTACAGAAAACGTTTGAGCTCTGTCAATGCCAACAAAGGGTATATAACAAAGTATTGAGATTAACTTTTGTTATTAACCAAATACTTATTTTACACCATAATTAGCAAATACATTCTTTCAAAATCAGACAATGTGATTTTTTTTCCTCATTCTGTCTCTAATAGTTGAGGTATACTCATGATGAAATTACAGGCCTCCCTCATTTTGCACAATTGGTTGCTGACTAAATACTTTTTTGCCCCACTGTACATGTGTGTGATGTGTGTGTTACACGTGCGTTAATTGTATTTTGTTTTTCCTTCAGCGGAGGAACGAGCAGCTGTATCAGGTAAAGTCACCTCATTAACCAGAGTTCTGAGAGATAAAGAAGGTGTAGTTAGAGGCAAGTTAGAGGCGACTGAATTTATAAATTTATTTTTTTTCCTCAGGGTTTGAGCGCTGCCACCAGAGACACATACGACTCTCTGCATCAGAAGCGCTGAAATAGCAATACACACACACACAGATACACACAGATACACACACACAGATACACGTATACAGAGCATACGTAGACGTAGTTTGATTGCTTGATTGTTGATTGTGACATGTTCTTCCTGAGAATGTATAATGTTGTCAAAGCTCCTTTATCACAATTCTTAAAATCAATAAAATATCGTTGTTTATAAATGTTATAGCTTCTGTAACATGTGTCTGAACAAACCGAACACAGTCCGCCATTTGAATGATTTTATAGATAGTTTTCCACTGACGTCACGCACTACCCACAATTCCGCAGTTTGCCATTTTGGGAGTCTAGTCGCCGCTAGTTGTAGCTAACCAAATCGGGCCAAATCACTTTTTTGCGGTAAAACATGCCGACTGCCTGCATCGTTTGGGGGTGCAGTAACCGCGAAGATTGTGGGGACATTCCGAAGGCTATTACGAGCCAGGGGAGTGATTTGGGACGGAGAAATTACTCCTCAGTTGGCGAGGATCAACCAGAGGGATTCGACTCTAACCCTCTGGAAAACGGCACTATAAGGTCTGTTCTGACCATCTCATAAGAGGTAAGAGCTAAATCTGTGCATGTGTGGTTTATATTCAGAGCTGCGATTTGACTGTGATACTAAGTCTATATAGGCACCTCGAGCATCCCATCTAAATGAATGATAGGGGGAGGAGGAGGAGGAGGGGGGGGGAAAGGATAGTGATTTGCGGCCTGTGGTATCAACTGTTTCGTTCAAAATAAAATATTGATTTAAAGAAATATTGCATCATATATATCATGACTTTTTTTTAATTGTAAAACCACTGGTTTCGCCGCCTTTCATATGGATCCAAATCTCCCGATTCTCAAAGGATCTTTCCTCACAGTCTTTCCCTCACTCCAGTGTATCAATATACAGTACTTAACGCGGTCAGTGTCGGCCCGAATTCATGGCTTTAGATGACATGGGGACAGATGATCCGTGACAAATTATCAGTGACAAATGATACAATATAAGCTTGACTCCCAACATGTCGTTCGCGCAAAGCATCATGGTTAATAAGAACGTGATGGAAAACTACGTATTTAAACCATAGACTGTATATATTAACGAACAGAGTCACGCCTATCTCCGCCGTTCTAACTAATGGGCCAAAAAATGTGCTCTACCGGGGCAATCCAAAATGGCCGCGAGTGGTCCCGCCCACAAGAAAATGGTGAAAAAACGCATCTACGCATGCGTCAGCCGGCGAGAGCTCCATTCATTTGAACGAGAGACTTCAGAAATTCACAGCAAGTAAACTAGAGTGGTCCAAAAAAATTCACCCCCCTCAGCATTGACACACATGTGGAACAGAGCTTTGGGCCAAGAGCCAGCTTTTGGTCCATCCTGTAAAGACGTTTTCGAGAAGTCTGCCAACGCTATATGTTAGCATTGGCTAATTCTTCTTCTGGGTCCACCCCCATCGGCCCGGGGTGGTATTGCAAGCATGTCAGCGCACGTCATTTTGGCCACTTTTGAGCTGGGACCCGCCCCCACTGATTTAAACATAAACACTGCGTAATGTGACTGCCTCACTATGGATATACATTATGTTATTGCAACAAAATAATGTTCCGAGGGACAGATTTTAAATCGACATCCGCATGGGGAAGCATTTCATTTTCAAAACAATTATTATTATTATTTTTTTAACCTTTTCCCTTGGTAGCGCATAGATCCATGGGTGTGAGCCATGGATGTATTATATTAACTGGATAGGGTATTACTAGCTTGTAGCTGAATAACTCACGTGCTCAGGGGATTCTCGCGGTACTGCAGACTGAACCAGACTAAATTCACGTGGGCTACCCAGAAATTTTCCCCATAGAACTCAATGCATATTAAAACAGCTCGACCTCAGCTGACAGAGAACCTACAGCTTTAATAAGGATCGGATTTTGTGGGGATTTTAGTGTCCCTTGTCATCCTGAACTTTTTTTCTTCTTAAATTCTTCGGTTTTGTTTAAATCCACACTTTAGTGCCACAAACTCTGCTCCTCTGGCTCTCGCTCTAACTCCCGCTCTGATGAACTGCTCTGATTGGTCAGAGCGCAGCCGAGCCCCTCTGTGCACGTGCGTGAGACCCGGTGTGAGACCCACACACGCGTGTTTGACGCGTTAACCATGTTAATCAGACGCCTAAACTTAACCAGTCACCACTTAAGGACATATTAAACTTTTTGACATGCGCAAACTGAACTTCCGGACGAATCCGGTTTCCGGGACGAATCCGGGAGTGACACCCCATGCTGTCACAAAGCGCCACTGAGCACAACCATTCATTTGAATAGGGCGCCATCTTGGATCGCCGGGGCTTGGTGTGAGCCTACTGACCTAGCCTGGCCTTTGCCATCCGTAAACTCCGGTCAAATCTTTTTTAAGTACGAGGGTATGGTAAAACCAGGCTACTACTGACCCATCCTACGGAACAGAAGGTGGCGGTAATGCGCTAAATTTGCCGCCAACCGCCGAAAAAAACCCAAAAAGAAGAAGAAGAAGAAGGGTTTTTCAGTGCAACACTGCAGAGGCATTAGCATGCCCCGCCGCTGCTATGGGTCTGGTCCACGGGATTTCAGCTTCAATAACATTTAAATAAAACACGAACCACTGTTTAACGTCCTGCCCTGGGCTGTAGTTAGTTATACTTTAGACCTGGTTTAGCCCGGGTTTAGTGCTATTTTAGTCCGTTTATCCGCGTTCTTTCAGGGTATTAGCACGTTAGCGCCAGCCTCAAGTCTCCTGGAAACAGCTGTATTTAATGTTTTAAATATCAACATCATGGAGCCCGCGGCCACGAAGCGCAGAGAAGGAAAGAAAAGTCTGAGGGTGAAGGTGATCAGCCTGGGGAACGCGGAGGTGGGAAAGGTAGGGCACCAGACAACCATCATGCTAACATGCTAACACCAGTCCCCCGTACATCCCCAGCATCAGGACCAGAGCCTTCATGCTAACATCCTCCTCCAACAATCCATGTTTTTTGTTTGTAAAAAATGGAAATATTTTGTGTGAAATAAAAATATAAATTCTCTGATATAGGTCTAAACAGTCTTTGGTCTAAGCTTATCATTTTTTATCATAATTTGTTTATTATTTAATCAGAAACATCATAGTAACAGGACCATCTTCAAACGTGGACCGGGTCTCGGACTTTGTATCTGTCCTGGCCCTGGTCACGGTCCTGGTCTCAATTCTCGTCTAAATTCTGTTCTCAGTTCCGGATCTCAGACCTGGTCTCAATTATAATGATAGTCTCTTCCTCAGAGCTGTATCATAAAGCGTTACTGTGAGAAGAGGTTTGTGCCCAAGTATCTGGCAACCATCGGCATCGACTATGGGGTGACCAAGTAAGAAGTGTGTGTGTGTGTCCGTCTCTGTGTGTGTGTGAGTATTAGGGGTGCAACGGTTTGAAAAAATCACGGTTCGGTTCATTTTTCGGTGTCTTTTTAATAAACACGGCCTATGTGGACTCGGCACCTGCTCTGATGAAGTTCTCCGTTCCGCTCATGGATCTATTATAGGTTCCGCGGGACGTCCAAGCGTCAGTCGTGAGCGCAGCTGAGGATGCGCGGGAGAGTTGACTTTAGCCCGGTCTGACTGTGTGTAAAGGAGCTGCTTAAACGCCGCGGCAATGAGCGGTTGTTGAGACGCTTTTTTTCACTCATGTCTTTCTTGTGCCACAGTGCTTACACACTGTGACAGTTTTGTCGAATATTAATTATCAGTGTAGTTACAGTGAAGCCAAAATGCTCTCATACTGGGGATTTAAATAACGCGGGGCTTTCAAGCTCCTCCGTTCCTCTGCTCGCCGTGACCATGCTGTGTGTGGACTGAGCAACGTGCGCACAACTTTTTTTTCATAAATCAAACCGCGGATCACGTCTGTACCGAACCGAAGACGTTGAACCGAACGGATCACGGATCATTGATGAACCGTTGCACCTCTAGTGAGTATCATTGTTGTTTGTTGCAGGGTGCAGGTGAGGGACCGGGAGATAAAAGTCAACATCTTCGACATGGCGGGACACCCTTTCTTCTACGAGGTCAGAGAATGCTTTGGTTAATGTATATGTCTGGTCTATGGTCTCAGGTCTCCTCTTGTCTCAGGTTTCCTCTGGTCTCTCTGTCTCAGGTATCCTCTGGTGTCAGGTCTCCTCTGGTCTCAGGTCTCCTCTGGTCTCAGGTCTCCTCTGGTCTCAGGTCTTCTCAGGTCTCCTCTGGTCTCAGGTCTCCTCTGGTCTCAGGTCTCCTCTGGTCTCAGGTCTCTTCTCTCTGTTCTTAGGTCTCCTCTCTCTGTTCTCAGGTCCGGAATGAGTTCTACAAGGATTCCCAGGGGGTGCTGCTGGTGTATGACGTGGGTCTGAGGGAGAGTTTTGAAGCTCTGGACTCGTGGCTCACGGAGATGAAGCAAGAGATGGGCTCCACCGCCAACATGGACAGCATCGTCTTCACCGTCTGTGCCAACAAGGTAGGACTAGGACCAGGACTGGGACCAGGACCAGAACCAGGACCAGGACCAGGACTGAGACCCGAGTATTACTTTCTTATAGCTGAAGGACACATGCAGTACCTGCGGCACTACAGACTAAATTCACTTTACCCTGAAAAATGTCCCAAAGAACTCAATGTAAACTAAAACAGAGAACCTACAGCTTTCACAGAGGTCGGATTCTGTGGGGATTTTAGTGTCCTGTGTCCTGTTTTTTTCTTAAATCCATCGGTTTTCTATAAATCCACACTAGTGCAACTAACTCTGATCATTTTCCTCTCGCTCTAGCTCCGCTCAGGTCAGCAGCTCTGATTGGTCAGAAAGCTGCCTCTCTGTGCACGTGCACACACGCATCCTTGTTAGTATTTTGTGCAAAGCATCATGGGAGCTTGTCCACTGCGCAGAACTGGGAGGACCAGAGAAATGCCCAAATATGGGCAACTTTTGCTAATCTTTTTGTGCCCATGGTGGCTTCATGCGCCACAGAGTAGTGATGTGCTGAGCGTGCCGGGTCTTCGAAGCGTGTACCGAGTAAAAAAGGGGCGTATTTTTTGAAGCGTGGTTCGAGGCGTGTGTTGGTGACGTATGTGGTGACGTTCGAAGCCTCGCGTAGCGGCCGCACCACGTGACGGTTCATATAGTGCTTCATATAGTTCGGAGAGTGCATTGCTTTGACAGGTGCTTTGTGATCCGCGGCTGTACCATAGACTGTATTGGCTGTCCCCGTCTGCCTCTGTGTGCGTACGTGTGTGTGTGTGTGCGTGTGTGTGCGTACGTGATGTGGAGCAGTCCTGTACTAAGTATAGAGAAACTACTTCATATGAAATACAATTAAAAACGTTTCACTTTAGTAAAACCTCATATATCAAGGCTTCAAGTTCTTAGTAATAATACGCTGGATAATACATTTCACAACAGCTGTGTGGCGCAGTCGGTCTATGACGGACTCCGAAGCAGAAGATATAGCGTTCGAATCCCGGTCTACCCATAATACATTTTGTGTTGCAAAGTAAATGTATTTATTTATTGGGAATAAATGGTTTGTTGTGTTTAATTAATCCACCTCTTGGTAGTTTTTCCTCCATTAATCACTTTCTGTAGAACTGTATTACTTTGGATGTGTTTGTTGTATCAACACAATTGACTGAAAGACTCAAATAGTTCATAGTTCATGAAGCATAATTTCAAACACAACACGTTAGACCAGGGGTGCTCAATACGTCGATCGCGATCTACCAGTCGATCGCAAAGGTAGTATTGGTAGATCGCATTAAATAAATTAAAAATTACACATTCTAAACGAATATATACAAAAAACTCCGGGCAAAGTGGAGATTTTTGAAAACTCCGTTAATGCATTTGTGTGTAGACAGAGATAACCAGAGTTTTGCGTTCTCGCACGCCACAGTACCCCCCTAAATTCCTCTGATCACTGAAGCATGGATTATACTACCTTAAAAATTGTCCGCTGTGAGATGCTCGCAGCAGCAAACATCCTCGCTCCACATCAGAGAGCAGCAAAGTGATCGCGGGGACTCACGCTCGAAAACAACTAAACCAGGACTAAACCAGGACTAAACCAGGGCTGAGGACGGGGTCAGTGCTTGTAAACATACGTCTTACTCTTTACTCTGAGTGTCTTCTATGACTGTAAAAGTGCCGTTACCGGCGTCTGCATCAAAGCTCCGCCCACTTCTGTGTTTTTCCCCAACGCAGGACAGGACGTAAGAGACGCACATGTTTGGAATGTTACGAACGTGACTGATAACGCAGATGTGTGGATGCAAATTATTTTATAAACGGAGGAGGGGAAATATTTGGATTTAAATAAAACAGGCATGGCACATGGACATGGCACCACAGTCAAATGACATCTGTGTTTTACTCAGTAATGTTTTACTGACACTTAGGTGCCTGCACATGCGCAAACAACCGCGCTCAGTGCAGGAAAGCTAAACCACGACAAACTTGTCAGCGAGTTACCACCAATTTTCCGGACTATGCATCCCTGGCCGATTCAATTCAGTGCAAGTCATAAGAGTAAACTCGGGTAATGACAAAAAATGTACATAGGTAATTGTGTTGTGCTATATTGGCTCATGCTGTTTTGCATGTACATAAACATACATTGTAGATATAAAGAATATTTTTTGAAATATATGATTTGCATTTTTGTAGTAGGTAGATCATTTTGACTTGATCCTTTTATAAGATTCAAGATTCATTTATTTGGCCATGTGCAGTTAAAAAACCACATTGGAATACGTTCGCAAGAAAGGCACTCCGTGTGCACCGACAGAACAAAAGCACGACACAATGCAATACAAAACACACATACACTGAACATAAAACAATAAAAAAACAGCTGACACTGTGGCACCGATCAACAAAACAATACAAGGGGTAAAAGCAGTTTAAAAGCAGGTAAAAGCAGAAATTAAAATGCTCTGTTTAGGCACCTAACAGCCTGTGGGAAGAAGCTGTTAGCATAGCGAGATGTCTTGCATCTCAGTGACCGATATCTTCTGCCAGAGGGAAGAAGCTGGAACATGGCTTTCCCAGGGTGGCCAGAAGAGTCATTGATGATTTTAAGAGCTTTGTTTAAAAGTCTGGATCTGTAAAGAACCTCCAGAACAGGAAGCTCACAGCCCACGGTCCTCTTTGCAGAGCGGAGCACCTTGTTTAAAGATCTCTTTTCTTTATCTGTGATGTTTCCAAACCACACAGACACAGAACCAACAAGTAAACTCTCAATGGTGCAGCGATAAAAATTAAGCAGAATCTTAGAGTTAGTGGTAAATTCTCTAAGTTTCCGCAAAAAGAAGAGCCGCTGACGAGCTTTCTTAACAACCCGGTCAGTGTTTTTAACCCATTTCAGGTCGTTAGACAGAGTTAAACCCAGGAACTTGCACTCCTCTACGATCTGCACCTGGGAGTTGTCAATAACAACAGGAGTGTGAAAACTGCTACGACTGAAGTCAAAGACAAGTTCACATGTTTTTGCAGTGTTCAGCTGGAGATTGTTTACTTTACTCCACTGAAAAACATGTTCGATCTCTGCTCTATAAGAGGAATCATCATTGTCACTGATGAGACCGATGATGGTGGTGTCATCAGCATATTTGATGATCAAGTTTGAGTCAGAGGAGGACACACAATCGTGAGTGTACAAAGTAAAAAGCAGAGGACTCAAAATACATCCCTGAGGAGAACCAGTGCTCACAGAAACAACATCAGAAAAACAGTCATTGATTTTTACACTCTGAGATCTGTCAGTTAAAAAGCTAAAAATCCATTTACACATGGCAACATTCAGACCAAGGGACATTAGTTTTTCAACCAATATGCTTGGGACAAGACAATTAAAAGCAGAGCTATAATCAATGAACAGCATTCTCGCGACAGATTTACTAGTGTCCAAATGAGTGTAGACAGAGTTCAGAGCAAAGGAGATGGCATCCTCCACACTCCTGTTCTGTCTGTAAGCAAACTGGAGCGGGTCAACGCTCACAGGGATCTGGCTCTTAATGAAGTCCAGCACAAGCCGCTCAAAAGTCTTCATAAGAACAGACGTGAGAGCCACAGGGCGGTAGTCATTGAGACATGTCACTGGAGACTTCTTAGGAACTGGAATAATGGTGGACCTTTTAAAGCTCACCGGCACCGTACAGCTCCTGAGTGACAAGAATGTCCGTTAAAACAGGGGCAAGTTGCTCGGAGCACAGTTTCTGGACGCGGGGAGGAATGCAGTCTGGGCCTGCGGCTTTCCGAGCTGTGGTCCTGGACAAGACCCGCCGTACTTCCTCCTGAGTCACTGTGAAGGCACCCTGACATTCGGGGAAGACAAAAGGCTCGCATGCTGAAAAAGTGTGAGCACCCCTGCGTTAGACCATAGATTATAAATATACATTTTAACATTAGATCTCACCATTCATTGTAAGCACGTAAGAGTGTTATGTATTTTTTTGTCCACATGATGGCGTAGTGGAGCATGATTCACCTTGAGCCTTCGACTCATGGGCCGAGTAATAGGCTGCGATCCCTCAAGGCTTCATGGGGCTTCATATTGCCATCACTACCACAGAGTACAAGCTACTGATCTGATTGGGGCTTGGACCCAAGCCCCAATAAGGCATAGGGCCAACTGACGAGCGCTTCAATCACCCAGAACACAACAGTTGCGTTCGTCTTCTCAATCACTTTAAAACGGTGTATCATTTGTAGTATACATTACAATGGACGTATATATTTTTGCTAGAGTGCCAGAAAAAAATACTTTGATCCTTAATATGACTCACAAAAACTGACCTCAACTCATCGTGTTATTTTTCAGGAGACTAAAAAAATGACCGCCACTTACAGGATTTAAACAGTTTTTCATTGAGTTTGTCATAGAGCCCTGAAATTTGGTACACATTTGTCAAGTCAAAACAATACATTTGTTTTATGATGGTCCCTTGACAGGAAGTCCGCTATTATGAAAAACTAAACTAAACCTCGGTCATTCCCCAATTTGCCTTAGAATTTCTCATCATCTAAACATGTGTAGCATCTAAAGTTAGTTGCAGAATTTTGATTGGTTTAACGTGTACAGCAAACATGCACGTTTGCAGTTATTGGATTCTTTTTTGGCCTATTTGCACCAAATTGTAATTCTTCTTCTCCAGGATCTACATCACCTGGATGTGAAAAAAAATACATTGGCATAAGATAAGATGTGCTTTATTTATCTCACAGAGGAGAAATTTACAAAATTCAAATTTTCAGTCCAAATGAATAGTTTTTTCAAAATTTTGCACATAATTCTGTTTTGGCATCCTGAATCAAAAAGACCCATGACTTTTTACACGGTTGCCGTGGCGATGAGGAACACCTCCCATTCTGTGTTGATGGGAAAATTGTATAATCCCCAAATTTACACCTCACACTTTTAACGAACCAGCCTCGGTTGTTTCACCACTTTGGCTCAACTTTGCTCCACATCATTTCAACCCTTTGTAGAATCAAAAGTTAGCTACAGAATTTGATCAATCAAATGGTGTGTGCGCGGCACACTCGCATTTATTGGTTATTTCAATAGAGATTCATGAACATTTCCATCTTAATCAAATGAGACACACACTCACTGATCATACTCACTTTATACAGTGTTTCTCTCATCAGGGCTGTAGGAAGATGATGCCACCTTCTTTGATGCCGCTTGTGGCTTTAATTTTGTTACTGTTGTTCACAGGTGGACCTGTCTAAACGCCGTGTTGTGGATGAGGGCGAGGGCAGGCTTTGGGCGGAGTCTCGAGGATTTAATTATTTTGAAACTTCTGCACAAAGTGGAGAAGGAATCAACGAGATGTTTCAGGTGCCCCCTAATCCTACCCCCTCCTCCTAATTTTACTCCCACCTCCTAATGCTACCTCCTACTCCCACCTCCTAATCCTACCCCCTCCTCCTAATCCTACCCCCTCCTCCTAATTTTACTCCCACCTCCTAATGCTACCTCCTACTCCCACCTCCTAATCCTACCCCCTCCTCCTAATCCTACCTCCTCCTCATAATCCTACATCTTTCTTCTACCTCCTCCTCCTTTCTCCTAATCCTAATCCTGCCTGTGCTCAGTCCTTCTTCTCGTCGATCGTCGACACGTGTGAAAACGGCGGGAAGCGTCCAGTGGCGGAGAGCACCGCAGGCTTCACCAAAGAACAGGCCGACACCATCCGCCGCATCCGCACCAGCAAGGACTCATGGGACATGCTAGGGGTCAAGCCAGGGGCAACCAGGTGAGAGGTCAGGGGTCAGGACAACAATTGTTGCGCTAAATCTCAGAACACACCCAAGTCAGTTACATTTGTTTCGATGAATCATGCCGTCAGGGGGTTGGGGGGCAGTCGGTGACTACATGTTTCTACTTCCTGTGCAGGGAGGAAGTGAACAAAGCGTACAGGAAGTTGGCCGTTCTGCTGCATCCTGATAAATGTGTGGCTCCAGGAAGTGAGGATGCCTTCAAGGTAACCACGGCAACCAGGACCGAAGCCAGAACCGAGACCTGTATCAATACCTGGACCGAGACCCAAACCCAGACCCGTACCTAGTTGACAGTTTTGTAAAGTCTTCCGAGATAACTACTGTAGTGATTTTGGGCTATACGCAAATCAAATGAATTGAATTGAATGTAGCCCAGCTTTAATCATGTGCCGTGTGTGTAGGCGGTGGTGAACGCCAGGACCAATCTGCTGAAGAACATAAAGTGACCAGCAGGGGCGCTGAGACCAGCGTAAGGATCTCCTGTAAGAGACAACTGCAGCGGCCATCTTGTGTACCTAACAGCTGAACTGTGATGGCCATCTTGTGTGTACAGAACAGCTGAACTATGGCAGCCATCTTGTGTGTACAGAACCATTGTTCTGTATTGCACAATGTAAATGAACTACTATGATTTCTACAGAGTCTGGAGTCATTCAACATATTTATATTCAAGCACTTTTTGTCCTGTCAGAGTCTGAAAAATATTTAAAGTGGATTATTATAATTTTCTTATTTGATGAATGTTGTTTATTTATTTTTGTGCAAATAAAGTGACTAATGTTTTCTCTGTGATGGTGTTGCTCCTTCAGCTTGCTTTGTGGGCGGGGCTTCGTACCCAGTACCAGGGTATGAACTCAGACCAAGACCACAGGAGCCAGGGGGGAGAGAGCTCAGGGCCTGATAGGGATTTGAACCAAAGTCTTTGGAAGAAACTTTGACATAGATTTTGAGCAGTGCTCCCACCCCCTTCGGCCTCAGCTGTGTTTCCTCGTGTGTTAGAGCTACAGAGGTTTAGTTGAGCTCAAGTGGGGTCTGAGTGCTGCATCTGACCAACACGACATCTGCCAATCATTAAAAAGTGCTCTCTCTCAGACCGAAGGGACGACCGTCAGGGACCAGGCTCCGAACATTTTCAAGGCTCATGATGAAAACACCAGGAAGATGGGACCAGAACCAGTGTCTTTGTGCTGGTTCCAGTGAGCAAGACACATGTCTGGGTTCAAGTCCTGCTCTCCGTCCAACTTCGATATAATACATTTATAAAGACAAACTCTGACACTAGGTGTACGTCTCAGCTGGTAGACCTCGATTCTATCCAGCTGCCACCACAACCAGAGACTGAGGAACTATAAAAAAGATGGAGGAGCTTGGAAGAGAGAGGGTAAACCAGCACCCCAGAGACAGAGCCAGCCAACCTGAAAAAGAAGTGAACTGGAGGAGGATACACATCTTCTTTTCCATGTTGTTTGTGTAACCCTAGTTCAGCGATGGCAAGCCCCAAGTGTGATCTCTGCGTTGTGTTGTTTGTGTTACTGGTCAGGGGCCAGCAGTGCGGATAGGGAAACCAGGAGTCAATGGTGGAAGAGGCTGAACAGACGTTCCTCATTTATTGCCTTCATAAAAACAAAAGAGAACTGCAGCGTTGCGAAGCTGCGGAGGGCTTATATAGTTAAGAAAACAAAGGGCGCCCTCTGTTGGCGCACGGACACATTACATCCTTACATCCACCCCCAGTTTGTTTGATGGCGTCTCAGACATCTTAACAACAAAATAACAAAATAAAATACAGGGTGAAAGTCTCTTTTGAATGACTAAGAGAAAATTGGAGGGGGTTTTATTCTCTATTACGAAAGTTGCGTTTCTCCTTGACCCTTTGCCATATTTTGCGACCTCGGGCAATCTTTTGCTGGACTGTTTCATCGTGCATCGCTCTCAATTGAAAGGACAGTCTTTTGGGTGGCTGCCTGTTCCTTAGGGGGTTTCTTCTGCCCACAGCACATTCAGAAATACCCATTTCGGTATTTTGAATCTCCACTGGTGCATTATCTTCTTCCTCCATATCCTCCAATGGATCCTCCTCCCCGCAATCCTCATCAGAGCCAATCCTTGAATCATTGACACCCTCAGTTCCATCCTCCACCTCATCTGCCAATAGTTCAGACTCCAAGGGAAAAAACATGCACTGGGTAAGAAGGTTTCCGTGGACCACTCTTTGCTTTTCACCATCTTCTGACTGAATGACATAAACCGGGACTCCAGGCTGTTTCTTTAGGACCAGGTAAGGCTTGGACTCCCACCGGTCCCCCAACTTCTGCCGACCTTCAACGGCGCAGACTTTGACTAATACTCTGTCTCCTGGAGCAAATGTAAGACTTTTCTTGACCCTGCTGTCATAATGCTTATTTTGCTGCAGCTTGGCTTGTCTGGAGCTTATGTTGGCTTGAGCGTAAGCATGCTTTAGGCAGTCTTTGAGGTCCTGAACATAATCGCTGTATTCACAGGGGTTGCTGCCGTATGTTAGACCAAAGACCAGATCGACAGGAAGTCTTGGATGCCTGCCGTACATTAGATAGTAGGGACTGTAGCCTGTCGAATCATGTTGAGTGCAATTGTATGCATGTGTCATTGCATCAACATACTCGCTCCAACGAGGTTTCAGAGGAGGCTCCAGCGTGCCAAGCATATTCATGAGAGTGCGATTGAACCTTTCTGTGATCCCATTTCCCTGAGGATGGTATGGGCTGGTGTGGGTTTTGGTGATGCCTGTGATTTTACAAAGGTCTCGAACTATGGCACTCTCAAAATTACGTCCTTGGTCGGAATGAAGCCTTGCTGGGAAACCAAACCGGCAAAAGAAGTTTCTCCAAAGCACCTTAGCCACTGTGGAGGCCTTCTGGTCCCTTGTTGGGTATGCTTGGGCAAAGCGGGAGAAATGGTCTGTCACCACAAGCACATTCTCAATTTGACCCACAGACTTCTCTAGTATGAGGAAATCGATACACACCAGCTCCATGGGGGCAGAGGTATGTATACTGACTAGCGGGGCATGGAGACCAGCAGGAGTCTTTCGAAGACAGCAACGCTCGCAACGCTCACACCACATCTTAACCTCTTGAAACATCCTTGGCCAGAAGAAACGTTCTCTTATGAGAGCAAAAGTTCTTTCAAACCCGAGGTGCCCTGATTCATTGTGCAGGGCAGTCATCACTCCTGTCTGAAGATTCTGAGGTAGGACCAACTGATTGATGACTCCTTTACGACTGTCCCGGACTGTGCGATACAGAGCTCCATCTCTCACAACCAACTTCCTCCACTCTTTTAGGAGAAGGGAGGCCTGTCCTCCCCAAGCCTCTCTCTCTCTTTTGCTTGGTTTGGAATTAATTGCTTTGTAGCTCAACACTGGTCCCACAACAAGATCTTCCCTTTGAGCCGCCCGGATGTCCTGCTTGGTCATTGATGGGAGACATTCAGTACCAGTATCAGCGTAGGGCTCTGACTCTTGACTGGGCACAGGAGGCTCAGACTCTTCTGCCACCCTCTGTGGGCACGACAGGGCCCTAGCCACATCATTGCATGACATTCTTGAGAGCGCATCTGCATTAGCATTATTCCTTCCCTGACGATACTGAATGTCGAAATCAAAGCCTGACAACTGTGATACCCATCGCTGACCAGTGGCGTCCAACTTGGCAGTGGACATGACATATTTCAAAGGGTTGTTATCCGTCAGCACAGAGAACTTATGTCCATAGAGATGGTCGAAGAACTTTTCAGTCGCAGCCCACTTTAGAGCTAAAAACTCTAACTTGTGGGCTGGATAACGGGTTTCTGGTGGACTTAAACCTCGACTAGCATAAGCTATGACCTTCTCGACCCCATTCTGAACTTGCGCCAGGACCGCTCCCAAGCCTTCTCCGGAGGCATCAGTCTGCAGCACGAATGGCAGTGTGTAGTCCGGGTATCCAAGTAATGGAGCTGATGTGAGTTTTTCTTTCAGGGTGGTAAATGATCTTGTACACTCATCAGTCCATAGAAAGGGAGGGTCAGGTACAGTGGTTCTTTTCGTACCCCTTTTTTTCTTTCTGGGGTCACCAGAAGTGAGGCGGTAGAGGGGTGCAGCAATCTTTGCATAGCTCTCCACAAACCTCCTGTAGTACCCCGCAAACCCCAGGAAACGAAGGACCTCCTTACGGTTTGTTGGCTGTGGCCAGTCCTTCACCTTGCTTATCTTTTCAGGGTCAGTGCGGATACCTTCTGCACACACCCGATGCCCCAAGTATTGGACCTCCTTTTTCATCAAGTGGCATTTTGAGGGTTTCAGTTTAAGGCCATGTTTACGCAGTCTGTCAAACACCAACTGCAGGCGTTGCAGGTGTCCCTCAAAATCCTTGGAAAATATTATGAGGTCATCAAGGTAGATAAGGAGGTGCGAGTAGTTCAAGTCTCCAAAACAGCAGGTCATCAACCTCTGGAATGTTGATGGGGCATTCTGTAAGCCAAACGGCATACGATTTGCTTCAAAGAGGCCCATAGGCGTGGTGAAAGCCGTTTTATGTTTATCCTGCTCTGCCACCTCCACCTGCCAATACCCCGATGTCAAGTCCAAGGTGGAAAAATACTGTGCTTGTCCAAGAGCTTCCAGAGCGTCTTCGATCCTAGGAAGAGGGAATGCGTCCCTTGTACTGCAGGAATTCAACCTCCTGTAGTCGACGCAAATCCTTAACGTCCCATCCTTCTTAACTACAACCACAATGGGTGACGCATACGGGCTCTTACTTGGGCGGATGACACCGGTGTCTTCCATGTCTTTTAAAAGATTGCGGACATCTTGCCATTGAGCAGGTGGTATTTTCCGATAGGGGAGACGGAACGGCTTGGGATCAATCAGAGGGATTTCATGTTGTACTGTCTTTGTGTGCCCAAAATCCATGGAATGTTGGGAGAATACATCACGGTTCTTTAGCAATAGTTGCCTCAAGCTTTCCCTCTGCTCCTCCTTTTCCACTGCAGCCCCACTTAGATCCACTGGACATGTGACAGTGTCCCTGCCCTGAGTCGCCTGCACAATCTGATCTTGAATATGACATGTTTCCATCTTGGAATCCCCAGAGCACTCCCCCTCATTACTCCACTGCAACACATCTCTAACGAGAAAAACATTTGCAAGACAAGTATGTGGTTTAATCAACACTGGCTGGACAGAGAGGTTCATTACTCGGACTGGAACGACGCCCTTCCTGACATAGGCAAGCACTCTGCCCACTACTAGGCCCTCTGGCAGCTGAGAATTTACGTTACATTCAATCAGCGCAGTGTACGTTTTCTTTCTTGGCCCCCCTTTTACCCGGCACATCACGTTCATTTCTTTGCTTGCAGGGACACACATTTTACTGCCAGTATAAACCGCAGGGCCAATGCGGTCGTCGAAACCACAAGGTTTTGTGCCACTCACCTCTGTCAAGGCAGAGTACCATTCTGGGTGCTTCTCCTGTACCATAACCAGGAATTGTTTTCCATATTGGGATTCAAAATGGCTTTTGGAGGCCCGTATGACATTAGTACCCACTAACAATGGAACTCCAGACCGGTACTCTGTTACCGGAACAACAAAAGCAGGCACATTGGCAAAGTCTTTCCCCGGAATCTTGAGATTTATGTATAAAAAACCAAAATGGGGAATAGTATGGCCTCCAGCCCCCTCCATTGGGATGCTAGACTCTTGTATCTCCTGCATACACAGCTCAGGGTGTGAGCGCCAGAAAGTGTCTGTGATGGTGGTCACTTGAGAACCAGAATCAATGAGCGCCTTACAGGACATTCCATTAACTTCAACCTGTCCCTCATTTAAAGGTCCGACAAGTGGGGTTTCCAATTCCTTTTGGGGGATCAGATGCATGCCCATGGTTGCCCCAGTCACCACAGGCTTTAGGAGTTTAAAGGCTGGCCACCTGTGATAGCGCCACTATCCGATGTGACAGTGGCGTACGATCCAGCACTGGTAGAGGGCTCATTTTCAGGTAGCACCGCCCTACAGGACCTGGCCAAGTGTCCAGGTCTGCCACAGCGGTGGCACACTATGGTGGCTCTTCGGCTAGGGTCTCTGGGTCCTAAATTCGGCTTGAATGGTGAGGTGGGAGGGGTAAACTTTGTCTCCAACTGAGCAAGCCTTTTACTTTGTTCTTCTTGATGCAGTGCGATACTTTTCACGAGGTCTGTAAGTTCACGTAACTCAGAAGATTGCTTCCCCGTTTCAGCTCTCTCAGTTGCTCCACTTACTTGCCTATTTGTGACAGTCTGGACCTGGCTGAAAGTCTTCTTCTGCCTCGGCTGGTTGAACTTCTTGGCTTCTCTGGCTATATTCCTGAGCTCGTTCTGTCCCGAAAGCATAGCATTCTCGGCTTCATGGGAGCAATCCTCAAAAAAACATCCTCTTCAATCAACCCCCTCATGAACTGTCGCACCAGTTTTGCATCACGATCTGGGAATGGTCGGCCCCTGTTTTGGGTGTCTTCCACTTCTCTGAGCGTGGCCTCTAAAGCAATGGCAAAAGAACAGGCTGTCTCCCCTGAACGTTGGGTTCTCTCATAAAAGTCGGCCAGGGGATCCAGAGATCTCTGCATGTCACCATATTCTGACCGTAGTTCATCAAAAGCCCTCCCCGGGACTTGCTCTATTGGGGGGAGGTTTAGAACAAGCCTTCGTGCTTCTCCACTCAAATGCCTGACAATGGTTGCAAAACTGAGGTGGGATGGTAGGGCACCTGCATCTAAAAGATACTGCATGTCTCTGATCCAGTCCTCAATCAGTATTCTGCAGTCTGCCCCACCACTGAAAATGGCCACATTTTTTACTTGATGAAACTGAGTGAAATTGGCTGGGCTGGGCTGGAAAGGGGGAGGCGCCTGGATCCCTGCACACTCATGTGGATAGGCGCTAGCCTGCATGTGGTATGGAGCTGGTTGTGCGATGGATGGGTATGTTTGATTAGCGTGCAGAGCGGCTTGGGTAGCAGGTGTGTTATTAACCCTCACTGGTTGCTGGCTTAGAACAGCGGCATGAGGTGCCATACTACCCGGACTAATAATGCCTGTGTTTTGTGGGTACTTTTCAAAAGCAGTTAACATTGGCCCACCGTAACTGCCCTGGGGATATTGGTAACTGGGTGTGTGGACATGGCGTTCTGGTACCTGCATGGGGGTTCCCCCAGTCATCAGATTGAGGTGAAGAGGGTTAGACTGTGGAGGCGTGGGCAGAGCATTATATGCCATATTCCAGGGTGATAATGCCTCATGCTGTTGGGCATACTGCTCCGAGTGCTCAGACGGATTCATCAAAATAACTGTTTGGTCCAAAGTCTGGATCTCTCCTTCTGCCCCACCTGGTCTGTCTGGCTGGCGGTATAACTTTGGCCTCACCGCAGGGGGAATCGTGGGAATGGGGCGTCGAGGAGTATCTTCATGGAGGTTTTGCACATTACCTTGCATGTTGATTAATTATAACGTGATATCAATCTCTTAAACCGATGAATCAATATTACAGAAATATTCACAACATAGCATTCAATCACATAACAAAGCACTATTCAACAATGAGAAAAAAATAATGTAATAAAGAGCATATAACTGAAAACTGAGGATACAGCTTATTATGATGTTAACAGTCCACAGAGTTGTCCGCTCTTCCTCTTATAAACCACCATCCGGGTCACGGCACCAAAGATGTAACCCTAGTTCAGCGATGGCAAGCCCCAAGTGTGATCTCTGCGTTGTGTTGTTTGTGTTACTGGTCAGGGGCCAGCAGTGCGGATAGGGAAACCAGGAGTCAATGGTGGAAGAGGCTGAACAGACGTTCCTCATTTATTGCCTTCATAAAAACAAAAGAGAACTGCAGCGTTGCGAAGCTGCGGAGGGCTTATATAGTTAAGAAAACAAAGGGCGCCCTCTGTTGGCGCACGGACACATTACATCCTTACATTTGAATCACCAACTTAATCATTAAGTTGTTTTGGATGTGACTCAGTAAAATGTTGTGTGCCTCAATGATAAGTTGTCTGTCTCAGTTAAATGTTGTTTGTTGTTAAAACAGATCATGGTGCTTGGTGTTCTCTCTCTTCACTCACTGCCCCATCCTCATCCAGAGACTTTCTGGTCTGTCTCTGGTCTCTAACTTCCTTGTGTTTCATCATGAGCCTTGGAAATGTTCAGAGCCAGGTCCCTGATGGCTCTGAAAGAGAAAGATTTTATAATGATTGACTAATGTAGCATTGAGAGATCTGACAGTAAGCAAGTTTCAGTATCAGCGGTTGTGGTCAATTTATTCTTACACAGAACAAGAAACAGACTTGGCTGATTAGTCTGACTCCAAATGTCTTTCTATTTATGCATTCTTTGTGTTATCACTAAGGGAATGGCACAGGAGGCTTTGTTACAGGGCCTGGGTCTCCTCTAATTCAACTGTCAGTGGTGGCAAATCAGACTCACTGTGTTTCCATTGTTTAGAGATTAAAGGGATAGGGGAAAGCAGGGGAGGACAGGTGGATGGTTATTTGGTGATGGGTTAGAGGAGGGGCAGGCTGAGGAAAGTTTTGTGGGTGAATCAAATATTTTCTTTTTAAAGATATTTTTACTAAAACATGAATGGACAAATTAAACTGTATTTTTATGATTTAATGTGTAACATTTACACATACACACACAGATAGACTCACACACACGCACGGAGACACACACAGACACACTCAGGGCTGGAGCAGATCTACTTCTTGCTCTGTCATGTGACTTGCTCGCTGTTGCAGCCAGGTCATGTGACGCGACAGTTTGGTGACGATCAGAACCTGAGCTCTGCCCCCTGCAGGCGACACAGAGGACAGCACCCCCACGATGTACGCAGTCCCTTTGTGCAGGCTGACCACCGGGGTCCCTAAGGCCCTCCCTGGGGTCACTGAAAAGCTGGATAAGCTTTGGTTTGTCTCCAGTTCAGTGGGTTGTGTCTGAATGTGATGGTCGTCTTGCTCCGCCTCCAACCCACCCTTCTCCTCTGGCTCCACCCAGAGTCCCTCCCTCTCCAGACAGAACATCTTGTTGGTGATTCGTCGGTTCGTCTTCCTGCGACACTCGTCCAGTGTCAGGGCTCTGGCCCCGCCCCCAGTTCCTCCCACCAGCAGCAAGCTCCAATGTCGTGCCAGGACGCGGTCGGCGTGGTCGCGGTGTATGGGGACACATAGGTGCAGGGGGGCGGGGCTTCTGGGAGAGGGGCGGGGCATATGCAGCAGAGCGAGGTCATAGTCCAGATTGGCCAAGGAGAAGCGATCGTGTACATGTGCTGATGTCACACGCACGCTGCCCTGCTGGCCACCTGCGGAAAAATAGGTCTGAGTCAGGTCTGAGACCAGTCCTGGTCCGGACCAGAACCAGGTCTGAGCCAGGACTGCAGACTCACTGAAGCGGATGAAGAGTGGGTTCGAGTCCAGGTCTGGTCCGAGCTGAGACCACACACAGTGAGCTGAGGTCAGGACTGAAGAGAGTCCGAGGAGAGCCCCTTTACAAATCTCCAGACCTGAAGAGTCCAAGACCAAGACCTGAGACAAAGATCAGAGATAGACCAGAGATAGACAAAAAGACCAGAAAGTTAAAATTTTAAAACAGTACATTTAAATCATTCTGGAGAGCAGTGTCTGGGGGCGGGGCTTACCTGCCAGGGACAGTGCTGATTGGTGCAGACGGTGTGGGAGGCGTTAGACTGATGCTGATTTGGGATCTGTCCACAAGGGGTCTCCACTGGACACACAGACATTACAGCTTTAGATTCAGAGTTAGGTACTACAGTACCTGTACAGTACCTGTAGTACCTGCTGTATTACCTGTAGTATTAGTACTTGATGGGCTGCTGTAATACCAGTAGTACCTGTAGTATGTCATGTCTCTTTTATCTGGAGGAAGGACTTCGCAGGTCCTTCCTCCCTGCTGCTGTCAGACTGTACAACGAGAATGTGTGACAAGAACTGCTGAGTTTGTACAAATGTCACTGATAATTCACTAGTAACTTTGTCACTAGACCTGATATTACTATTACTGCATTATTACATATCCATCTGATATTTCTGCTATTCACCAGTCACTTTACCTGTTGATATTATTTCTAATATTTATTCTGCTTATATTCATATTCTCATATTCTCCACTGCTAATGTACAATATAGACATCTTTAAATACTCCTGAACCAAGTGCAATTATAGCCAACAGTTTATCTTATTTTATTTTATTCTTAGCTTAAATGTATTGTCTATTATCTTAAACAATAGACTTATTTGATGTGTGCAATCTGAGTGCTCTTATTTCCTTCTTTCTCTGCTGTAATGTGCGCAATGATGTCATTGAAATTTCTCCACTGTGAGACGAATAAAGGTTTATCTTATCTTAACATTCCCAAAGGGCCTGAAAACGGCAGTTATCAGGCCCCTACTTAAAAAGAGGAGTCTGGATGCTGTGGCTCCCAAAAATGGCCATCCCATCTCAAGTCTGCTATTCATGGGGAAAATTCTTGATAACATCCATCCATCCATTTCCTTCCGCTTTATCCGTTGCCGGGTCGCGGGGGCAGCAGTCTAAGCAGAGACGCCCAGACTTCCCTATCCACACACACTTCCTCCAGCTCGTCCGGGGGGACCCCAATGCGTTCCCAGGCCAGCTGAGAGACATAGTTCCTCCAGCGTGTCCTGGGTCTTCCCCGGGGCCTCCTCCCGGTGGGACGTGCCCGGAACACCTCCCCTGGGAGGCGTCCAGAAGGCATCCGGAACAGATGCCCGAGCCACCTCAACTGGTTCCTCTCGACGTGGAGAAGCAGCGGCTCTACTCCGAGCTCCTCCCGTGTGACTCCTCACCTTATCTCTAAGGGAGCGCCCAGCCACTCTGCAGAGGAAGCTCATTTCGACCGCTTGTATCCGCGATCTCGTTCTTTCGGTCATTACCCACAGCTCATGACCATAGGTGAGGGAGGGAACGAAGATTGACCGGTAAATTGAGAGCTTTGCCTTTCTGCTCAGCTCCCTCTTTACCACAACGGTCCGATACAGCTCTGACTGCAGACGCTGCTCCCTCTTTACCACAACGGTCCAATACAGCGACCGCATCACTGCGCACGCTGCACCGATCCGCCTGTCAATCTCACGTTCCATTCTTCCCTCACGCGTGAACAAGACCCCGAGATACTTGAACTCCTCCACTTTAGGAAGGACCTCTCCACCCACCTGTAGAGGGCAAGGCACCTTTTTCCGGTCGAGCATCATGGCCTCGGATTTGGAGGTGCTGATTCTCATCCCAGCCGCTTCACACTCGGCTGCAAACCGCCCCAGTGCATGCTGCAGGTCCTGGTTCGTTGGAGCCAACAGGACAACATCGTCCGCAAACAGCAGAGATGAAATCCTGTGGTCCCCGAACCGGACCCCCTCCGACCCCTGGCTGCGCCTAGAAATTCTGTCCCGGTGACAAAGGGCAGCCCTAGCGGAGGCCAACATGCACCGGGAACAAATGCCGGCGATGCGAACACAGCTCTGGCTCCGGTCATACAGGGACCGGACGGCCCTCAGCAGAGGACCCCGAACCCCGTACTCCCGAAGAACCCCCCAAAGGACACCCCGGGGAACACGGTCGAACGCCTTCTCCAAATCCACAAAGCACATGTGGACTGGTTGGGCGAACTCCCATGAACCCTTGAGTATCCGATGGAGAGTATAGAGCTGGTCCAGTGTTCCGCGACCGGGACGAAAACCACACTGCTCCTCCTGAATCCGAGATTCGACCATCGGCCGTAGCCTCCTCTCCAGTACATTGGAGTAGACCTTACCGGGGAGGCTGAGGAGTGTGATCCCACGATAATTGGAACACGCCCTCAGGTCCCCCTTCTTGTAGAGAGGGACCACCACCCCGGTCTGCCACTCCATTGGCACCGCCCCTGATCGCCACGCGATGCTGCAGAGACGTGTCAGCCAAGACAGTCCTACAACATCCAGAGACTTTAGATAATCAGGACGGATCTCATCCACACCCGGAGCCATGCCACCATGGAGGCTGCCAAACACCTTGGTTACCTCAGCCAGGGAGATGGATGTATCCGCCCCAACATCCTCAGCCTCTGCCTCTGTAACGGAGGACGTGACGGGGGGATTGAGGAGAACCTCAAAGTATTCCTTCCACCGCCCGACAATATCCCCAGTCGAGGTCAGCAGCTCTCCACCCGCACCGTACACGGTGTTGGCAAAGAACTGCTTCCCCCTCCTGAGGCGCCGGATGGTTTGCCAGAACCTCTTTGAGGCCGACCGATAGTTGTGCTCCATGGACTCTCCGAACTCCTCCCAGTCCCGGGTTTTTGCCTCTGCAACAGCCCGGGCCGCAGCACGCTTGGCCTGCCGGTACTGGACAGCTGCCTCAGGAGTCCCACGAACCATCATGGCTCGATAGGACTCCTTCTTCAGCCTGACGGCATCCCTTACTGCATCCCTTACTGCCGGTGTCCACCACCGGGTTCGGGGGTTGCCGCCGGGACCAGCACCGGAGACCTTACGACCACAGCTACGAGCCGCCGCATCGGCGATTGAGGCAGAGAACATGGTCCAATCGGACTCGATGTCCCCCTCCTCCGCCGGGACCTGGGAGAAGCTCTCCCGGGGGTGAGAGTTGAAAGTCCGTCTGACAAGGAGTTGGGTTCCAGAGCCCAAGCTGTGTGTGGAGGTGAGGCCGACTATCTCTAGTCGGTATCGCTCAACCTCCCCCACGAGCTCGGGCTCCTTCCTCCCCAGTGAGGTGACGTTCCATGTCCCAAGAGCCACATGTGTGTGCGGACTGGGTCGCCGAGGTCTCCCCTTCGACCGCTGTCTAGTCCTCTCAGCACCCGACCACCACGGACCCCTCTGCGGGTGGTGGGCCCACAGGATAACATGGGGAGTTTATTCATTATTCTTCTTTAATAATGAATAAACTCTTTTGTATGTTCCAGTCTGACTTTAGACCTCACCACAAACAATATCCGACTGAACACAGACAAAGTCTCAGTCTTAATCTTGACCAGTTGACCATGAGATCCTCTTACAGAGACAAGAGGGCAGGGTGGTCCTCACAGACACTAAAGGACTGGGTGGTCCTCACAGACACTAAAGGACTGGGTGGTCCTCACAGACACAAAAGGACTGGGTGGTCCTCACAGAGACTAAAGGACTGGGTGGTCCTCACAGAGACTAGAGGACTGGGTTGGCGTCACTGGCACCGCCCTAAGTTGGTCTAGGTCTTACCTTGAAGACAGGAAGTACTTGGTGGAGATCAGAAAGTGTCTCAGATCATATGGCCCTGACCTGTGCCACTGGGGTCTACCCTGAGACCTCTTCTGTTCTGTTCTGTCTACATCCTGTCGTTTGGTCAGTTCATTCACAGTAACATTGTACCTGCAGTACCAGTAGCAGCAGGAGTACTAGTAGGACCCGTAGTAACGGTAGCAGTGGTTGTACCAGTAGCAGCAGTAGTACCAGTAGCACCAGTAGCACCTGTGGTACCAGTAGTAGCAGTAGTACTAGTAGCATCAGTAGTACTAGTAGCATCAGTAGTAGCAGTAGTACCTGTAGCAGCAGTAGTACCTGTAATACCAGTAGCAGCAGTTGTACCTGTAGTCCCTGCTGGCCTGCAGCTCCTCTGGTCACTCCTCAGAGTGTATCCTTGTAAACAGGAGCAGCTGTAGCTGAAGTCTGAGGCCGTACACAGCTGCTCACAGGAGGAGGGGCCACTGAGCGGACACGGTATGGAGGCTACGGGAGAGTACTGTGTCAGAGTACTCCAGTACTGTGTCCGAGTACTAGAGTACTGTTTTTCATTTACTGTTTCACTTACCCTACACTACCCTACACTATCCTACCCTAGAGTATCGAAAATATGTATCTATATATCTATCTTGAGTAGAGTAGAGTAGAGTAGAGTAGAGTAGAGTAGAGTAGAGTAGAGTAGAGTAGAGTAGAGTAGAGTAGAGTAGAGTAGAGTAGAGTAGATAAGTGAGAGGAGCTTAAACACAAACACAGATCGGGATTTGATAGTATTTTTTCGTTAGGGTTAGGGTTATTTCTCACCTTTGACCAGTGGGTCCTGGGCTGGGTCCTGGGCTGGGTCCTGGTCTGGTCTGGTCCCAGGTCCCAGCTCACAGGTGGGTCCAAAGAAGGGGGCGGGGCATGTGCAGGTGAACCCGCCCACGCCGTCGGTGCAGATTCCTCCGTGACCACAGGGGGCAGACACACACTGGTCTCCATCCACATACTGAGCCCAGAACATAGACTGTAGAGCAAGAAGAAGAGTCAGAGGCCAGACCAGGACCAAGACCAAGACTTAGACTAGTGTGTGTGGTATCTCCCTCCTTCTCTGCATGTGTGTTGCTCACTCTCTCGCTTTCTGTGTGTGTGTGTGTGTCTCTCACAGTATGGTGTGTGTCCTCGAACACCTCCCTGGCCTCTTCGTACACACAGATCTCCTCAAAACATTCTCGTTCCAGATTTCCCTGAAGAATTTCCTCCAGAAGAAACGAGTTTGCTCGTTTGGACCTAAGGAACAAGTTCGGACCTGACACACACATGGTTAACTGTTTAGCTTAGCCATTTAGCTTAGCCGGTTGCTTAAAGCCGTCAAATTATTAGCTTAGCGTTTCAGAGTGAGACCGTCGAAATGAAGCCAATGCGTGTCCAGCTCTACAGCTCCCCAATTTAGCAATCAACAAGATGAATTCAGAAGAACAGACATTTTGGCTCAGATGAGCAGATATTATGGCTCAGATGAACAGTATCACTGTCTCACAGTGCCCCCTTTTGCCTCATTACCACAGTGTAACTCCACAGACTGGGGTCAGGTTTAAGGCTAACAGGAGCGCTAGCATACATGTTATACATTAGCATAACTTTATAGTAACATTACAACAATACAAGGACAAACTTGTACCTGTGTAAAGTCCAAACACACAAACACTCGACACGAGCAAACAACTCCACAGCAGAGCTCTGCAGACCGCCATGACACCTGTCACTCAGGCACAAGTCCCGCCCCCCTGGTAAACACACAAGCCCCGCCCCCTGGTAAACACACAAGTTCCGCCCCCTGGTAAACATACAGGTTCTGCCCCCTGGTAAACACACAAGCTCCGCCCCCTGTCACTCAAACACAAGCCCCACCCCATGGTAATCACAAAAGTTCCCAGACCCAGACCAGACCTAGACCGGACCCTCTGAGTAAACATTAGATTCAAGTTTAACTGTAAACAACGGTTTCATCACTTTCAGATAAACTGAGCACGAAATGGATGACGAGCACAAAATGGTCGACTCAGGATTAGAACAAAACTTTATTTCAAACACAAAACAACAATAAAAAGTGCTCTAGACCCAGAAGGTTCTGGTCCAGTCCTGGTCCAGTCCACTCCTGGTTTAGTCTTGGTCCAATCCTGGTCACAGGTACATGAGTTTGAAGCCTCTTGGATTCTGCTGTGGATTCGGATCAGGTCCAAAAACCTACAATCAAAATCTCAGTTACTGTCAGTTTATAGTGTGTGTTGTCTGTGTATGTGTGTCTGTGTATGTGTGTCTGTGTGTATGTGTGTCTGCGTGTATGTCAAGCCCCGGTGATCCATGATGACGTCCTATTCAAATGAATGGCTTGTGCTCAGTAGCGCATGGGACAGCCATGGGGGCTGAAAGATTAGCGGAACTCGCCCATATTTGGGCATCGTCTGGTCCTTCCGATTCTGCGCAGTGGACGAGCTCCCATGTGTGGCTCTCATGCACGTGCACAAAGGGGCTCGGCCGCGCTCTGACCAATCAGAGCTGCTGATCAGAGCGGAGCTAGAACGGGAGATTGTTGCATTAAAGTGTGGATTTATAGAAAACCGAAAGATTTAGGAAGAAAAAAAGTTGAGGACAACAAGGGACACTAAAATCCTCACAAAACTCTTTATGAAAGCTGTAGGTTCTCTGTCAGCTGAGGTCCAGCTGTTTTTGTTTACATTGAGTTCTATGAGACTTTTTCTGGATAGCCCGCGTGAATAGTAGAATCTACAGTACAGCGGGAGCGGCCGCTGTGTCCATGGGTTAGACAGCTATTAGTAGTAGTACAGTAGTAATCTTTATTTATATACCGCCTTTTCACTGCACATCGGAGTCTCAAAGCAGTTTACAATTGTGATTTTTGGGAGTGGGGGTGCCAGTACAGGAGGCACATGCCAGACCTATTGTACATATTTTTAGTGGTAGGGGAAACCGGAGCACCCGGAGGAAACCTACGCAGACACGGGGAGAACATGCAAACTCTACTCAGAAAGGTCCTGGTCCAACCGGGATTCAAACCCAGGACCTTCTTGCTGAGAGGCGAGAGTGCTATCCACTCAGCCACCGTGCCGCCCGCTATCATTATTAGCTAGTAATACCCTATCCAGTTCTTATTATAGATCCATGGTGTATGTGTTTATGTGTGTGTGCATGTGCAGTACCTCCCTCTTCCCTCTGGAGGCACTCCTCCCTGACTATAGAGCGCTCAACACACACACACACACACTATATAGTATACTATATATATATAAATACTGTAGTATACATGTATGTATGTACAGTGCCTTGCGAAAGTATTACGAAAATTTAATTTTTTGTCATGAATCAACAACAAGTGGGACACAATCGTGAAGTGGAACGAAAATTATTGGATAATTTAAACTTTTTTAACAAATACAAAACTGAAAAGTGGGGCGTGCAATATTATTCGGCCCCCTTGCGCTAATACTTTGTAGCGCCACCTTTTGCTGCAATTACAGCTGCAAGTCGCTTGGGGTATGTCTCTATCAGTTTTGCACATCGAGAGACTGGAATTCTTGCCCATTCTTCCTTGAAAAACAGCTCGAGCTCAGTGAGGTTGGATGGAGAGCGTTTGTGAACAGCAGTCTTCAGCTCTTTCCACAGATTCTCGATTGGATTCAGGTCTGGACTTTGACTTGGCCATTCTAACACCTGGATACGTCTATTTGTGAACCATTCCATTGTAGATTTGGCTTTATGGTTTGGATCATTGTCCTGTTGGAAGATAAATCTCCGTCCCAGTCTCAGGTCTTTTGCAGACTCCAACAGGTTTTCTTCCAGAATGGTCCTGTATTTGGCTCCATCCATCTTCCCATCAATTTTAGCCATCTTCCCTGTCCCTGCTGAAGAAAAGCAGGCCCAAAGCATGATGCTGCCACCACCATGTTTGACAGTGGGGATGGTGTGTTCAGGGTGATGAGCTGTGTTGCTTTTACGCCAAACATATCGTTTTGCTTTGTGGCCAAAAAGTTCGATTTTGGTTTCATCCGACCAGAGCACCTTCTTCCACATGTTTGGTGTGTCTCCCAGGTGGCTTGTGGCAAACTTTAAACGAGACTTTTTATGGATATCTTTGAGAAATGGCTTTCTTCTTGCCACTCTTCCATAAAGGCCAGATTTGTGCAGTGCACGACTGATTGTTGTCCTATGGACAGACTCTCCCACCTCAGCTGTAGTTATCTGCAGTTCATCCAGAGTGATCATGGGCCTCTTGGCTGCATCTCTGATCAGTCTTCTCCTTGTTTGAGATGAAAGTTTGGAGGGACGGCCGGGTCTTGGTAGATTTGCAGTGGTCTGATACTCCTTCCATTTCAATATAATTGCTTGCACAGTGCTCCTTGAGATGTTTAAAGCTTGGGAAATCTTTTTGTATCCAAATCCGGCTTTAAACTTCTCCACAACAGTATCTCGGACCTGCCTGGTGTGTTCCTTTGTCTTATGGTTCTCTCTGTGCTTTAAACAGAACCCTGAGACTATCAAAGAGCAGGTGCATTTATACAGAGACTTGATTACACACAGGTGCATTCTATTTATCATCATCAGTCATTTAGGACAACATTGGATCATTCAAAGATCCTCACTGAACTTCTGGACTGAGTTTGCTGCACTGAAAGTAAAGGAGCCGAATTATATTGCATGCCCCACTTTTCAGTTTGTTAAAAAAGTTTAAATTGTCCAATAAATGTCGTTCCACTTCACAATTGTGTCCCACTTGTTGTTGATTCATGACAAAAAAATTAAATGTAATATCTTTATGTTTGAAGCCTGAAATGTGGCGAAATGTTGAAAGGTTCAAGGGGGCCGAATTTATAATTATAAGTATATAAGTGCCTTATGCAGTGCCTTATATTCGGCCCCCGAAAGTATTCGGGGGCTGAATACTTGTATATATATATATATATATATATATATATATACATATATATATATATATATATATATATATACACATATTCATCCGAGTCTTTAATATATATATATATATATATTTATATTATATATGATATATATGTGTATTACCTCTCTTGTTGTCCTAGAGGCACTCCTCCCTGGCTTCAGGGCCCTGATGCCGTTCTTGATCCAGCCAATGTACTTGGAGACCTGGGTGTAGACCCCGTACTTGCCCTTGTGGGCGCAGCCCTCTCCCCAAGACACCACCCCAGTGATGTAGTAAGTGTTGCGGTAGGGGGTCACATGGGGTCCCCCCGAGTCCCCCTGGCAGGCGTCACGGCCCCCTCCTTCGTACCCCGCACAAAACATGTGACCTGAGATCCGGAACTGAGTGGACTCTAGGCACCGAGCCCGCTCCACATACGGCATTGCCAACCGCTGAAGGATAGAAGAAGGTCGAGAGAACTCTCCGAGTCTGCCAAAACCAGAGACCAGACCATCGGACTGCTTCATCAGCACCTGATGAGAGGGACCAGGTGAGACATGAGATCAGAGGCCACAGAGCAGAGAGAGACCAGAGAGACCAGAGAGCAGGTTGTGGTCCTGGTACCTTCTCAGCCAGGTCTCTGGTGGGCAGACAGGCTGGGAGGATGTATCTGCTGAAGGTCGTAGGTTTTTTGAGTTGGATCAGAGCGATGTCGTTGTGATACGTGTCCGGGCGATATTTCTGATGAAGCAGAACCTTCTCCACATGCTGCACCTGCTCCTGCCCATGACGCACCTGTGTGTCGAACTCTCCTACACACAACACACACACAACACACACTGAGACACACAACAAACACACACAACACACACCGAGATACACACACAACACACCAGCTCCTGCCCATGATGCACCTGTCGAACTGTCCTGCACACACAACACACACTGAGACACACACTGAGGACACACACTGAGTGCACAGACACCACAGGACCACGTAGATGTGCCAAGATTTGTTGATGAGGGGGCGGAGCTTACCCAGGACCACATAGATGTGCCGTGATTGGTTCATGCAGTGGGCGGCGGTCAGCACGATGGAATCTGTCAGAAGAGTTCCGCCACAGAAACCTCGATGCTCCTCATTCAACAGCAGAGCCTATGAACAACATAGCGTTAGCATCTGCACTGAGCTAACGTTAGCATCTTCACCGAGCTGACGTTAGCATCTTCACCAAGCTGACAATAGCATCTGCACCGAGCTGACGTTAGCATCTTCACCAAGCTGACAATAGCATCTGCATCGAGCTGACGTTAGCATCTGCACCAAGCTGACGTTAGCATCTGCACCGAGCTGACGTTAGCATCTGCACCGAGCTGACGTTAGCATCTGCACCGAGCTAACGTTAGCATCTGCACCAAGCTAACGTTAGGATCTGCATCCAGTCAACATCTCCAGGGAGGAGTAATGCAAATGAGATGTCTCACCTGCCAAGGACACTCTCCAGGGGGGCAGTCCTCTCCATTTACGATCCGAGTCCAAGCTGCGGTCTGAAACGTGACCAGCTTCTCCTGGATCAGGGCCAGGTCCGGGTTCTCTGGTCCCAAGTCCTGAATCCGGTCCAGACCTGAGGTGGGACCCAGGTGGGACTGAGGGTCTGTGGCGTTCTCAGCTGAGTCCAGAGAGGTGTGGTTCAACCAGGTCTGGGTCTGGTTCGGATTTAGGTGCATGTTCTGGTTCAGGTCTTGGTCCAGGTCTTGAACCAGGTCTTGGTACAAATCCAGCTCTTGAACCAGGTCTTGGTCTTTGGTCTGGTTTTGGTTCAGGGTCTGGTTTCGGTCGTACCTGAAGATAGTTCTGGTCTCAGAGGTCACCAGGACTCCACATTTGAACGGCTCTGATGATTAGAGAAGCTTTGTGAGCTCATGCTAAAGGCTAATTTAATAATGCATCGGTTTTATACAGTGCTTTTTTGGACACTCAAAGACGCTTCACATGTGTCATTATTCATTCACTCCATACACGGTGGTGATAAACTACTACTGTAGCCACAGCTGCCCTGGGGCACACTGACAGAAGCGAGGCAACCAGTCTGTGCCATCAGCCCCTCCGAGCACCACCACACCAGACTCATTCTAGGCAATGGGGGTGAAGTGTCTTGCCTAAGGACACAACAGCAGTTTGGCAATTTACAGCCGCAGCCGCCCCACTGTGGCTGGTGTTCCCAGGGGTTAAGCGCTATATAAAACTGATGCATTATTATTATCATTATTATTTCATTTTAATGCATAGCGTACATCGGACTGGCAACTGATTATATCCGTCGCCTATGACTTGCTGCCCCACACACTGGCGAAAACGGGCAACTCTTAGTAGCAGGCCAATCTCGGGAATAACAGCGCGTACATGGACAGCAACAGGCTGTCAACTACAGTGTGTTTTCTGCGCGCAATACGTCGCATGATAACACTCTCAACATGTTGTAGGAGCGCACACATCGGGTGATATCTCCGGATCTGAGGACAACTAGTTGCCGAAAAGTAGAACACGGGCAACTGACTGAATCTGGAGATCGACTGTTTATCTCCAGTTGTAAGAGCGCTCACCTCGACCGATTTCGGCAACTGATCATCTCCATCATCTCCTCTCAGTTGCCAAAAGCCGCCTTGCAACTAGTTGTCTCCAGTTACTCTGTCGATGTACGCTAGGCTTAAAGGATAATGCTAAAGCCTCATGCTAAAGACTAATAATAAAGCTAATTGGGATGGGATAGCCTTCACTGACCGTGGGAGTCACATGTCTGCTGGTCAGGTAGCAGGAAGTACCCGTCTGCGCACGAGCATTTGACGCTTGCACTCTCCACTGCACAGAAGTGATGACAACCGCCATTTTGGTGATCGCACATCTCCGGGGTCACTACACACAGAGAGACACACACACACACAAACAGAGAGAGAGAGAGACACAGACAAACACACAGTTTAAGTGAGCACTTTTCCTCTGAGATAATCCACCCTCTCAGTGTGTGTGTGTGTGTGTGTGTGTGTGTGAGTGTGTGTGTGTGTGTGTGAGTGTGTGTGTCCACTGTCAGTACCGATCTCGCAGACAGATCCTTGGAATCCGTTTTTACAGAAACAGTCGAATCCTCCAACAGTGTCTCTGCAGACGCCATCGTTCAGGCAGGGACTGGACTCACAGGAATCTCCATCTGAAGAGAGACTGGGACTGAGACCAGGACTGAGACCAGGACTGAGACCAGGACTGAGACCAGGACTGAGACCAGGACCGAGACCAGGACCGAGACCAGGACCGAGACCAGGACCGAGACCAGGACCGAGACCAGGACCGAGACCAGGACCGAGACCCGGTGTAGCAGGCCAGTTTAACCCCCCGCCAGAATACACCCGGGGTTATAGTAGCCTAGGCCAGATTACACCCCGGGGTTAAAATAGCCTAGGCCAGAATACACCCCGGGGTATAAACTGGCCTAGGCTATTTTAACCCCCCTTAGGCCAGATTAACCCCCCCTTTCATTTTGTATGATAACAATAAAATACAAGCAATATTTTTTTTATTTCTTTATTTCTTACTAAATACATTTAGGAAAAGATATGGTGGTGATATTCTGTATAAAACTATAACAATGATAAAATTAAAACAATGATAAAACTAAAGCAATGATAAAACTATAACACTCCTAATACTCCCGTACTGTACTTTGCAGTAACCTTACTACACCATACAGTCTCATCACTCGACACCAATCACAGCACTAAAGTGCTCGGACTTGTTCTCAAGGTAAATGGCAGATTCTGATGTCTCCTGTAGATTGAAAGATGCTGGATATGTCAGCCACTGCATACTTCCCCATGCTTTGTACACACTATTACATCATTGCCTATGAGGGAAGCTGTGGCCATTATTTCTGCATCTGTGCCCACACACCACACTTATCCATAGCAGTAGATGTCATGTAGTCATTTATTGACTGATTGAGGTAACAGGAAAGTTTGTCTTTAATGCTGATGTTCATATGTTGAACCACACTATCACGGAGAGAGGTGGTATTCCTCAGATCCTGTGAATATATAACTCCATCCATCCATCCATTTTCTTCCCCTTAATCCATTTCTGGGTCGGGGGGGTGACAGTCAGAGCTGCACCCAGTCACAGGGCACCAGCCCCTCACTGATTCTCCTGCAGGTGGTGAGTCCACAGGAGCTGAGATCTTTCAGAGGGGTCTTCAGGCAAAGTGGGGTTAAGTGTCTTGCCCAAGGACACAACGTATCTACAAACTTCATGTGAGATGTTTGTAGATACATTGACTCATCACCTCACAACACGATTGTGTTCTACAAAAGTTCTCGACTCTGTCATCATCGGACTCAGCTCCAATGACGCAGAGTACAGAGGAGTTATACAGGACTTTGTGGACTGGTGTCAGCGGAACAACCTCCTCATCAACGCGGGGAAGACCAAGGAGATGGTGGTGGATTTCCGCAGACGTCACTCTGCTGCTCCAGCTCCAGTGAACATCCAGGGAAGGGACATTAAGAGAGTGGACTCTTACAAGTACCTGGGTGTTCATCTGAACCACAACCTGGACTGGACTCATAACACAGACGCCCTCTTCAAGAAGGGCCAGAGTCGACTACCTGTTGAGGAGGCTCAGGTCTTTTGGAGTGCAGGGGCCACTCTTGAAGACCTTCTATGACTCTGTGGTGGCATCAGCCATCTTGTACGGTGTGGTCTGCTGGAACAGCAGCATCACAGAGAGGGAAGAAGCTGGAACATCAGGAAGTCCAGCTCAGTCCTGGGCTGTTCCTTGGACACAGTGCAGCAGGTGGGGGACAGGAGGGTCCTGAGCAAACTAACATCTATGTGGACCATGACTGTCGCCCCCTGCAGGACACTCTCTCTGCTCTGGAGAGCAGCTTCAATGACAGACTAATTCACCATCGATGTGTGAAGGAGAGGTTCCGCAGGTCTTTCCTTCCTGCTGCGGTCAAACTGTACAACAAACAATAAGGACCAATAAGGACTAATGAACACTGCAAACTTGATTCCAGTGTCATTCTCGCATCGTTGCAATATCCTTACCTTATACCAGAATGTGCAATACACAGCCGCCAATATACAGTTGTAAACATACTGCTAATGTACAGATGCTAACATATAACTACACTTTACTTGCTTTACTAGATTACACAGGACTTTATACTTGCCTCTTATTGTGTCAATTTTAAATTTTTACATCTATTATATTTTCAAGATAGAGATTTTATACTTATTATTGATGCTAGAGTAAGATTATTTTTATTTTGTTTAGTATAGCTATTTTTCACTTAACGTGTGTCGTGTGCTCCTCTTTCCTATTGTCCTATAACTTGTGACGCAACACCGAAATTTCCCCACAGTGGGACAAATAAAGGATCTCTCAATCTTAATCTTAATCAAACAAAGTATGAAAAGCAATCACACTAATTAGGGCTATAGAGTAATTAACAAACTACTTCTAAATGATTTTAAATAATTTTGAAGTTTAGAAAAAATATTTAATAAGGGCGACAGTAGCTCAGTTGGTAGAGCATTGGCCTTCAGGCCTGAAGGTCGTGGGTTAATTTCCCACCTCTACACCTTCTCCACCGACTCCCACTGATGACTGCTGTCGTTGTGTCCTTGGGCAAGACACTTAACCCCACTTTGCCCAAAGCCCCCACTGAAAGATCAAGGCTATGCTCACACTCAGAGAGCAGCCGTCCTCCTGTGGACTCACCACCTGCAGAGGGTCAGTGAGGGGCTGGTGCTATGAGACTTGGGTGGCATCTCTGACTGCCACCCCCCTGACCCAGAAATGGATTAAAGGGTAGAAAATGGATGGATGGATGGATGGATGGATGGATATTTTATCATTATTAGATAAAACAAGAGGGGGGTTAATCTGGCCTAAGGGGGGTTAAAATAGCCTAGGCCAGAATAAACCCCGGGGTGTATTCTGGCCTAGGCTATTTTAACCCCAGGGTGTAAACCGGCCAGGGGGTTTAAAACGGCCTGTTACACCGGACTGCGACCAGGACCTGGACTAAGACCCGGACTGAGACCAGGATTGAGACCAAGGCTGAGACCAAGGCTGAGACCAACGCTGAGACCAAGGCTGAGACCAAGGCTGAGACCAAGGCTGAGACCAAGGCTGAAACCAGGACTGAGACCAGGACCAGGTTCAAGACCAGGATTCAAATAAACAAAGCAGTCTTACCCACATACTTGGCCCAGAACAGGTCCTGAAACACAGAGTTTGATCAGAGTTTTTCCCATTCTTCTTTAATAAACAACTCAGTTGAGAGTGCGACATGTACAGATTCCCTCAGATGAGCTTTGTGTGCGCAGCTCCTCCAGAGTAACCATGGGTCTCTTGTCTGAATCTGTGATCGAGTCTCTCCTTGTTCGTGTGTGTTGGTAACTTTGCAGTGGTCCAGACTTTCTCCTTCACTTCACAGTCGTCTGATACACTTGATCTGAACAAGTCTTCCTCTACGCTCGATGTGTTCATCTACGCTCTATGGTAACCCGCTAGCTCAGTGAAGCCTAAAGCTCACCGCACACCGAAACGCAGCGCCTCGCGGCGCGTCATTTGACGCGCGTTCATGACATGTGTCAAATTACACCGGAACGCCTTGGCTAGCGTCCTTTTCCAGCTGATCGCAGATGAAATGGGTGAGTGACGTTTGGAAGTTTCTACTAATATTTTGGGGGAGGAAACAAAGTATTTACGTGAAATTATGCAAGTGTGTAAATTTGAGACCGCGCTCACAGCTACGTGATAAGAAGCGCAGAAGAAGAAAACTACGGGTGCTTGGAGGGACAGTTTCAGCCGCGGCGCCGCGTCTGGATTCAACAAAACTGAATCGTGGCGCCCGGTCCAGCGTCGCCGCGCGTCACTGCAACCTTGGTGTGCGTTCTCTCATAGAAAATAAAGGAGGCGGCTCTTTTGCCGCGCGTCAAGGCGTTTCGGTGTGCGTTGGGCTTAACAGGGGAGTGCACATAGTGAAGTTTGGCTCCTCTCTCTGGCTACTATTGATTTCCATATAAAAGTAAACACATATAGCTCAGTAATCGTTTGTGTCACACTCACTGGTAGTAGTAGTAGTAGTAGTAGTCACTAGTAGTAGTTGTATTACTACTCACAGTCTTGGTCTTGTCCTCGAACACCTCCCTGGCCTCCTCATAGTCACAGATCTCCTCCACACACTCTCTCTCCAGGTTCCCCTTCTTCAGCTCCTCCAGGAACCCGCTGTTGGCCCGTCTGGACCGGAGAAGGACGGAGGCCTTCTGCTGGGAGACAAAAACCGGACCAGGACCCAGACCTGGGACAAGGAAGAGAATAGTCAGAGCCAGAGTTTTAGTTACGATCATGACTGCACAACGGTTTTACTAAACATCGCATTAGCATTGGCCATTAGCCTTAGTATTAGCATTGACCATTAGCCTTAGCTTTAGCAGTGATCTTATTTATGTAATGTACAGTAAGTACCTTTCCAAAGAGAGATTGTTTCACTTTGTGGTGTAGTGCAGCTGTATAATCTTTCCTGGTAACTATGGTAAGATATTAGAGATTCTAGAGACACCAGAGAGACACCAGAGAGAGACCAGAGAGAGACCAGAGAGACACCAGAGAGACACCAGAGAGAGACCAGAGAGACACCAGAGAGAGACCAGAGAGAGACCAGAGAGAGACCAGAGAGACACCAGAGAGACACCAGAGAGACACCAGAGAGACACCAGAGAGACACCAGAGAGAGACCAGAGAGACACCAGAGAGAGACCAGAGAGAGACCAGAGAGAGACCAGAGAGAGACCAGAGAGACACCAGAGAGACACCAGAGAGACACCAGAGAGACACCAGAGAGAGACACCAGAGAGAGACCAGAGAGAGACCAGAGAGAGACCAGAGAGAGACCAGAGAGACACCAGAGAGAGACCAGAGAGACACCAGAGAGACACCAGAGAGAGACCAGAGAGAGACTAGAGAGAGACCAGAGAGACACCAGAGAGACACCAGAGAGAGACCAGAGAGAGACCAGAGAGAGACCAGAGAGACAAGAAAGAGACCAGAGAGAGACCAGAGAGACACCAGAGAGAGAACAGAGAGAGAACAGAGAGAGACCAGAGAGACACCAGAGAGACACCAGAGAGAGACTAGAGAGAAACCAGAGAGACACCAGAGAGACACCAGAGAGACAAGAAAGAGACCAGAGAGAGACCAGAGAGACCAGAGAGACACCAGAGAGACTAGAGAGAAACCAGAGAGAGAGAGACCAGAGAGAGAGAGACCAGAGAGAGAGACCAAAGAGCGACTAGAAGGCGACCAGAGAGACACCAGAGAGAGAGACCTGTGAGAGACTAGAGAGAGACCATAAGAACACTATGACCATGTGAATCTAATCAGTATAAAATATTTATCTGTAAACAGCACATTCTCTTTCAGTTTTGTCTGAAATTGATTTCAACACAAACAAAGTCGATACCACTGAGAGTCTGGATTCAGACCAAAAAGAGGTCTGGACCAGGGCCGACCCCGGACCAAACCAGGACCGGATTAGGACCGAACCAGGACCGAACCAAGACTTACCTTGAGTCCACAGTGGGTTAAGCAGCAGCAGAAGTCCGTAGATCCACAACATAACTGACTCTTTTTTTAATCTCCTAGCTCCTATTTCCTACACTCTATCTCCTTCCTCCCATTTTCCTAGACTCTATCTCCTAGCTCCTATTTCCTACACTCTATCTCTTAGGTCCTATTTCCTACACTCTATCTCCTAGCTCTTATGTTCTACACCCTCCCTTCATCCTTCTCTCTCTAATCTGGCTCCTAGCTCCTGGTTCCTAGGTCATTGTCCCTGTGTCCTCTGCCCCACATCAGCTGTTTGTCCTTCTGTATCTGATCAGATTAAACTCCAAAGTCAAACGTTGATCTGTTTCTTTAAAAACAAAGGCTTGCTATTGGTGACAGGGAACGTCTTTAGTAAGTCGAAAAACATTCTGTAGTTTCTCTTTTCAAATGTACCCATGGCAACCACCTGGAAACCGCAGAGCCAATCAGGAGCTGCTGAGACTGAATTTGGCAACAGAAGGCTCCTGATTGGTCAGTCTTTAAAAGGCTCATATCTGGATTCACAATATCACATTGTAAACACCAGGATCACAAAGATAAACCACGGGTTTAAGCCCAAAATGGTGAGTGTGACACAAACGGTGAGAGGAGTTTACTTTAGCATGGACGTCAAAAGGAGCCAGAGAGAGTTGGAGAAAAGCTTCACCCATGAGCACTTCCGTAACAGGCTTCAGTGAGCTAACAGATTAGCATTGTGCTAGTGGGTAGCATTGAGTTAGCACATTAGCCTTGTCAATCCATATACAGTGTTGCCCCTGACCTAAAGCTCTGCCTCTTTGAACAAAATCATTCAACATTATTGGTTGACAATATTTGGTTTATTGAAGATAGATAGAAAATTATGCAAAAATAGATTTAGATTTTTTTATATCTAGAAAGAAATCTGGTATTTCATAAAAACATGGGTATTTATGTTAAAGTTCCTGTCAATGGTTGCTATTTGTTGTCGTGATGCTTTGGTCCGTCACTGGGGACTGGCTGCCGTGGTGATGGTGTTGTGTATCCATTGGCTGAAGTGTCCCACGTTGGTATAAACGCCATAGAACCCCGGCTCGGCGCAGCCCCGTCCCCACGCGGCCACGCCCAATAAGAAGTGGGTGGAGCCAAACTCTGTGACCAATGGGCTGCCATCGTCACCACGGCAACTGTCCTGGCGACCACTCATGTAACCCGCACAGATCATGTGATCGGTGAGGTTCAAGCCGGACTTCTGCTCACACAGGGGGCGCTGTGGAGTAAACAGCACACAGTTCATCTAAGGCAATATATCTGTTCATCCGAGCCAAAAAGCATGTTCATGTGAGCCAAAATGTCCTTGTCACTAACAGTTTTTAGAGTTTTGTAGCATGTGTCGGCAGGGCCTGTGTGGTCTGAGCAGTGCCTGCAGTACCTGTATGATTGGCACCTCCATCTTCCTCAGCTGGGTTCCTCCTGGTGCATTGTGGGAGTCGTAGTCATTCCCTCCTCTGGTTCTTTGGCCCCAGCCGGAGACTGTATGGTACCGGGTCTGGAGCAGCTCCCGCTCCATCAGGTCCAAGTCCGGGACACAGACTGGGACCACGTCTGGACCCAGGACCATGGCCTGCTCTAACTGGACAAGAGCCAAGTCCCTGTGTCCTGAGACCCAGCTGTAGTCTGGAGCCAAGACCACAAACCGAACTGAGACTCGCTGGACCGAATTAGAGGACTGGAGGTCCAGGAGACCTGAGAGAGACCGGATTATAGATGAAAACAGGACCAGAGAGAAACCAGCAAGAGACCAGAGAGAGACCAGAGAGAGACCAGAGAGAGACCAGAGAGAGACCAGAGAGAGACCAGAGAGAGACCAGAGAGAGACCAGAGAGAGACCAGAGAGAGACCAGAGAGAGACCAGAGAGAGACAAGAGAGAGAACAGAGAGAGACTAGAAACACTGGATAATGTTAAAACAGGACCAGAAGACACAGAGTACATTGAGCATTAGCCTTCGCTTTATCATTAGCTTTAGTCTCGTACCTGCTGCCACAGTCAGGTTCTGGGCTCTCAGCTCAAACACACAGTGAGCGGCAGTCAGGACCCAGTCCGGTCTGATCAGGACCCCCCCACAGTGAGGGGCGTGGTCCAACTCCAGCAGCACCTGTCAATCAAAATCACAGCTTCAAAGACTGTAGTTGTACATATGCAAATGAGACACCTCACCTGCCAGGGACACGCCCCTCGGGGACAGGTGTTGGCCCCCACCAGTCTGGTCTGAGACCCAAGAGTCTGGTTCTGATCTGGGACCAATTGTCCACACGGGAACTGGACTGAGAGAAACCGGGTCAAATAAAGAGCAGTCCTGGTCTCGAGAGTCATGGTCATGGTCTTAGTTCTGGTCCTGGTCTCAGTCCTGGTCTCAGTCCTTGTCTTGGTCCTGGTCCAGGTACCTGTGGCCACACAACTCCTATGGTCCTCTCCCAGCTGGTACCCCTCAGAGCAGGAACAGACACGTTTGGCTCTGGAGCCGTCACAGAAGTGTTCACAGCGGCCATTTTGGAACAGGCACTTCAAAGACTCCTCAAAGACTAGAAACATAACATAACAACATATGTAACATATGTTAGTTACATATGTTACATATGTAACATATGCAGTAGCAGTAGTAGAAGTAGTGGCAGCAGAAGTACTTGTTTGGCACTGGCGTCCCTCGTAGCCCTCAGGACAAACACAGGAGTAGCTCGCCCCCTGGAGGACACAGGTGCCATTGTTCTGACAAGGGCTGATGGTACAAGGGTCTGCACCTGTAACAGAGGGTTCGATATCACCTCCACACACCAGGATACTGCCCCCACTCCTCCTGCTCCTCTGTTTCTCTGAGATGTTTCTTGCCATGCCTCCTAGGCCTGAACTAAAACTGTACCTGTGCTCCTCCTGTTTCTCACAGTTATCCTCACTGCTGTACCTGTGCTCCTCCAGTTCCTCACAGTAATCCTCAAGCTTTACTTGAAAGCTTACATCTCTGTGGGGAACCGTGACGTGGAACAGTGAGATTCAGGTGACAGATACATATATACAGATACAGTATACATATTTACAGTATACATACAGTATATACATATATACATACTGTACATACATACATATATACAGTATACATATATGGCGCATTCCACAATGCATTTCTTTTGAAAGGCATCCATTTTTATATCTATATATATATAGATATAAAAATGTCACCTCACCTTTGGCCCTCCGCGGGCGGTTATCCCTCTCTAAGCTCGGGTCCTCTACCAGAGGCCTGGGAGCTTGAGGGTTCTGCGCAGAATCTTTGCTGTTCTTGCTCTGCACATTTCTGGACCGAGATTTCCGAGGTTGTTCCGGGGATCCGCTGTAACCACTCTTCTAGCTTCGGGGTCACTGCCCCGAGTGCACCGATCACCACGGGCACTACTGTCACCTTTACCCTCCAGGCCCTCTCCAGCTCCTCTCTGAGACCTTAGTACTTTTCTTGTTCTTTTTTCCTGATGTTACCATCGCTTGGAATTGCCACGTCCACCACCACGGCTTTCCTCTGCCCTTTGTCCACCATCACGATGTCAGGTTGGTTCGCCATTACCATCGGTATCGGTCGGTCTGTATCTGGAAGTCCCACAAGATCTTCGCACGTTCACTCTCCACCACCTTTGGAGGAGTTTCCCTAAATATATACATTTATACCAAGGGCTCAGAGAGGAGCTGGAGGGTAAAGGTGACCGTAGTGATTGGTGCACTCGGGGGCAGTGACCCCGAAACTGGAGGAGGTTATAGCGGATCCCTGGAACAACCTCGGAAATTTTGGTCCAGCAAAGATACTGTGAAGAACCCTCAAGCACGACACACCAACCTGTGCACAGTCTGGATTGATTACCAGAAAGCCTACGAGTCAATGCCACACACATGGATCATGGAATGCTTGAAGTTGTACAATATCAACAGGGCTCTAAGGGACTTTGTTGAAAACTCGATGGGAATGTGGAAGACCACCCTTGAGGCAAATGGCAAGCCGCTCGCACAAGTGACCATCAAATTTGGTATCTACCAAGGAGATGCTCTGTCCCCACTACTGTTCTGCATAGGCCTGAACCCTCTAAGCCAAATAATTGACCAGACTGGTTATGGATACCGCCTCAGGAACGGAGCAGAGATCAGTCACCTCCTCTACATGGATGACATCAAGCTGTACGCCAAGAGCGAGAGAGACATCGACTCTCTGATCCAAACAACCAGGATCTACAGCCATGACATCGGGATGTCATTCGGACTCGAGAAATGTAGCAGGATGGTGACTCGGAGTGGCAAGGTAGTCCACACAGAAGGGATCTCACTCCCAGAGGGAACAATAGCAGAAGTTGAGGCCAGCTACAAGTATCTCGGTATACCACAGGCAAATGGCAACCTCGAACAGGCAACGAGGAAAGCGGCAACTGCCAAATACCTCCAGCGAGTAAGGCAGGTCCTAAGAAGCCGGCTCACTGGCAAGAACAAGGCCCGGGCAATTAACAGCTACGCCCTGCCAGTGATCAGATACCCTGCAGGAATAATCAGGTGGCCAAAGGAAGAGATTCAGACCACGGATGTTAAAACTCGAAAGCTCCTTACCATGCATGGCGGGTTCCATCCCAAATCCCGCACCCTGAGACTGTACGTAAGCCGTAAAGAAGGCCGAGGACTAGTGAGTGTGAGAGCCGCTGTCCAGGACGAAACATCCAAACTCCATAACTACATCATGGAGAAGGCCAAAACGGATGACGTACTCAGTGAATGTCTCAGGCAGTGGCGAGATGAGGAGGTGCTGGAGGAGAGCCCATCATGGGAGGACGAGCCCCTACACGGCATGTACAGTACCACCGGAGCATAACAGAAGTGGCTGATCTCAAGATGTCCTTCCAATGGCTAGAAAGGGCTGGCCTACAGGACAGCACAGAGGCACTCATCATGGCTGCACAGGAACAGGCACTGAGCACCAGAGCGATAGAGGCCCAGATATACCACACCAGACAAGACCCAAGGTGTCGGTTGTCCAAAGAGGCACCTGAGACGATCCAACACATAACTGCAGGGTGCAAGATGCTGGCAGGGAAGGCCTACATGGAACGCACATCTGTGCAGAGTATGGGCTGGAAACTCCAAGGTCTAAGTGGGAAACTCTTCCAAAGGTGGTGGAGAATGTAAATCTCCATTTACCATGTAAATCTTGTGAGATTTCATCTTCTGCTTTTTCAGACTGAGGACATTTTATTTTCTATGTAACTGGCGTCACAGTAGAATGGTCCAATCAGAGGCTAATTTGGTCGTTTAAAATGTTGCTAAACATTTTTATGTCAATCTTTCCTTTTGATTTTTTCCACACTATCTCTTCAATCTGTCTGTGTTTGAAATCTTTTTTCCAATCTATGAAAGTAATTTTAGTTTTTAAGTTATAACCTTTTAAAGTCCAGATACTTCAATTGTCACTTTACTGTGAACACACTCACCTACTAAAGTGGCTGGTGAACGTATACAGTATACAGTATACATTGTGTGGCGGTCAGGCCTCACTGAAGTGTTCAAATATACACATGTAAAGGCCGCCTACATTTATGCACAGGCTTAATTTGGTTTAAATAATTCTTGTACTTTCTGTAAATGACATAAACGTCACAGTGTCCTGTTTGATGTATTTGTCATAAACACTGTGGTGTGGTGCCCCCTGCAGGTGAGAGCCTGCTCAGAAGCTGAGCAGGGCAGGGCCTAGGTAGTGCTGTGATGGGAGACCTGTGATCAGCGCCCACTGTCCTCCTGATCAGAGACTGGTCCAGAGTGAGCTGTTTTCTGACCCCTGGGGGACCCTCCCCCCATGACCCCTCTGTATCGGAGCCTGTAATTGGTCGGTGAGGGGGCGGGAGATAAAGAGAATCAGATGTGTTTACTCACGGTTATAGGTCTTCCAGAACTCCCTCTGAAACATAAACAGACCTGGTTTTGTCCTGCTTTAGTCCTGCTTTAGTCCTGCTTTAGTCCTGCTTTAGTCCTGCTTTAGTCCTGCTTTAGTCCTGCTTTAGTCCTGCTTTAGTCCTGCTTTAGTCCTGCTTTAGTCCTGCTTCAGTCCTGCTTTAGACCTGCTTTAGTCCAGCTTTAGCCGTGCTATTGGATGGATATTTTATAACACTTTGAAGAAACTGTGGTTAAATCTGAATTCATCATTGTAACACATGCTGTAGGTCTGGTACTTTTCCACTTGTTTTGGTTAATCTAAAGACCGAAGCCACTGGCCTCGTGGCAAATGCTGATTGGTCAATGCTATACTATCACATGCACTCTGTGAAACTTTGCCCGTGCCTTGTCTTTACCATCAACAATAAAACATGTCTTCTCTCTGTCTGACACGATATCGGACGTTAGTCTCACTGCTTCAGACCTGCTTTAGTCCTGCTTCAGACCTGCTTTAGACCTGCTTTAGACCTGCTTTAGTCCTGCTTTAGACCTGCTTTAGTCCTGCTTTAGACCTGCTTTAGTCCTGCTTTAGACCTGCTTTAGTCCTGCTTTAGACCTGCTTTAGACCAGCTTTAGTCTTGCTTTAGACTTGCTTTAGTCCTGCTTTAGACCTGCTTTAGACCTGCTTTAGTCTTGCTTTAGAATTGCTTTAGACCTGCTTTAGACCTGCTTTAGACTTGCTTTAGTCCTGCTTTAGACCTGCTTTAGACCTGCTTTAGACCTGCTTTAGACCAGCTTTAGTCTTGCTTTAGACTTGCTTTAGTCCTGCTTTAGACCTGCTTTAGACCTGCTTTAGTCTTGCTTTAGAATTGCTTTAGACCTGCTTTAGACCTGCTTTAGACTTGCTTTAGTCTTGCTTTAGACCTGCTTTAGACCTGCTTTAGACCTGTTTTAGTCCTGCTTTAGACCTGCTTTAGTCTTGCTTTAGACTTGCTTTAGACTTGCTTTAGACCTGCTTTAGACTTGCTTTAGACTTGCTTTAGACCTGCTTTAGTCTTGCTTTAGACCTGCAGTAGTCCTGGCTCTAAGCTTGTATTCATGTATCTGTCGTGTGGTCTCTTTGTGGTCTCTTTTGGGTCTCTCCATGGTCTGTGGTTTCTGTTGTGTCTCTATGGTCTCTCTGTGGTCTCAGGTCTCGTTGTCTCTGTGGTCTCTCTGTGGTGGTCTCTCTGTGGTCTCAGCAGTACTCACAGTCTTGGTGTCGTCCTCGAACACCTCCCTGGCCTCCTCATAGTCACAGATCTCCTCCACACATTCTCTCTCCAGGTTCCCCTGCTTCAGCTCCTCCAGGAACCCACTGTTGGCTCGTCTGGACCGGAGAAGGACCGAGGCCTCAGCAGGGTCCAGGAACACTGCAGACAAGAACCCTGGCAGTCACTATTTGACTCTTTGGACTGAGAGCTGATTGGCTCTCACTTTTTCTGTCTGAAAAGGCTACTCTAATGTGACAGAGATACATGAGAATCAGAACCAGGACCTTAGAGCTAGGAACTAGTGAAGTCTGAAAGTTAATTACCCCAGCTTTAACAAACTCCTGCTTTAGACCTACTTTAGACCTGCTTCAGAACTGCTCAGACCTTCTTTAGACCCACTTTATACCTGCTTTAGACCTGGTTCAGTCCTGCTTTAGACCCACTTTATACCTGCCTTAGTTGAAAGCACTGACCTGCGGCGTTGCAGATGGACCCCAGAGAGACCAGGACGAAGACCAGGACTAGACCCGGTCTCAGACCCTGCAGCAGTCGGACCTTCTCTGCAGGACTCATGTTTATGATCTGACGTCTAAACTGAGACTAGTCCAGAACCAGAGTGGCCTCAGCCAATCAGGAGGCAGCATCAGGGACCAATCAGGAGGCAGCATCAGGGTTGACTGATTCTGTCTGTGTGTGTCTGTGTGTCTGCAAGTGGGTGTGTATGTATGTGTGTGTCTGTGTGTGTCAGAGCGTGAATGTGTGTGTGAGTCAGTGTGTCTGTGTCTGTGTGTGTGTGTGTCTGCAAGTGGGTGTGTATGTATATATGTGAGAAACATAGTGTATACATAAAATAATAAATACAATCAGAAGTCACATTATTTTAATACAAACAGAAACATGAAAAAACGTCAGTCTAGTCCTGGTCCACTCCTGGTCTGAGCCCTGGTCTCATTGTGAGAGAGGTCCTGGTCTAGTCCTAGTCCAGTCTGGTTAAAGACCTGATTTTCTGTGTGATCAGTCTGGTCCTGTGCAGATGTGGTCTGGTTCTGGTCTTGCTTTTGGTCCTGGGAGTCTGGTCTCAGTCCAGTCTTGGTCCAGATCCAGTCCAGGTAGTTTTGGACCCGGGTGTAGACCCCGTACTGGCCGGGTCTGGCACAGCCCTTCCCCCACGACACGATGCCGGTCAGGAACCAGGTCCCTGAGGTCTGAGTGACCAGGGGCCCCCCAGAGTCCCCCTTACAGGAGTCCTGGCCCCCGCCCGCCCAGCCAGCACACAGCATGTTCCCACTGAGACTGAGGCCGGACTGGATCTGGCACAGCTCCGACCGGACCAGAGGAACCTGAGACCAGAGGAAAGACCAAGGTGAGACAAGAGGGAGACCAGAGGGAGACTAGGGTAAGACCCGAGGGAGACTAGAGGGAAACCAGAGGGACCTGAGACCAGAGGGAAGGCCAGGGTGAGACCAGAGGGAGAGACCAGAGGGAGAGAACAGTAGGACCTGAGACCATAGGGAAGACCAGGGTCAGACCTGAGGGAGACCAGAGGGACCTGAGACCAGAGGGAAGACCAGGGTCAGACCTGAGGGAGACCAGAGGGACCTGAGACCAGTGGGAATACCAGGGTCAGACCTGAGGGAGACCAGAAAGAGACAGACCAGAGAGACCATAGAGAGACCAGAGGGAAGAACAAAGAGGCCAGAGAGGGAGACTAGCGCGAGAGACAAGAGACTCTTTGAACTCACCGTGAGCCTCTTGAGGATGCTGGAGGCGGGGCCTGCCTCGTGGACACGCCCCCAGCCGCTCACCACGTGCGCGCTCTTGGCATACACCTGCGTGTGCACGTGTGCACGCGTGGGGAGACACGCAGGGACGGCATGTGACGTCACAGAGAGTGGCGGGGTCACGCGCAGCAGAGCAATATCGTTATCCACGGTGAGAGGGTCATAGTGGGCGTGTACGTGCACCTCTGCCACGCTCACAACCTGCTCTGACCCCTCCCACTCCTGCACATCGTGCTCTCCTGGTAACACAGGAAGGAGGAATGGGCCAGATTTCTCACACTAGTGTCAAACATATACACCTAAAGAACAGTCTTGTTTTCTGTGTTTACAACCATGACAGTTACCACTATGACTACAGTTCTATGAATCCAAGTCAGAGGCGGAGCCTAATCCCGGTCACATGACCTCCAACTCTGGAAGCACAGTCCCCAGAACCTTTCTAACATGAGGATCCAGAGAGAAGACCCATCCAGGACTCATAGAACCGTAGTAATAGTCGTAACTTCCATTCTATATAGTCTTTCCTGACGCCAGAGCCGGAGCTTAAACATCAGCGAGGAACTAATCAGAGGACGTCCATGATAGGACCATGTGTCAGAGGACGTCCATGATAGGACCATGTGGCAGAGGACGTCCATGATAGGACCAGGTGTCAGAGGACGTCCATGATAGGACCATGTGTCAGAGGACGTCCATGATAGGACCATGTGTCAGAGGACGTCCATGATAGGACCAGGTGTCAGAGGACGACAATGATAGGACCAGGTGTCAGAGGACGTCCATGATAGGACCAGGTGTCAGAGGACGTCCATGATAGGACCAGGTGTCAGAGGACGACCATGATGGACCTGAGGTTTTGTCTGGAACAAGAAAATAACCTGGATCCAGCCTTCAGCAGGGGGTGCCAGCACAGTCTCCTGAACAACACCTGTGTCCTGGGGGACCTGCAAATGGTCCTCCTCACATGGTCCTCAGAGACAGAAGAACACTGTCCATCGTCCTGCTGCATCAACGACTCATCACAAACAGAAGCTCAGACCAAGAGCAGGAGGTCAGAGGTCAGAGGGAGCAGAGACAGCAGCAGTAACCCACAGAACAGAAACCACCGAGCACAAACAAATCACTCGGAACTCAGTGTCTGCAGCTCTGGACTGTTGATGCTGGGAACAGCGACTCAGGTCGACACAACACATGTGAGTGTGGTACCTGCCACAGCCTCCAGGTGGCGCCGATCTGTGTCCTCCAAACAGTGAGCCGCCGTCAGGACCCAGTCTGGACTCAGGAACACTGCCCCACAGAAAGGCCGGCCCTGGGACCGGAGCAGGACCTGGACCAGAGGAAGACCAGGTCAGGACCAGGCCTGAACCAGAGTAGACGATACTCTGTTAAACTCACTGTCCAGGGACACTCCCCCCTTGGGCACTCATCTCCGCCCACAATCCGGCCTCTAGGGTCCAGACCAGGACCAGGACCGGTCCGATTCTGCAGCACTGGGACCGTCCCACAGCCGATGGGTCCTACACTGGTGCAAGAGGTCTGGTCCTGGTCCAGCTGGTACCCAAGGGCACAGCTGCAGCGAGACCCTGCCCCCACAGGAAGCCCCGCCTCCTCACAGAAGTGTGCACATCCCCCATTGTCCACCAGGCAGCGCCGGCGAGCCGCTTGATCGTCTGCAAGTCAGAAACAGTCACAAAAATATGATGCATGGGACCTCCCTCAAAGGCCCCTCTCCCACAGAGTCCCCTCCCCCACAGAGGCCCCTCCCCCACAGAGGCCCCTCCCTCTCAGAGGCCCCTCCCCCACAGAGTCCCCTCCCCCACCGAGTCCCCTCCCACTCAGAGGCCCCTCCCACATTGAAAACTCGCCTCTCTCTGATGTACTATGTGAATAACCTTGCTCACCCAGCTGGCAGGTGTGACCTGAGGACCCAGGGGGGCAGAGGCATGTGAAGCTCGATCCCTGGTCCGGTGTCTGGTCTGGTCCCAGGTCCACACAGGTTCCTCCGTTCAGACAGGGCCCAGAGGAGCAGTGGTCCTGGACTACAGAGCACTACGTTAACCACAATGCACCAGCACCGAGCATGCTCAATGTGACTCACCTCGGTACGTCTTCCAGAACTCATTCTGAAACAACAACAAAGGGTTGTTGTGTCTGTGTTTACAACACATAAACACAGACACAACAACAACAACAACAAACACCAAATCTTACAGTGATCTCGGTGTGCTCGAACACCTCCCTGGCCTCCTCGTAGCTGCAGATCTCCTCCACACACTCTCTCCTCAGGTCTCCTCTCTGAAGCTCCTCAAACCAGCCAGAGTTATGTCTACGAGACCGGACCAGACTGGGACCGGGACCAGAACTGAGACCAGGACCAGAACCGAGACCAGACCTCAGCACCTTGTGAGCCCGCTCCTCATCCAGAAACACTGAGACCAGCAGAAAAACAAGTCTAATCCAGGTCTGAACCAGGTCTGAACCAAGGTCAAGTGTATTCATATAGAACATTGACTGTCACAAAGTGCTTTCCAAACATTACAAAATACAACACACAAATTAAAGACGGTTTTCTAAAATGAACTATTTGAGTTTTTTCACAATTAATACTGTAGTTAATCTCCATTTGGAACACCACACATTCATAATATCCAAAATTTTTTGCAGTTTTGTTTCTTCTTCTGCTATCAAAACAATATCATCAGCATATAATAAAATGCTGAGGTCAAAGTCATCAATAGCAATTCCTAAATTTGCTCTCTTTACCTCCTGCGCCAAATCATTAACATAAATAGCAAATAATGTTGGAGAGAGAACGTCTCCTTGTTTCACACCAAAGGGAGTGGGAAACCAACCAGTCCTCAGATCGTTCACTTGGTGCCTTGTACAGGGCTTTAATAGATTCATAGAAATCCCCATTAATACCACACTTAAGTAACTTAAATTCCAACAGATCTCGATTTATCCAGTCAAAGGCTTTTTTTAAATCAACAAAACACACAAAGGTATCCTTGCCTTCTTGAAGTCTAGCTCTCACTACCGAGGATAGAGCATAAATGTGGTCAATACATGCTCGTTTCTTCCTGAATCCATTCTGCTCATCCACCAATATTTCATTCACTTCTATAAATTCACAGAGCCGGTTATTCAGGATGGCAGAAAACACCTTATAAACTGTACTTCATAAACTTATGCCTCTATAGTTCAAAGGGACTCTGGGGTCAGCTTGATATGATTTTGGAATAGGCTTGATGATAGATTTATACCAGATTGATGGTATAACCCCATTTTGAAAACAATATTTAAATAGACAATGCAAAACACTTAACAACTTTGGGCTTTTGAGCACCTCGTTGGACAGATCATCCACACCCACCACTGCCTTGTGTGGTTTAGTTTTTTCAATAGCTATCCGCACCTCATCCAGTGTAATCACTCTATTCAAGAGGTCATTAAAACAGGACAAGGGTGCATTCACAGATTTGTTCTCGAGCAAAAGCTTGGCACTACAGACATCAGTTAGGAATACATCATCAAACTGGTGGGAGGTGTTAAAAGCAAATAGACAGCGATAATCCAACTCCCACCTGTTCAGTACCTGATCTGTCTGAAAAACAGATTCCCCACTTATTGTCACTATTTCAAAAGGAATTGTCTGTTTTCTTTTTGGCCCAAATTTGTTTATTTCTCTCCAGAAATGTTGAGCATTACTTTGTTTCAAATGGTCCAACTGTAGGGCTTTGCCTCTCTTATAACGTCTCTTGTAGAATCTGAGTTTCTTATCAAAGTTAGATTGATTTTTTCTAAAATCATCATACAGCTCTTTTTTTAGAATGTGGTCTTTGCATTTCAAAAACTTTTTCTCAGCAAAATGAAATTTTTCCCACAAATTCTGTAATTCACTGTTCCAAAATGGCTGTTTAATTCTGTGCTTCCCATTGCTTTTCCCAGGTGTTTTCCTATTTGTTCTGTATCTATTAAGCTCCTTGTCCAGTACCATACAAAGATGGTCATAAATGGCCCATTCCTCCTTGCAGATCTCCTCTAGAGCAGTGACGTTTTGAGGCTTTTGCTGGGCAACACGGACTTTCAACTCCCTCCAAAGATTTTCTTTGGGGTTTAGATCTGGAGACTGGCTCGGCCACTCCAGGACCTTGAAATTCTTCTTACAAAGCCACTCTTTCGTTGCTCGGTCGATGTGTTGGAATTATTGTCGTGCTGAAAGACCCAGCCACCCTTCATCTTAATGCCCTTGCTGATGGAAGATTTTCATTCAAAATCTTACGATACATGGCTCCATTCACTCTTTCCTTTACATGGATCAGTCGTCCTGATCAGCCCCAAAGCATGATGTTTCCACCCCCATGCTTCACAGTAGGTATGGTGTTCTTTGGACACAACTCGGCATTCTTACTTCTCTAAACACGACGAGTTGAGTTTTTAACAAAAAGTTCTATTTTAGTTTCATCTAACTTTCTCCCAATCCTCTTCTGGATCATCCAAATGTCCTCCTCCTCGGGTTAAGTTGCTCATTGTCCATCCTTTATATGGCAGGCCCTGTGCCACAGCTGACCATCAAACACTGTTGCTTCAGACTCTGAGCTGCAGTAGGGACCAGCCGATAATCCACCTGGCTCTCCCCCTCCTCCCACTGTCCAAGCGCACGCGTCTTGTGTCAGCCGGTAAGATTCCAAAGTTTTGTTTAGTTTTCTCCAATCCTTCTAAGACTCGTGTCTCCCTTTGCAGGCACGGTTGTCCACGTGCGGTCCAGAGCGGGGGCCGCCGCCCCGAAGTAAATTGTTGTTTTATCCATTCATTGTCCTCACACAAACTTTCCCCACTGTGCACTGTCCACGCGGTGCCGTGAAAGGCGCACTCTGATTCGCCCTCGCACCAGCGCTGCTGTGAGGCGTCTTCTGTGAGGCGTCTTCTGTGAGGCGTTCAGAACGCGGAACTATCAACATCTCGCCTCAAATTGCATTAAAAGTGACATTCGTGTCTTAATTCGTTCGTATTTTAACTTCGCAAACTTCATGTACGCCATCTTGGATTGCGTCGGCTGCCGTGAGACACGCATGCGCTGGTTTACATTACATCATTAACAGCTGAGGGAGATCATCTCGACGGGCAGACCAACTCGACAGAACACCAGGTTTATACACGGAGATATATACCCGGAAGTATGGTTGTAGCAACCGCGCGAATAGAGAGAAAGACAAGGGTTTCTTCCGTGTTCCAACTGTTGTCTCATATAAAGGAGTACATTTTTTAAAAATCACTCTAATGAGTGTATCAAGACTTTCCCAGATAAGCGCCCCCTGCAGGCCACCTGAATGAAACGCAGCAATTTATTTTTTAGCACTCCCTTAGAATGGGCTATATGCACGGGGAGTCGTGACGTCATTTCCTGTTAACAAAACACAGCCCGTTCACTTCCTGTCTATGCTATCCTATGGCTTTTAGGTGGGTTTTAGTGACGTTTTTTAGTAATTAGATTGATACATTCAGCTGTGAGACTGACCCAAAAGTGTCGCTGTGCTTTCTCTCTGAGGAATAGCTTTGACTGTGGCCACTCAGAGATTTGTAAACTTTATAAAAGCACAATGACAGCACAATCAAAGAGCACTGCTGTGTCCCAAAAATGCCCAGTATCCTCACAGTTTAATTCCCGTTTGAGCATTATTTAGGAAACTTGTGTAAACCACTGCTGAATTCCAGTGAAACTCAGGCTGTTTCCCGCAAACAGGAAGTGAAGTGAGGCTTTAGCTAAAATGCGGAAGTGGTGCGTGCATAGAGCCCATTGAGTGTCCCCGATTAAGACTGTTACAACAACCGCACACCGCACAGGATGACAGCCTTTTGACTCCAAAACAGACAAGATTTACATGGTTTTCAATGGGAGCAAAACTGAGTTGTCCCACCTCTGCTTATTCACCCCCTACAGGCCAGGTTAATGAAACCCAAGAATACTAATACTTAGGCTAATGCTAGTGATGAAGACAAAGCCCTGAAGGATCTCAGGTCAAAGTTATTTGTATAGCACTAAACCACCGCCGTCTCTGAGGACTTGACACGGTTGTCGATTCCCAGCAGCAGATTTGACAGAACTCAGGAGAAAAACCTTGAAGGACTGACCTGCTTTAGACTGGACCAGGACTGGGGCCAGACCACAGAGTCCCAGCAGAAACAGTAAGACCAGGTCCATATTGGGTCCGGACCGAGTTTAGACCTGACACCAAAGTCTGCAATCAGCCGCCAATCACAGCGCAGAAGTCACATGACCTCACGATCAATAATGTCCACAAACATGATCTGCACAAGGGCCATCTCTGAAACACAAACACACACAGACAAACCCACACACATATAAACACACACACACACAGAGACACACAAGCATATTTATGTATTTATTTATTTAGATGTGCTGGGAAACGGCTGCAAGTCCTAAGTAGCTCTGAAACAGTTGTTGTTTGTGCTTTATTTTTCTTGAGATGTTGCTACAGTGTGCATAGTTTTGCACAGGTCCAGACCAGAGCAGAGAGGATTCATGGTCCAAACCAAGCAGATCAGCCGAAAATCCACTGGAGGAATGCTAACTTTTTGAAAAATGCTAATGAAGCATTTAGCATTTTATTTTGGACTAGAGCAGAGAAAATGGTCCAAACCAAGCGGCTACTCCACCTATTGACCTGTCCTGCTCCACCCAGAGGCTACTCCATCTCTGCTGCTGTGACCTGGGCTGTTGCTGATTATAACAATTGTTATCCATCTATCTCAGGGGTAGTTGCCGTAGCAACAGGACCATCTCGAGATGCTGATACTTTTCAGGACCAGAGCTTACATTTTTAGGGGTATGGTAAACCGGAGCACCTGGAGGAAACCTACACAGACACAGGGAGAACATGCATATTCCACACAGAAAGACCCTGTTCTGTCAGGAGGTGGAATCGAACCCAGAACCTTCTGGCGAGAAGCAAGATTGGTAACCACTCTGGTAACCACTCTGCCACCCACAATACACATAATTTATCCATATACGGTATAATCTATACGTGTGTGTGTCTCTGTGGGAGAGACTGTATGTGCGAGAGACTGTGTGCGTATGTGTGTCTCTGTGTGAGACGGTGTGTGTGTGTGTCTCTGTGGGAGAGAATGTATGTGCGAGACTGTTCGTCTCTGTATGAGACTGTGTGTACAGTATATGTGCGTACACTGTGTGTGCATGTCTGTATACAGTATATGTGTGTGTGTACAGTGTGTGTTTGTTCATCTAAACTTTAAATAAAGAACGTGTCTGTGTTTTATGACTTTATTCAGAATTTAGCATTTGTTCATTTAGCAGAAGCTCATCAGCGTAACACAGGATCATCTACACAACAACAACAACAACAACAACAACACAGTTGGATCCAATCAATTTGTGCAAAACTCACAAAAAACACTGACATGCCTCAATCAGAGAGTCATCGGCAAAAGACCAGCTCTGGGCCTGGTCTGGACCCGGACTGGACCAGGTCAGGACCTGGAGCGTCAGAGTAACATTTATTTGTTTCAGATACAAAATTTTCCCCCCTGATTTTTTACTTAAACAATGTTTTAGTGAAGCAGTGTGCGGCAGAGGTGTAATATATGTGCGTGGTCATGTTGTTTTTGGGCGTGGCCATGTCATATGTGGGTGTGACCATGCCATATGTGGGTGTGGTCTTGAATGTAGGGGCGTGGCCTCTTCACATAAAGATCATCAGGCATTGGTCCACCACATGGCAAGGGCAGTGCAGAGCAGACCAATCAGAAGGCTGGCTGAGGCGGAGGGGGCGGAGTTACACAAGTCTGAGGTGCAGCAGGAGAAAGTGAAGCTCGGGATCTGGAACAGACATTATCCACCCCTGTGAGTGAGCACTTCTCCATTACAGACATTATCCACCCCTGTGAGTGAGCACTACAGAGATGGGCTGTGGAGAAGTGCTCTCTCACACTCACCTGAGCATACACGAAGGACAGACTGTTGAAGTCGCACTCAGAATATTTCACACAAGAACGAAACGTGTCGCCACCTGCAACAGAGTAAGAATACATCAGGTGAGTAAGAGTACTTCTGGAGAGTAGGAGTATTTCAGAAGCAGATTCAGAATCATTATTGCCATGTAAGTAACAGGAAGTCACAGACTAGAAAATTCCTTTGGCTCTTGGTGCAAGCAAGTCAAAAGAGAGAAGAATAAGGCATACTAACGCATAATAAAACATTTCAGGAGAGTAGGAGTACTTTTCTTGAGTACTTATTCGCAAGTACAAGAGTACTAGAGTTTTAGAAGTCCTACAGTACTAAAGTATAAGAGTAATAGAGTACTAGAGTACTTGTACCTCTGGCCTTCAGGGTCACACAGGCGTCGTCTTGTGAACAGACTTTAGTCTTGGAGCAGGAGGCGGTGTAGTCCTGACAACTGTAGCACTGGATACATGTACCTGCAACAACAACAACAGGTGAACCACGGTGCCGGTCCAGGGCCGACCACAGCAGGGCCAGAGACACACTGTTTACTTGCAGCAGTTAGAATTAGCAGCAGTTAGGTCAGCTGCATTTCAGTTAGAGCTCCAGATAAAATACAGGCCCGGTTCAGACCAGGGTTATAAACAGTGGCAAAGCTAATGAATGCTAACTGCTGCTAGGAAACAGTGTGTTGCTATGGTAACAGAGCAGCTGCTTCCTAAGCCCCAGTGATCAAAGAGGAAAGTCACAGACCTACAGACACAGACGCATGCACAGATACAGACACACACATACCCAGAGGTAGCACTGCACAGAGCAGAACCAGGACCTGAGGGACCTTCATCTTCATCATCTGCAACAAACAGCGACTTTAGTGCTTTAGACCCGAGTCCAGTCTCTAGTCTCTGTTCTCTGGTCTCTGGTCCAGTCTCTGGTCTATAGCCTCGCTCTCCGCTCTCTGCTTTGGTTTGTGCCGTCTCCTTTGTTCTCTCGGACTGAGGCCCTTCAGTCTGACACACAGGGGCCTCTGTGTGAGACCTGGTCTGACCCCAGGTCTGGACACTTCCAGATGCTGTCAATTCTGAGGGGAGGATAATTTTTTGCACCGTTAAAAAGATTAAACATGTGTTATATTTATGAGACTAAAGTTAAAACCCCAGCTTTAAATATTATGACGCTAAGCTGTTGTATTCTCCAGTTCTCTCTATCAATAGATATTAGCTATATATGTACATTTTTCCATGAGCTGTTTCCGCGCAGCAAACGGTCAGCACTAGATCATATACGGAATCGGGACGGAAGCGGAAGTAAATATTACAAATTACCTATTAATGCCTAAATTTAACCAGCTATTCCCATAAAATAACCCCAACCCAGCCTTAACCCTAACCTTAACCATCTTACTCAGACGCCTAAAACTTAACCAGTCACCACTTAAGGACATATTAGTCTAAAACTAATTCGAAAGTACGAGTGTTACTTCCGGTTTCGTCCCGATTCCGTATATGATCTAGTGCCGACCCAAACAAACCTGATGTACCCAGGTGGTAACAGCCGTGAGCCTCTTCACCACTCAAGTGTATCTGTCTGCGGCCTGCAGTACGGAGGCGACAATAGATCCATGGGAAGCGCCCACTCGACGTTTCTTAAAGGGGTATGAGCATGGATCCATTTAGTGTTGCCAACTCCTCAGTAAGGAAAGTAGCCATTGGCTGTCCCAAAAGTCGCTAGAAGTCGCTAAATGACGTCATCGCCTAATTTGCATAATTGGCCATTTGCAAATAACTGTAACGGACGCTGTAGGTAGAGAGGAATAACGTCGTGGGAGAGACAAAAGTGAGTAAAAAACACCCTAAATATGTTTAGAACTACAAATGTACAAAAATAATTTCAACATTAACAACATTTAATGATTTTAATGCTTTGTCTAGATCCACATTACACACATCAGTTTTGTCCTGTATTGTTAAATGTTATAACAGCAAATGTAATCAAAAGATTGTTATGTAGGGTGAAATTGCTAGCTCTACAACCAACCCTCCTCCTTTATCCGGGCTTGGGACCGGCAAAGTGACCCAAAAGACACACTCTGGCAGAGTTACTTAGGTTTATTTTTTTAAGTTTTTTTTTTTTTTTCATAGTTTGGCATAACAAATGATTTAATGTGACCCACTACTGAGAGAAAACAGAGTCACGGACAGAGCTGCCGCGGATGGAGTGGGGGGTAGTGGGGGGTGGCGGTGGTAGGAGTGGCCGGGGAGCTTTGGATGTGTGGTGGTGGTGGAGCTGAAGTTCAGTCTGCAGCAGCCTGAAAACTTCCTGTGCTTTTGAGTCTCCTCTCTCTCTCTCTGCTCCGCCCATAGACTGTAGCTGGGACTGCTGCGCAGGCTACTGTATACTTGAGCGGCGTGGCTTACGTTAGCGGTTGCGGTGGACCTACGTAAGCACAACTGATGTTATACTGGCGCGTTCCCCTTACGGAGTTTTGAGGAGAATGTTGTAATCCCACAACAAACCACATGAGGGCGATCACACAGGAGCGGTCCCATTTACGCTGCTACTTTGTCCTCTTCAGAACAACAATAACAAACAAAGCTGTTTGAGCTCATTACACGTGTTTCTACTGTAGGTTTATGTGATAGTTTTATGGATTCATCATTTTATAAGTCATTTCAACTGTGATGCTGTGAATAAAGACACAGTTCTGGTTGGAAACATATTTATTATTAAATAGTTTTCAGCACAAACAGCAAAACAATATCTGAGACAAACATGAACGATTTACGAGTGCATTAGGAAAGAAACAAACGCAGCTACGATTCAAACAAAGACAGGAACAGTTTATAAGTTATATATATGTTATATATATGTTAGATATATGTTAGATAGTCCACAGTCTCAGGCTCTGAGCCCAAACTGCTTTTCCTTCGAAGCACAAAGCTCTCTGCTCCATAGTGCCTCGTCCATGTCCCTGCTGCAGCCGCTCCATGCTTCCTTCCAATACACACACACGGACCAATCACAGCGGAGATTCCTTGCGGCGACCCTTACGTAGTTAGAAAATTTCGATGCTGCAGGACAGTGACGTCACGTCACCTCCGTAAGCTCCGCGCCGCGCGAGTATAAACTAGGCCGAGACTGGCCGCCTGGACGGGGGAGGGGCTCACGTTGAGGACAATACGTGCTTCACGCCAGAGTCTCCAAAACACCAGATAAGTCTCCAATAACACCAGAAAAAGTCGCTAGATATGTCGCTAGTCGCTTTTTTGAAAAAAAGTCGCTATAGGGGTCTGAAAAGTCGCTAAATCTTGCGACAAAGTCGCTAAGTTGGCAACACTGATCTATTATTATACGGGTATGAGTAGTAGTAAGTACCTACTATCTATGCCCAATAATGAATTTATAAGCAATAATGAATTTTATGGGGCATGTCATTGTCATCATTATTTATTGGGGGAAAATGAAATTTGCCTACAAAAGTTGCCATTACTTCAGACTACTTCAAACAATCAATAGGGATTTGAAGCGCGCCGGGCAAAGGTTAATGAGTCAAATAATGTCAGTGCTTATGTCTAATGTGTACATTCATTTATAAAAGAGGGCCTATGGTTGGTGGCTCAAATCCTGGCTGCCCCAAGTGCAGTCTGGTATGTTCTTGAGCAATGCACTTCACCCACATGTGTGGACATAGTGAGAGACTGCTTGGTGGTGGCCAATAGCACAGATTAGCAGCCTGGCATCCTCCAACCCAGCTGTGTGGAATAAATGAATAAAGACTACAGTGTGTGGTTTTGAGAATTGTCAACACAGGATTGAAAAGCACAATACAAATTAAAGCTATTATTACACCACCACCACACACTCCTACGCCCACGGTCTCACATTACTGATCATAAAGAGACCATGCCAAAAAAAAATTTGTGCCCAGCTCCCTGCTTTGGCATTTTGGGACAAGCAGACATTCATTATTATTGTTTTTTGTCAAATATGTATGTAGAAGAGAGAAATTAAACATCAATCATGGCATTTTATATACATGCTTTTTTATGAATTTGTGTTATGTGAATGGCTCTGAAATGTAGACACTGAATAAGTTCTATACAAAACAAATATTGCAACAACATTTTTTTTTTTTTTTATCTTGAGAGAAAGGCTTCAGAAGAGAGTGCTAATCTCCATCTTTCTTCAAATGCTTTCAGCTTCCCTGCTGCCTCCTCCGGTAAATGTCTCACCAGGGCATCCACAATCAGTTTAAACTCACTGTCCAAAAAGAACAATCACAGATTAGATGTTGCAGTGCACAGTGAAATATTTCCATCAATTATTAAAATAATCTTACCATGGTTCATACTTTGGCCCCTTTTTGAAATGTCCAATTGCCTCTTGCTGAGGCAGGTGAAATGCCTCGGCCAGAGTGTGAACTGTCACCTCGATAAGAGTGAAATGTGTTACATTCAACAACAATTCACAAAACCAAATGCAGCCCTAAAAGGTGTTGTGTCCTGTTTAATAAAGTGTCAGTGACTTGCACTTATGACTTTATGGTCTCTGTACATCAACAATGTTGCAATGCAGACTTATTTTCAGTAGTGTACATCCAGGAAACATGTACCATGAGATGTTTATGTTTGAGGGGGATCAGTGTTTGTTTTATGCACACTTTCATTATAATAGTCTCTGTGCCAGCCTGGTGGCGCTCGGGCCTACTAATGTAAAACAAACATTATGTTAATCATGCTATACTTACGGTACGAGCACATTCATGACGACGTCAATCCAGTCGTTCTGCTGTCTTGCTCTTGGGGTCTCCGTGATGACGGCAAACAAGAAGGAGACAACCTCATCCAGTTGCTCGTCCTCAAAGTAAAGGGTTGGCCTCTCCCTCCTGGATTCCCAAGTTGAAACAAAGTCCCCAGTTAAGATAGCCGTAAAAATAATAGTTACATTAGAGGATGGAGATGGTCATTATTTATAGTAATAGCCATATTGACAGTATGACTAAAATGACAACAACAAAATTATTGAGAAAGCCTTTCACTTTGAAATCTTACTAAGTACATCTTCATGCTGATAAGTTTACCTCAAGGTGTTCCCTAATTGAGCTGCTCCCCTTCATGCACTTGATCGTCAGCACACGCAAGTTGCTGCAGCCGCTGTGTTTCTTTTACCGCTTTCTAAAATTTTAAAATACATTTCTCACAAATATTTTCGAAATAATGGTTGTTAATAATTATGGAGTGGCTTTTCACTATCCTCCAGTAACTCACAATTGTTCTAGCATTCGTTATTCCATAACATTATCATCAGTATCAACATTAAAATCATAACATGTGCACTTAATGTAATGTCTTCAAATGTTGTCAGTCACTTTCCAACTGTGTTTGCTGGACAATTTCAGTCATTTTTTCCTTGCACTGGTCGGTCATTGTCCAAGGGCGCTGCTGAAAAAGGATGCAAGTTGCTAATGTTCAAGGCCACTTTGAATATCACTCAGTAATGATTGTGATGTCACATGTTTACATTTGTCTCTTCAGTTGGCTGTCTCTTCAGTTGGCTGTCTCTTCAGTTGGCTGTCTCTTCAGTTGGCTGTCTCTTCCTCTTCAGTCTGAAGATGGGTGAAAGACACCCATTGACCATTTGTTTTCCCTCTTTGGTGAAATGAGCAAACCGTCCTCCATGCCTGAAGAAACAAATTATAGAATCCAGAAAAGCACCTGACATTTTTTATTTTTTTTTGTCAAACAATTTCACAGGCTTTGGAATAAGCAACCAATAAAACATGTAATTGTCTGGTAGCAGTGTTGTTGAAGAAGATATATACAGATATATACACCACCATCTCCACAGTACTGGCATATGCCCTTTCATGGGTTTGCATGTGTGTGATGATCTGTGCCTCGCCATGTTTAAAACGAGTCACACACATGAGCGTGTTCCTCTGCTTCAGCTCTGCAGCTTGTTGTAGAATTAAAATGTTGTATACTAATGATTTTCAGTAGGTGTTTGCATAACATGTCTTTGTGCAATATTAAGCCTGGATTTAGTGGAATTCAGAGAAGCACCAAGGACAAGGCTTCTGTGATAAAAGTATCATTTTCAGGAACAGCGTGTCTCTCTTATCGGGACAAGGCCTGACACACTAAAACACATGTGTGGAAAAATGACCTATTGAACTCCCCCAGCCCCCAGCGCAGCTGTGTTTACTTAGTCCCACACAGGAAGGCGCCGCTGAGGGTGGGGGCACTGTTTGCTTATCTCAAGGAAGGAATGAATCCAAGGCCAGACAAAGGAGTCCAGAGACCAGGAACTGGCTGATACACACGCCCCTTCTGCACATTATTACTTATATGATTTTTTCTGACATTTTTGTGCAGTCCGAGCAGGGAGAGAGACAGAGAGCATCGCATGGATGTTCTCTGCACATTTTCAGGCCTGGAGGGATAGTTTAGAATGGCTCGGCTCACAGGGATAGTTTTAGGGAATTATTAGCTCCAAGAGTTTTGTATCAACATTTAATTGTAAAGAGAAATAAATGTTCTATTTTTAACTCTTGCATTCTTGCTCTTATTTCTGTATCAAACTTTGAACACGTCAGTCAAATCTTTTTTGACAACAAATGGTGACCCCGACGTGATTTGATACAGAAAAAAGGCGCAAGATGAGCTCAGATAGAGAAACTGGGTCTGTGGGTCTGGAGACTCTCTACTCTGAAAAACAGTTGCTTCTAAAAGGTAAGCAGATACCATTTCTAAAATCTGCACATTGTTCTTTCAAAATTGAAACAGGTTAGAGTCCTGTCTGAAATCTAAGGTTGAGTCTTAGTCTGGGGTTCGAGTCCCTGGTTGAAGAGAGAGAGGTCTCAGCCCAGCATGACTGCAGGTGTGGACAGACCCGCAGTGACGGGCGTTTTATCGGACGCGATAAAACAATAGTCAGGTTTTGACGTTTTAGCCTTGAGGGAAGATTGGGTCCCCTCTAAAAAAAGAGAAAAGAAAGTCCACAAGAGTTTAAGAGTGCAAAAGAGGCACACCGTTTTAGAAGTGCAAAAGAGGCACAAGTGTTTAGTGAAAATAGAAATAGAATTAGAAATAGGGACAGCTATTTTCCCGCCCGGGGGGCGGGAAAAAGGGTACATTTAATTTAAACAAAAAAGCCAAGTATTTAAACTGTTGGATTCTGACTATTGAATAATAATGATCTGATTAATCAGGATCAGAGAGCCACTTGGCTGTAGATACGAGTTTCATGTGGAGAAATGACAAAAGGATCAGTTCTGGGAGTTCTCTTGTATTGTGCTGTAATGTTTTAATAGTTACAGAGGTACTACTATTATGAAAAAAGAGGAATACACTTATTAGGAAAGAGATGAACAATTCTGACATGTTTGATTGGATCCTGCTGTAACTAGTAATACATTATTCATGTAAGCAAATTGTAATGTTTTCCATTACTGACGTATTTAATGATAAGACAGATAGTGTAAAGTGTCGTTTGACGTGAGAAACTCTCACCACTGATTAAAACATTGTCACGATAAAAAACGAGGAAAATGTAGAAAATTTTAAAGGGGATGTTCATGAATTTGGTGTGTTTCTGTCGTACATGTTCTCCTCTGTTTGAGAAGCCACACAGCCCCTCCCCTCCCTCCTTCTCTGCTGGCTCCCTCTCTCCGTTAAGGCTGATGCATACAAAATATATATTTTAGTAGAAAATCACATTAGAACACACACGTGATAATGGAACTCATGACAGGCCTTAGGCCTCCAAGCTTTCTGAAAAAAAAAAAAGAGGGCTCATGATAGAAGCAAGCATATTACAGTTTCAATATTCCTTGATCAGAATGTAAGGTGATCAATGTTTATTACTAATTCGCTTTTTCGGGTTTTAATTAACTATTGGTTTTAGCTTTGTATTGTATTAACACACTTGTTTGTGATTCTTGTTTGTCTGTTTCATTGGCCGATTGCCAAAATCGTCCCCGCCACAAACCACAACTGAGCGCCACCAAAACGGACCATCAGCGTCTCCCCCGACCCACAGGGGGCACCAACAACAGCATCATCATCTGCAGCAGCTAACAAGAACTTTTGAAGAAGACTTCTCCAGCCTCCATTTCTATTGAAGCATCATTGCAGCAAAGAAAAGGCCACAGACTTTTGCACAAACTGAGTGAAGTTATGTGCACGAAGAGGAACGGTGTGTGAGCCAAGCGAAAGAGACAACACATTTGTGTGCGTCAAATATGAGAAAGAAAGTTATTGTAAGAAAAAAGAAAGTGATTGAAAGAAGAAGAAAGACATTGGAAGAGACTATGAGACAAAGACATTGGAAGAGACTATGAGACAAAGACATTGGAAGACGCCATGAGAAAAAGAAAGAGACATTAACAGACATTTGAGGAGGACGTGGCTGGGAAAATGAAACAGACAGAAGGTAGTATACACAGACAAACAACAACATAACGGGACATATAAGACATTTAGGTCATATTTACACATTTAGGTCATACGTTCGTAACACTACATTTAACTGCATGAATGATTACAATGCAATCGTCAAAATTATTAGACTCTTACTTTAGAATGAGACACAAGATTAGAACAGCAGTATATTTGTGCATGATTTAGATGAGTTTTATTATTAAAACTATTATTATTATTTATAGTTCCAGACGCTGAGAAGTTTAGAATTATTGGTTTAAACATTAGAAAGAATAAAAAAAACAGACTGTGGCACATTGACTTGAAATGACCACTTCAACTTTAGGCTAAAAATAGCCACAACACAGGGCAGTGCTAGAGCCATAACCTCCAGCTTCATGGAGTTACACCATTTCAAAACATATATGTACAAGAACAAATAAATAATGGAAAGGGCAGCCTAAAAGCAAAATGGAAAATTAGTAAAGTAAAAGTGAAAATTAAAATAATATTGAACAAATTGGGTCATTCTAATGTTGGTGTTTTTACAGCAGTTTATTCTAATACTTTAGCAGTATACAGTGTTACGACCCGGCTCAGCTAGGTGTGAGGAAGTAACAAAATAACCAAGATGTTAAATGGTAACTAAAATCATAATTTATTATAATTAGAAAGTAGAAAAACTGGTAACAAAATAGAATTAAATATCTACATAACACACAGTAAATAAATAACCTATTAACCTATAAATAACCCCCCCCCTTATGTGACCAGGAGCACAAGATCTTCCAGTGGACCCCGAAACGCAGACCGTTGACAATGTGCGAGACGGTCTGCGCCAGTACGAAGGGGAAACATTGCATCACTCCGTGCTTTATCACGTTCTCCGAGATCAGCCCAGAAACGATGCAACCAGCGCTCGGGGAATCAACAGCCCGCCTGCAGCCCAGAGCACGGAGTCAAAACAGCCCGCCTGCAGCCCAGAGCACGGAGTCAAAACAGCCAGCCTGCAGTCCAGAGCACGGAGTCAAAACAGCCAGCCTGCAGCCCAGAGCACGGAGTCAAAACAGCCCGCCTGCAGTCCAGAGCACGGAGTCAAAACAGCCAGCCTGCAGTCCAGAGCACGGAGTCAAAACAGCCAGCCTGCAGCCCAGAGCACGGAGTCAAAACAGCCAGCCTGCAGTCCAGAGCACGGAGTCAAAACAGCCAGCCTGCAGCCCAGAGCACGGAGTCAAAACAGCCAGCCTGCAGCCCAGAGCACGGAGTCAAAACAGCCCGCCTGCAGTCCAGAGCACGGAGTCAAAACAGCCAGCCTGCAGCCCAGAGCACGGAGTCAAAACAGCCAGCCTGCAGCCCAGAGCACGGAGTCAAAACAGCCAGCCTGCAGCCCAGAGCACGGAGTCAAAACAGCCAGCCTGCAGTCCAGAGCACGGAGTCAAAACAGCCCGCCTGCAGTCCAGAGCACGGAGTCAAAACAGCCAGCCTGCAGCCCAGAGCACGGAGTCAAAACAGCCCGCCTGCAGCCCAGAGCACGGAGTCAAAACAGCCAGCCTGCAGCCCAGATCACGGAGTCAAAACAGCCCGCCTGCAGTCCAGAGCACGGAGTCAAAACAGCCAGCCTGCAGTCCAGAGCACGGAGTCAAAACAGCCCGCCTGCAGTCCAGAGCACGGAGTCAAAACAGCCCGCCTGCAGTCCAGAGCACGGAGTCAAAACAGCCCGCCTGCAGTCCAGAGCACGGAGTCAAAACAGCCAGCCTGCAGCCCAGAGCACGGAGTCAAAACAGCCAGCCTGCAGTCCAGAGCACGGAGTCAAAACAGCCAGCCTGCAGTCCAGAGCACGGAGTCAAAACAGCCCGCCTGCAGCCCAGATCACGGAGTCAAAACAGCCCGCCTGCAGCCCAGAGCACGGAGTCAAAACAGCCAGCCTGCAGCCCAGAGCACGGAGTCAAAACAGCCCGCCTGCAGTCCAGAGCACGGAGTCAAAACAGCCCGCCTGCAGTCCAGAG